TCTGCAATATAACCTCTCTATTTTCTACAATATAAATTACACAATAGCTGAATAACATAAAAAACAAAAATCGCTGGAAAAATAATTTCGTTTAGATGAAAGGAAAGGTATAAACCAGCGGCTTACCCAGATGAATTACTAGAATCTTCGCAGCAAGATTTTTTCAATGGTGAATTTATCAAATGAATATTTTTTATGAATGAACTTCCAGGTTTCGTAAGTGTTTTGGGTTTTGTAAAATCAATAATATCTGAAATCATAATTACAATCTCAAACGACAATCCACTTATATTAATGATTGATATAAAAAAATATTGTGAAAAAAATTTTGAAGCTACCATTCTCATCCACCAAATTTGGTTCAATAACATATTCAAATTCGGAACCACTTTTACAAATGCCACCAATTGGAGCCCACGCCCGCTCAATGTTAGTTATATAAGATTTTGGATATACATAAACAATCTGTGCATAATGGTGGATAGTAAAATTTCTGAAAAAAAATTATAACGTATTGAGAATTTTGAATAATTTCAATATAATTTTAAAAATAAAATAAAAACGAAAATAAAGAAATTATGCCTCTTAATTTTTTGTTGAACATTAGTGATTACTTCTTGCAATCTTATACGTTTTTTTTGCAAAATGAGTATTGAAACAACCTAAAAATAATTAAAAATTATTTCAAAATCAAAATCTATTGGTATTAAAAGCCAGGAAAACCAGTTAAGACTCGCTATGATATAGCAAAGGAAAATTTTCGAACGAATAGGTGGTCTAGCCATACAAATGTATAGAATGTAAAAAAAAAATGGCTTCTGTTCCTTTCATCCTCTCTATTTTTTTATAAAGTGCATCGAGCGGTTTGAGAATGCCCTGTCCTTTGAACTAACTTAATGGTTAGAAGAAGAGAAAAGTCAAAACCATATAATAATTTTACAAGGACATGGTAATAAAATGAACTCACCCTTTCTGTATGCTGAAACATCTCATAAAGAGATTCGTATTTCGAAGGTAAAAATAAATCAACATCATTTTTTACTTGTTGTAATAATTGCGAAACACGACTCTCCATAAAACAGCTAAAAAAAACACGTATTTATTTAAAAAATTACTGAGACATGGACAAAATGTACAAAGAAATACGCTTTAGCCATTGAATATTCCTGAAAAAAAGTCGTTATCCTCACTTTTTACGTCCAATATCTTGGCCAGATTCTTTTGTACCAGTAGATGCATTCAGTAATTTTGTTCCGGTTGTATCACATAGTACTGACGAAATAGATTTTACAGGGGAATTTTTTTTTGAGGGCGAAGAAAATAAATTTCGTAGTATATCCTAGAATAACCAAGACCTGAAGTTACTCAAAGAAAAAGGTTTCAAAAAGCAAAAAATCAAATAAGGAAGTAATGAATGGTGCAAATAAAACAATGAAAACATAATAAGCATACTAAGTATAATAAATGCTCAAAATGAAACTTTTTTGCATTCTGCAGAAGGCGATTTGAATTCTTGAATATTCATTTTATTCATTTTTCTATCCATTTTCTCAGTGAATTTTGAATAAGGCGACACAAGTTTTACAGGTGAAGATAAAAAACTCAATTTATCTACCTAAAAGAATTTTTGCAAGAATATTAAACTAAAAGAAAACAACTTGAAACTAAATAAAATCCAAATCTATATGAATATATAAAACAGATCAAAAAACAGATTAATATAAGAATTGGCAAAAAAATGAACATAAATAAATAATAAAAAAAATAGTTTTTCTAGTCTTTTTTTATTAAATTTAAATGGAAAAATTAATTAACCGATTTATTTTCTTCTCTTTCATTTGTATGCTTGATTTTACGAGCAGCTTTATAATTAGCGAGACGTTTCTGCAGTTCATCCACAGTTTTCACGTTCTTTCGCATTGCTTCGCGCACATTCGCTAGAAAAAATACAAATACATTTACAAAATACAAAAATTAAAAATATAAAAAAAATTAAAAAAATAAAATAATACTCAACAAAAAGCAGCAACTCACGGTTAGTTTTAACGATTTCAATATATTCTCTTCCTAGACTTCTGGCTGTTCTTTTGCGCTTGATGCTACCGAGTGAAGATGCTTCTGTCTTAATATTTTCATCATCCTGCAAAAAAAATTAATTTAATTAAATTAATTAAAAAAACCAAATTAAGAAAAACTAAAGTTTTACATATTCTTTGATAAATGAGTCTATTATGTTGATGAAAAGAGCATGATAGGACAATGGATACGACACTTATCGTGTTGGAAGAGTGGGGCAAGGATGCAATTCCTGTTATTGATACGAGCAAATGTCTTTAAAAAATTCGGGTGGTAAAGATGATCTATACTTCTATACTTCTAACCTTGTGATTTCCCTGCAAAAATTTCTAATCGTATTAACAGTGGAATTAACCAGAAATGGTTATGGTTAACAACTTATTTTTTTTTGCTGGGCGCTTAAATACGCTTATTTAAATGCTTTTATTCGTGAATTATTTATGCATTTTAAATATTAATTTAATATAGATATTTAAAATAAATAAGGAAAAGTGCATGTATCAATGCCAATATAAATTTGGCGATTTAATTCAAAATTAAATCTCACCAAATCTGACGAAAGAAAATCGATTTGACACGAATTACGCTTCATTATGCTCGATTCTAATTTAAATTTCTTCCGTGGAATGCTGGATCGCTCTTCATTTTCGGACTAAAAAAGAACCAATTGAAAATAAGCTAGAAAAATCAATTCTGAAATTGATTTTAAAAGAAAATTTAAAAAACCGAATGATCCATATATAAATTATAAATTGTTACGCATACTTTGATTGCTTTCGATGTTTCAGCAAAAGATCGTTGTACAACTGGAAAAAAATCGGTGACTTTTGCTTGATTTCTATCGTTCATTTCTAAAAAAGATAAAATTCATTGCTTAATAATTCTCTTCTCGATCTTATCTACTCATCGGTTTGATTATCCTCATTTATAATGCCAAACAGCACTAGATTTTGCATATAACCAGATCTATATCAATTCAAGTGATGGGTAGCCAAAAATATATCGCATGCGGTGCTGCGTAATTATTTTTTACATATGATAATTATATACATATGATAATTATTTTTTCGACTTATACCCCATCAAGTCGCCTCAAAGCAGTTTTCGTATGAGTAGTCTCTGTTAAATAAATTCTATACTAAACGCACTACTATATGCCCTACTAGCCTATTAATGCAAAAAGCAAAGTTATATTTAGTTAAATCAGGTTAGAAGAGATAGCGTTATATTTAGTCATGGATTCCGTTAAAAGGCTTGGAAATGCTTCTTCATGGAATATGCAGCTTGGCCAGCTTGGCCAATAATGGTATTTATCATTTAAAAAAAAAGAACAATAAGACAATCAAATACAAGAAATTCGACGAAATCCATTGCAGAATAATCCTGCATCTTCAAAGTTTTCTTATAGCTCTCACCATTTCTACCATTTCTACTTATGTTCATCTTTGGCTTATCTCGAACAAAATTATATCGCTACATATGAATTAAATATGTTGTATATCTAATGGAAATGAGCCCAAATGCGAGATAAACAGTAAGTGAAATGTGGTAGCCTATATGAATAAACCACTCGTTCGCCGAACGAGATAAACTTTGCCAGGGAACTACATGATGATAAAAGTAAAGGTGAGTTGCCAGTATAACACAAATAATTGGTAAATTTTGTCCAATTTGATGATAAGAACAAAAGTGAGCTGCCAGTGCAACTCAAATAATTGGAACTTTCACCGAAACTGACATTAATTTCAAAAAGAGAAAAAGAACATATTTGAAATAAATAAATATATTATCATGACATATCTTCAGTTATGATAAACATTAATGTCAACAAAATGATATTAATGATGAAACATTATCATTATTAAAATAGCGAAATAAACATTTCAAAATTTTTATTCGAAATCCCCCTCTCCCTTCCACCCCCAATTCCCATTATCAGCAAATAAGATCAGCATTTTTAATGTTTGAATGTCCTTTTACCTTTGAAAATTCGCAGTGCTAATGTTCAGACGCCACAATTATAGATTATCGCTGTAAGACTCAGTGTTTTAAAATCGATGCGCGGGAATTTCTTGCTTTTATCACATGGTTCTTTTCCAGATTAAATTATTTCACTGAATGCAATAAATTTAGAAAAATTCAAAAACAAAGACTAAACAGTCCAAGTTCAAGTTGTTCGAGCCCAAAATGCATAGCCCCAGCAATTATTAAACCTCCAGTAAAAGACGAATCACCTTAAAGCAACCTTCCTTATGAACTTTTAACCGTAATTTTTGCAGTTGGAAGAGGTTATTTGATTCAGTTCGGCTGAATTCAGTAGAACTGAGTACCTTACCATAAAATTTGTAAGTCTTCTGCCTTTCCTTGCTTGCGCTATAGGTTTTAGGGCGGTAGAAAACATAAGCAATACTCTTAACCCTGATCTCATTTTCTACAAAATAAACACTATGCCCATAACCTTAACAAACTACAACTTAACAAAAGTGAGCGGCCAGTGTAACCCAAATAATTGGAACTTTCATCGAAACTGATATTGTAGGCTAACCAAAGATATCCAAAAAACGGGCATATTTTTTCCATCTGCCAAAGATCATTATGCCTTATCATGGTCAACAGTTTTCTGGCTACCCACACCTTTGGCTTACCTCTTCCATATCTCGAACAAAATCGCTACATATAAATTAAATACGTTGTATATCTAATAGAAATGCGAGATAAACAGTAAGTGAAATGTGATACGCATAAACCATCAGGGGAGTGAGTGATTTTTCATAATATGTGCTTCTCTTTATAAAACTAGTGAAAAATTTCTAAATGGAACGCTTGTAAGAACGTTGAACCTTTTTTTTCATTCTTTTTTCGACAATTAAACCAATTTAGAGAATTTAATTTTATTCTTCAACATTATAAAATGATTGCAAAATTCATAACTGATGTTTTATTTTTCGCCTCTTTTCGAGCTTTTTATACCACATATTCTTTTCCTTCTCTACCTTCTTGCCAAATTCGACAGTATTTAAAATCGGTGGCTAAAAAAAACGATATATTATTTCTCCACTTTGTAATTTACTGTTCTTCTTGGAAAATATTTACTTACCTTATTATTGTTTTGTTTTTTTAACCTATTTCTTTTTTCTGTTAATTTTTTACCAGCACGCTTCCCACGTGGCCGAATTCTCTTTTTTTTTAGTTGAACCTTTTGTTGATCCTGCAATAGTAATAGAATTCTTCAAAGAAAATTAAAAAATAAAAATTTTTTGATTGAATAATGAGAACTCACTACAAGAGGAGCACCAAAATCTATGGCATAATCACGAAGATCTCGCGCTTTTATATCATCCAAATCGGACATCCCCGAAATATCTGTTAAACCGCTACAAGTTGACCCGACATCAGTTAACGATCCTTCATCATCACTTGAATTTATCTCAGCTAACTCCTGAATTATATAAAATATTACTAGATAAATCATTATAGAAGGTACAGCATAATGGAAAGAAAAGGAAAATGCGAATTCAATTAAGATATGCCATTATTTATAATTTTATTACGGTTTAATTTAATTTGATTTGATTTATTTTGGTTGGATTTGGTTTTTTTTACATTCATTATTGTTATTCATTATTTATGGTAGGATTCAATCAGAGCAATGAAGAAAATAGGAGAGGTACAAAATTTCTCGCTATTTGAACACTACATTTTAATGCGTAATAATACATAATACATTTCATTACATTCATTGCTTCTGACCTCTTCTTTATCACAGTTTGATTCTGCATCTCCAAGACTAATTGCTTTTTGATCAATTTCATTATCAACAGGGACCTACAAGAAGAAAGATTTGTAATAAAAAAATTCATCATTATATTTGTTAAAATTTGTTAAAATGTGATAAATGCTTCAGCTCCTGATTTTAATCAAAAAATGGAAATCGATTCCCATTTTCAAATAAGATCATTGTGTAGCTTCTTTTTTTAAAACATCATTAGCATATATAGCGTTGTCCATTCAATAATTAATATTGCGTCAGTAGTTACAAAGCTAATAAACAATGGATAAAATACCATAGGACTATCGCTTTCTTCATCTGCTTTCATTTCCATTCCAGAAGGAAGAACAAAATAGGGTAATCGACCCCTTTGAAAATCATTTAATACAATTTTTGCAACAGAATTTAAATCTGGTTCTCCACCCTTAAAAAAATTTAAAACATAAAAATTGTGATATAATTTTACTGATTGATCAATAATCGTTTCGATTCCAAATCTATACTCGCGATTCATATGTAACAATTAACAAAGGATTTAAATTGAAACCTTTAACAGTCGACCCATCTTAATGCAAAGTTTTATGAGAAAATCTTCAACACCATTCCATTCTTCAATTTCATAGGTTTTTTGCAAATGCTCAGCTTTGACGCGATCCAATACTCCTTGAATGTGATTCGCAGGATCTTTTACATTTTCTACCCGAACCTTGAAAGTTTTAAAGAAAGTTTTACAAAAAAAAAATTTAATGGAGAAATAATAGAAAGATAAATTGAAACATAAAACATACTACTCCTTTTAAAATCGTTTCAGTTTCTGTATCACCCTGAGGATAAACGACACCTGGACAATCGATTAAATATATTCTCCGCATCAGCATGACGTATTGCCATACCTTCAAATTAACAAAGAAAAATGAGGAAAAAAATAAGAGAAACTGCAAAATTGGATATACCTATAATAAACTAATATACCCAGTATTCAAAAAAGAACTCCTCCAGGAACAAAAAATTTACTTTCGTTTCTCCAGCAATTGGTGCTGTTTTACAAACACGCTTAGCACGAAGAGTATTTATAATAGATGATTTACCAACGTTGGGATACCCAATGAAACCGACACTAATCTAAAATTTATATTGAGAAAAAAAAGTGAAAAAAGAGCACTAAATAGCAATTTGAGAAATAAATTCTAAATTCTAAATAGCAATTTGAGAAAAAAAATGAAAATACTTGTTGCCTTTCTTTATGCAAACGCGCAAACTGGCGAAGTAAATCAATAATGGCTTTTTTTCCAAAAGAATGTTGTATGGATGCATGGAAAGCAACAGTAGGAAGTTCTTTAGAAAGAATTTCGATCCATTTTTTCTATAATTCTTAATAGAATAAAAATTTTCTTATCAATTTCACAAAATAATTAAAATATAAAAAAAGGAAAAGAAAGTATTTCCTAAACGGATAAGAAAATTACGAAAATTTCAAAAAATCCTACAAATTGAAAAAATTAAAAAAATTTATTTTGGAATGGAAAATGCATAATTTTATCTTCTTCTTCTAACAGTTCTCATTACTGGTTAGGCTGGTTCTACTGGCTACAAAGGAAGACGTTTCCAAGCGGCTGCCGCCATCTACATTAATAGAAGTCATTCTTTTTTCCATCGTCTAAGTCCATATATTACTGGTCCATCTATATAGTCAAAATCTTTCCTGACCGTATCAGTCCAGGTCTTTATTGGCCCACCTCGCTTTTGACAACACCCATCATATAAGTAACGAAATATGCGACAACTCTTGGGGTGGACGACGGAGAACGTGCCCTAACCATCGAAGGCGACGCTCTGTGATTACATATGGTATATGAAGGTGGATGCGATCATGTGATATTTTATCAGCTCGATGAATCCATAAAACCTTATACCTTAGACAAGAGTGGTCAAAGATAGATAATTTCTTAATATCCTCCACTTTCACTGGCCATGTCTCAAAACCATATAGCAAGATCGAACGAATTAGGGATATATAGATGCGGACTTTTGTCTTAATGGTAATTTCACGACAGCCCCATAAAGATTTCGTTAATCGGAAGAACGCATTTCTAAATGCCGTGATCCGGACTATAGTATCGTCTTTTGTCTGGCCATTTGAGTGGACTCAAGGTATTTAAAATAGGGCATTTCCTTGACCTGCAATATATATATATATATATATATATATGTAATTATATATATATAACTTACTGTAGCCCATGTTGGAATTAAATCCACTTTATTTATCACAAGTATTAAATGCTTATGTGCTTTTTCTTTCCTCAAAAATTCTTCCACATGACGACATCTGGTTCCCATCGGATTTCGTGCATCTATCACTTCTATTATAACATCAGATGAGTCCACAACCTGTAAAAAGAAAATGCATAATTAATTCGAATAATTTAAGTAGAAACCGAATATGTAAAGGTACAAAATTTGAAAAATTTTAAAAGATAAACCTTGTATAATTCGCCCCATACGCGATGACTCTGACCAGCCCTAAAAAGAGGATTTGCATTCTCCGTTCGTTCAGGATCCTCTTCCACAGCAAGATTTTTATCACATGACTCATCATAATTTTCAGTTCTTTTTTCAGCATCATCCCGTAACACCTACAAACTCCAGCTTTTTTGGTAAAATCTCATTTGTATATAAATAAAATATCATTAAAGAAAAAAAAACTAAAAAAAACTAACCTGTAGATCTTCAATTTTTATAGTAGGTCGTTTCTTTAGTGCCTTTTTTCCGAATGTATAAGCAAAACTCTCCGTATCAAGAAGATGGACGCGTTGTTTCTATAATATAATATTAAAATGTTAAAATTCTTTCTTGAAAAGAATCACTGATAATTAAATCTGAAAAAAGAAAATATGATTTTAAAAACCTTTGATTTTTCTTGCAGAAGAGAAATCGGTAATTTGGTTTGTCGCATCACAACTTGAAAAGGATCGCTGATAATTTTACCCAAATTTTCTTGGAATTTCTGCAGCTGCTCCTGACCAATTACTCGAGTATTACCTAAACGTTGAAAATAAATTGCTTATTAAATAATTTTCTTTTTATTGGAGAGTCGTATTACAAAAATGTTTTGAAAAAAAAATTGCTGAATGATTCTAACAGCATCAAAAAATCTACCAAACCATTTCCTATTTGGTTCAACCCGAGCGACTGTTCCAGATGATATTGTTTCTTGATATGGTGCAGCTTTTATAATTTTGCCTCTCACATTCCTACAAAGTAAAATGCATTTTGAGGGATAAAAAAAATAGAACATAGAACACAGAAAAGATCGGCATTGAAGACAATCAAAGCATATTTAAAAATTACAAAAATTACGACTGACCTAACGGGTTTGAAATTCTTGTACATCCTCAGCCGATTTATCGTTGCTTTTGATCTCATATGCTCCCCGGTAGCAACCCTATCTAAAAAAAGATTAAAGAAAGATTTAGATTAGAGCGCAAAGTTTACATCCGATTATCTCCTCTTATTCTTAATGTTTTCAAAAAAGACCTGGATTGAGGCTATGATTCCCCTTCTTGAACGTTGAATTAGCTTTCATACCAAATTTCGCTCGTTTTTTAATTTTCGGTTTTACAGGCTTTTCGCCACTTGAATTTGGACGATTATTTTTTAATGAACACCGCTTTTTGGCCATACCTGTAACTTTTTTACTCCCAATAATTTACGTTCAAATTTACGACCTGCACATTCAATATATGCAGATTTTACAGAATATTTTCTACATTTTGTACATGACAATAAACTTTTGATGTGTAAAGTAAATGTGTAAAGGCATAATAGGGGAACATATATACAAATAAAGTATATTTGTGGCTATAAGAGGCCTATCAACTTTAGCCAATAAAAATCGTGGAAGAATAGTTTATCTGTACCTTAAAGGGAATTTCATGTATAAATATACAAAATTCAGATGTAATCACAAATATAACAACTGCCTCACAAATATATGACAACTTGTTTACAAGAATTACCATGAACTTAGATCTTATAAATAATGAATTATGACAAATTACATCTAACAATATAATGGCCTTCAAAAAAGTGATCAGTATTTTGATACTATTTAGAAAAAAAATAAAATAAGAAAATAAAAAACTAAACAGCGACCACCAGTTCATGCACCTTTTCGCCAAAAAATAATAAATGTGAATCGATCCACAACAGCCATATGGATTTTCTGTCTAATGATAAATTTATTTCTACATTTCTAAATTTATTTATAAATTAATTTGAAAGGAAAAGAATCACTGCGCTTCAAAAAACTTCACTGCAAAAATATTTTTAGATTTTTTATATAAGAGACGATAGAATAACCAATACGGTCATTTACCATTAACAACATCCCTACCGAGAGGTAACATGGTCATACTCAGAGGAGACTGGAATGCGCACGTAGGTCATGATGCTGTTTCGATGAACTCGGTGATTGGCAAATATGGCATCGGGACCCAATATCGCTAATATTAATCAAGTTGATTAGAAAAAATCTAAAAAATATAAATAAATTGAGATAATCACTGCATAACTATTCCAGATCAACCTCACTGCTGGCTGAAACTTCGGGTGATGGTAAATCATCGACTGTTCTTCCTTGTTTGATAGTTTCTCGCAAGTTTTTTAGCTGCTGTTCAATTTCCATATCTACGGCAAGTAACTGATTATTTTGCAATTGCTTTATTCGTTCCAAATAATCATCATGTTCCTGCAAAGTGAAAAAATGAAGGTCGAAAGACTGATGATGAATCTGAAAAAATTACAAAACTTCTACCAACAAAATTTTACCTTTTTAAATGTTGGTGTTGTCAGAGCTATAATTGCTGCTGCTTTCTCTTTGATTTGGGAATTTAATCGCTTCAGATCATCTCTGGCTAATAATGAATCGAAAGACACATCATTTGCTTCAACCAACTTAATAAATTATTATGCATAATGGAAAAAACAGTGGCTTCCTTTAATTTTCAATTTTCAACTGTGGCAGATTTAAACTGAACAATAGCCTGGGAAATTCTAATAGCTAGAATAAGTAATGATCCACAGTTTTTGAAAGCATTCGCAAACTTTTTAACCCAAACTTTATCTAATTAATTTTTAGGCCTTGAATTTGCCACTTAGCAAAAAAACTGCAACATGAAATTTACGTTTAAAACATACGAAATGAAAGAGAAAAAGAGAGAGACGATTTTATGGTTTCCTAAGGGAATTATTTCTGTTAAAGGAAATAGGAAAATTCATTAAGTATATTAACAAAAGTATTTAGTTTTTTGGGAGAGCTACGATCAGAAATATTCAATGAAAATCTCCTCTGCGTTTTGTTTCCTACATGCATTAGTATCACTATTAATATCAAATACTAAATATAAGCTTTTTTCCAACCATTTCTCACTGGTTGGTGCAGTGGGACAGGGCTAGCATCACAGGATTTTTTAAAGATAGGTATGGTTTGTTTGTATGGCTTCTCTTCCTAAGGGACAAAAAGAGAACCTCATCAGTTCGCGATGCGCTCAGAAATGAGAGCAATAATCCACTAAGCCATTCTAACAAATATTAAATATAAATTTAAAAACGCCAAAATGCTACTGAATGACTGGAGCGAATAATTCCATCGAACTCCTTATAGCGTTCGTTTCGTTCAAAATTATCGAAAAATTTCTGAGACTCATTCTTTATCACATCGGTGTGATCGAAAATTTGTTCGGCAACGAGACGCACGCGATCGACGACCGCCATCACTGACATTGGAAAATAAACTGAAAAACAAATAATTCCTCCAAAATAATTCCATGCCAAAGCAAAAAGCGAAAGCAGAAATTTTGAATAAATAATTTGTTATTTAAATAGTAATAATAAATATAACATCGGAAAATGACAAAAATTCGTTAAATTTACGAAGAATCTTCTAAATTATTCGTCTTTTTTTGTGGCCAAATAGCTTCTTATGAAATTTTCTACGAAAAAAATCCCCCAAATTTCTACCCTTTCTCTGTTCTTTATTTCGGACGATGGTGGTGAAGAAGCAGCATTTCCCTCGCTAAATAATTCCCGAACAAAGATTTTAGACCAAACTATAACCAAATTAATTACCAACGATGCCTACCTTACTAAAAATTGTTGGCGCAAACCCAGACTCGACTCTTAGAATATCCAAAATGTCTTATCAGCCGAAATCGATTATTAGTAAATTTGAACATTCGGCCATCGTTTAGTCCTTGCAAACAGTTTTGCAAAGTGCAAAGATTCGTGGAAAAATTGTCTGCAAAAGGTGGTGTTTCCGAATTTGGCGTTGGATTTGTGAGGGGCCCAGGCTTTATGGTTCTCACCTAGCGGACTAAAATAATGTTAAACGATTGATCACTCTTCAGCAACGATTGTCGTTATCGAATGTGTTAGTTGTGAACGCAACAAATGGCCAATTTACAGGTAGAAATTGCCTGTTTGACGCGAATAGCACAAAGTGCTAAGCCCGTTCTCTGGCTATTAATAAAATGAATCAATTTTAACGGAACATTCCTACCGAAGTTCCAAGAAATGATCTTTGGAGAATGGGATTGCTTTCTCGATAAAATAGCAGAATAGCAGAATTGTACGATTCTTGTCGCCAAGAGGAGTAAATCCGGGAAGGAAAGGCGGATTGGCCAGTCTCGTCTGTGTTTCCGACCGAGTGGCTTTCGCAGGAGGTAAGCTATCCCCTCATCTTTGGACTACGAAAGAACCAATTGAAATTCGGACAGTCTACTTAGAAGTCATTTTTAAAAGAAGGTTAGAGAGAGAAATTATTCCAGGCGCTCCCCACATATAAGTTATTTTGTATATTTTGATTTCTTCCCACATTTAACGAAACGATCGCTGAACTGAAATTTTGACTTTGACTTTGACAAACGATAAGTAAATGCATAAGTAAAATGTACAAATATTCGAATTCGCAAAATTCGGTTAGCTAAAAAAACAGCTGAAAAGAAACTCATAACGAATATTTGTATAGAATGTTTCTGTGGTAGCAACTTTGGTGAAACGATTTATTGCTTAATTGCTTAAATAAAGAAAATCAAAGTCCATGGACTAACAGCGTTAAGAAATAGGAGACTATCATGTTTCCAACACCGTATTTAGCACCAATTTGCCCCAATTTTTTAATCACCTTCGATCATTATCTGGTTAGTTTTCCAGTTCCACCTCAATGTTGATTATAATTTCGTATTTCTGTTAATGCAACTGTAGCGTCACAACGTCTTTTCCAAATTTTAATTTATCTAATATGTTAGTTGTGGCGAAATTAAAAAAAAAACAACGGGAAGCAGATCATATTGGATATAAAGGTAATAAGGTGAACTGTGTGGAACTTTGTGAATCGTGATAGGCGAAAGATGTATGAGTTTCAGGTAGTGTTCGCAGCCTATAAAGAATCTATAAAGGAGTTCAATTCAAAATATTACCTAGTTGTTACGGTAAAAGAGAAATTATTACGGGAAATAAAGCCGAATTCGGGAAGGTGTTATGCGAGAATTGAATAGCCTTTGAGCCTCTGCGAAAGTGGAAATGAGGAAAAAGAAGTGCACAGCGAAATTCGAAATGACTTTACGGGAGGGCAATCGAGTTTTTGCTTATCAGATAAATTATCGCCAACAATTTTTGGATAAAGCAAATCGAATGGCTTTTGCTGAAATCAAAACTTGAAGGAAATGGCGATGTTTTATGTAAACTATGTAAATTGTTTTATGTAAATTATATGCGAAATTTTGCAAATGCTGGTGGATCAAAACGTTTTCCCATGTGGAACATTGCTCGCGGCTTGCATTTGTCTGCTATACTTCAAATTGATAAGAATGTGTCAACTAAATTTTTGATAAGGGAGCAATTTTTTGTTCATTACGAAATTATTTGCCTTCCTGAATTACGAATCATGTCGAAGACGACGAACCTTTGAACAAGCACCATGGAAATATTTGTATGGAGAATCTTGTATTTATGCATAATTTACATGCACTCATCCACCATTTTTCTTTCCTCTTCCCCCTTATCGCTCTTTCTTCCTCCTCCCCTCCCCCTCCCCCAGAATTACTACAGTAGCAGCACAGTTATATCTTTCTCGAGCTTCTTTTCATTTCTCTTTGCATAAACGTTGCTTTTTTTCACTCCGACTTCTCATTGACCGTAATATTCAACCAACATTGATGATTTTTTCCTTTTCAAGAGCATATTAATAATATATTAATAATAAATACGATTAATAAATATAATTAAAAATTAATACTAATAATATTAATACTAATAATATTAATATTAAAAATGAAAAATATATGTTGGTTGGAAATATAAAAATATATATTTGGGAGAATCGTTTTTTTAAGGTGATTTTGAGGAAATATTTAAGGAGAATGCCAGGATTCGATAATCTTAATACTCGAAATACATATTTATACCTTATCCCTCCATATCTTTTAGTGTCTATTGGTGTCGCGAGGACCCAAGGATCCAACTATATTCACCTCGAAATCCATTTCATACCTTTCTTTCTCAAACTCAGCTGAGTGCCACTTATCCACATTCTTTACATTGAAGTTTAATTTTCATGAAAGCGCGGAATGACTTTTGTCATAGGTGTGGAAAATCGCTAAAGGCGGAATTAAGAGGACTGGTATAGAAGGAATACGGCGGAAAATGGGCAGAAGAGTAGGGATTTAGCAGATATCAATGGAGCAGATATCAATTATATATTTAATATAATTCCTTCAAGAGTCTTGAGGGAATATGGCAAGCTTTGAGCAAATATCAAGGCAGGATTAGAAGGCTATTCTGCTCGTCCATACGCTGGTCATGGGCCATCTCACCGGTAATAACAGAAACTAAGAAATGAAAATCCAGAACAAAGTCAAGGAATCATTCTTATGCTGCATTTAGGCACATATTTCTGGTTTATTTACCTGTCATTTATCTATCATTTATTTTTGATAACTATCACTATTATTAATTATCACTACTTGTATTTTTTTATTACTATTATTATTACTGTTATTATTAATATTATTGCAATTATTATTATTTGTATTATTTTTGATTTCAACCATACGTATGAATTATAGAATTTTATAAATTTTAGAATTCTCTCAAATTTATTCATATTAATTATTTCATCATTATTTGCCCTGAAATTGCCAATGGATTTATCGAGGAATTGATCGATGGGATTTTTGCAAATACAGATGGACCAGGTAAAATAATATGAAGGTGTGTGGATTCGATTCAGCTCCCTTCTCTTGGACACTGTCGGATATTATTTTTAATATAATTGGACATTATTTATTTACGATGTTGTGTTCTGCAACGTCTTCTCCCATAATGCTGACATAACACCTTTCAGTTTATAGCACCCTTTTTCACGAACCTTTCCGTTGATCTATATTCTCATAATTTTTCGATGGCACTTTTGCCAGAGAATCGTTTGGAGATAGAAATAGAGGTAAGTTGCCAGCATCCCTCTGCACTTTTACAACGTTGTTCGATAGAGAGTGAAAAATTTCAGGTCATAAGTCATAAATCGTGAACTTCAATTCCAGAATGCATTAATTTATAAATTTATACAAATAAATTTCGGCTTAACACTTTGATGTTAATTAACCTCATTAAACGCCAGTTTTTTTCCCTATTCTATTCATTCTATTAATCAGTTCATATGAAGCTACAAAAATAACGGAGAAAGAAAGAAAAACTAAAGGAAAACTGGAAAATGAATAGCAAAATAATCTAAAAAGGTGGTGAAAAGAGCCCAAAGAAACATTCGGAAGCGTGTTTCCAATGGCTGGAACAATTTTGAAGAATAATACCAGAGAGCTCTATCCAGAATATAGCACTGTTAGCAACAGTCAAGATATTGCATGGAACCCTCAATCCCAGATCTCCCGACTCCAGTCTGAAGGTGACGCAAACCACCCAAACGGCTAAGAAGGTAATTTATATATCAATTTATATATATATATATATATATCAATTTAATGCAGGTTTTCTTCAAGCCATTTAAGTTTCATCAAGCATAATTTAATATACGTATTTTGGCTAATTTGCACAGTGATTTAATTTAGCCAAAATGTTTCTGAATGAAATGCAATACTTGAAAATTATCAGATCCGATCATGGATACTCAATTATGGGGAAATAGTCACTGTAAAGGTGAAAGAAGATTATACAATAAAAAATGGGATAAGGAAAAGAATAAAATGCAATTCCTCATAATTAGAATGAGCGATAATCGATGCATCCTTAGGGAATTCTCATAAGCCATTAATCAACCAGCTGGTAGCAACTCGAATATGGGTTAAGAATACTAAGACCGAAGAAGGTTTCGAACTTTGCAAGTTCCGAAGAGATCTTCACGCTAATGCAGTTACGGATGGACACTCGACATTGATAAATTTTCTCGTTAATTTGCCAGGCTTTTATAGGTTATCAGCTAGGTTGTGGCAAAAATATGATGAATTTATATGATGAATCTACTTGAATGAATTTAATTTCTAGTTTGCCAAATTAAAATATGCAGTTTATCGAGCGAAAATTAGGTTAGACTACCATCACCATTTATTTATAAGATAAAGTCTAACTGACTTTCATCTGCCAACTGTTTCCACAAGATTCTTCTTTTTCTAATGTTGATTTTCTGAATTATTAAAACGAAATTTTCTCATTTCGCTCAAACGCTTTAAAGCCTTTGCTGGATGGCTGGAATTTGCCGGGAAAAATCTCCCAAAGGTTCGAAAGTTTCGCCGGGAACTTCCCATATTCTACTAAAATTTAAGATTCCATATTATAAAATAATATTCAAAATTATCAGAGTTAGTTGAGAAGTATTTTTCACCATTTTAGCAATACGAAAGTAAAAGAGCATTGACGGAGAAACTAAGGCAAATATTGGACGACAACGACGACGACGACGACAACGGGTGAATAAACATGAAAAAGATGACATAGACGAGTATGTATGTAATATGTATGGAGATAGACCGCCTGATGCATTCGAGAAAGATCAATTGCATTTGTTAACAACTAAGCCTTTTCCAGTTATAAACTCGAATCGATACGTCCACGAAGCAATATATAGGATTCTCTGGCTATATTTTTTTCTTTTCGCTGTTATCAATATCATTCTTATTCATATCAAATCACTGCTATCATTAATATTACCATTGTTTATCGTTATTTGTCATTTATTTGTCATTTATCATAACCATGCAGCAGCAACAGCAACAACAACAACAGCAGCAGCAGCAACAGCAGCAGCAACAGTCATGTAATGGCCAATCATCTGAGTTAATTACTCGAAGAGAAAGCAGTATTGGTAGTAACCTTGGTGCTAATGGTGGTGTCGGCAGTAGTGGCACTAATCAAGAGCATCGCGATGAACCGAATAGTAGTAATGAAGATTATTCAACGGAAAAAATCGAAACAACAAATCTCGGTGTTGAAGTATCAGTTGTAGGTTCACCTCAAGTTTTCGGCCATCATGGAACAACGAATTCGCCAACATCTGAATCGGATGACGAGCGCATAATTGAACGTTGCGATCTATTAAACCAATCCACGACGGACGGTTTGTGTCTACCCACATCCGATTCACGACCTCCAAAAAAGCGTCTAATCCAAATGACTGATTTGCCACGCATACGCATGTTGCATCACCACAACCAAGCATCCGCCTTCGTCGAACCGCTTAAAATGAGTTCCATACCAGCTGGCGAGCATTTTCAACAGGCGATGAATCAGTGGGATTGGATTCAAATTGACAATCTCAAAATACCCATTGTTTTTCGCGGCAACGACCGCTATGCCGCTGTACATATAGTTCAGTTAAAACTTTTATCGAAATTTCCGCCAAATATTCCAACCGAAATAACAAATCGTTTTACAATGATTTCACATAAAATGTTGCCTATTGAAGCGTGGATCTTTAACATAATTAACGCCGTTCTGACGAAATTCGATTTGGGTTGTCAGTTATTTACAACGAACGACGAAATTGTACGATTAGCTGATGTTGAACGCTTTTATTGGTCCATTAAAGCGTTAAACATGAATCGCATGATTGAAATTTACAATAACGAACTGAGATCGACAAATTCAACACATCTTATGGCCGCGATAACGCAAATAAAAAATCATGTTGAAAGTGACTTGCAGGTAATCTTTTCCACTAGTGCGAGTGAGTACCATTCCTGATTTAGGCCTTCTCTAGCGTGGAACTCGTTGGTCTGAGAGAAAGTAGGAGAAAGGTGGGGGAAATCCAAGCTAATCTATGGTATTTATGGATTTAACCTAATATGGCGAATTTTTTCCTGTCAAGCGATAGAAATGAAATCGAATATCAAATATTTATCAAATTAGACCCGAAAACACTGATAATCTTTTGATAAATTTATAAATTTATTTAGAAAACAAATGAACAAAGCTAAGTACGCCATTTGGCTTGGTTAATCAAATCTAAATCAGGGGTTCCTAACCTTTTTTCTTGCAACGATTCTCCCTTCCTCATCTCTCTATGAAAATTTTCCACCAACATCTTTAGAATTTTTATATTATTCCTGAAGATTTTGCATATCATGCGAATTGATCAAAATAAATGATGGCAACTAGGTTATTTTCTTGCATAGCATATCTATAATTATAGGATAAAAGTGGTTAGTTTTCACATTTCCGATTAGGGCACCTCCGCCGGCTATTAGTAATTTTTGCCAGAATTACTCGAAGTTTTTAAAAGGTTACCTAATTCATTAATAGTTAGGACGACTCCGCTGATTACAAGGATAAATCACGCTGCTCGATCCGAAGTCATGCCTGACATTAAAAAAAGCCATTTATTATTCCACGGTCTAAGCACATATATCGCTGGCACGCCTATATATTCAAAAAATTTTTTTGACTGCATCAATCCAGGTCTTAACTGCTCCTCTTTGCCATCACAAGACTTGGCAAGTAGCGAGGTATGTGTCAGTTCCTGCGATGGCAAAAAACATGGACCAACCAGCCTAGCAGTGACGTTCCCTTACCACGTTCGCTTACGTTGTTTTAAAAGCAGAAAATGTTTGTGCCAAGATCGATGCATTTATATGCGATTTCATTCGGTCGACTTAACGTAAAGTGTATTCAAGAATTTAAAATTTTACCGGATTTCTCTTCAGAAAACAACGTTTATTTGGCACAATAAATAATTATAAAAGCATTTTTTTAAAACAAAATTACAAAAATACTAAACACTAAGAACGCTCATCGCAACATGTGAATTCTTACAACTTTTTATTAGCATATTTATTTTTAAAAAAGTATCGTAAAACTAAAAAGTATTTGCCTTGTCCATCGACCTCTCAGGATCCACATTCAGGCCCAACCCCGAGGGGAATCTCTTTTCTAAAAAAGATGAAAATAAAAATAATGGGATTTTTTTCTCTTAGCACCGATCACCATTGTTAACTCCGCTCACTCCGCTGATTAGGCATTTCCAAACCTCTCGGCTGGGTGCAGGAAATAGAAATTATCTCATCTTAGTGCGTATAAGTTTGTATATAGTTGGGCCTTCAAAATCTACCCTAAGTTCATCAGTCAATTCTCTCTATTAATTTTATACGCAGTCCTGAGATGATCTTATTGTGAAGCCATTCGTCAGAAAATTTGGCACATATTTCATAATGCGATGGGTGATTAGCAGCGAAGGGAAGGGATGAGATCCCATTCACTAAACGCGAAGATGTTTGAAGATTGAAGCCAAAAGATTGGACAGATTGGACCTCGTAAAATGTCACTGTGATCTTCATGATGACCTTATGCTGTTGACTTTGACTTTGACCTTTATAATTCATCCACTTTTTTTTACTTTTTCAGCAAAATTTACAACATCAGTGGTAGATTTTTTTCTTCATCCATTTACATAAAAATGGCATTTAAAAGATTTTTTGATAAAATTTTTTTAAAAAATCGAGAAATAAGATGGTTTCTGAATTTTCTAAATGGGTCATTTTTTTTTCATAAAATTGGAATTCTCTTTTTTTGATAATTTCGTTTATAAGAAAGAATTTTCATAAGGTAAGAAATAAAGTTTTTTATCGCCGTAATGCCGGTGGAGCCCCTGTGCCTCTCCTCCCTGTTAAAAATTAGTCCGATTAAGCCAGCGAAGCAAGTATAATTAGGAATGATGAGCGCTTTTATCAGTATATTATATATGTACTTTTCGATTATGTGGTCCAAATATATAATATTTATTTTGAAGAATCTCTTACTTCCTCTAGGTGGTCATCCGCAACCTCAGATCCTCTACTAGAGGTCTGTGAGCTTGGGCTCTGCCCATTTCCTAATTCCTGCTCTATTCTGGATAGAGATCTCTGATTCCTGGAATTTTTTGAACTCTTCTAGCCCTTCTAGCTCTTTAATGGTCCTATTACCACTGCGACAACTTTTATTTTCATTTGGTATTTATTTATATGTTGATTTTTGGTTCTTATCTATTACCAAGATATCTGGTTGATTGACCAGTATTTGTTTGTCTGTTTGGATGGAGAAATCCCATCCCATAAGATTTTAGCCTTATTGTTCTCCACAATCTCCCATCTGGTCATGGGTCTTAGCCATGTATTGAGCAGACATTCCTCCAGACAATGCCAACTACTTGATTATCCCTTTAAGCTTTAAATTTTTCCTGTATCTTACATTCTATCTGTTGGATAGTTTCTGGGGCTTTTTGCATAGTCATCTGCAACTTGAGCTCTGTCTGACGTGACAGATCCTTCTTCTATGAATCCGATACTTAGTAGCTGTTCTTACTGTTATAATCAGTGCTGTCTTTTATTCCAGCTTTTTCCAACTATTAGTAGGGTTTTTCAGTATCAATCGCCTTAATTATCTGTATTCCATGGAGTGTCTTGCTTTGCCTTGGTAATTCTTCTGCATGGTCTTTCTCCAATGTCTGTAGATGTTTCATTCATTTTATTTCGGGTTTCATTCAAAATAATGACTTTTACACTCGTCTAGGATAGCCTTTGACTGTTAGACGGGGGGTGGAAATTTCCGTGCATTGGTCTTCACATCGGCAGCTTCCATGTCTTTCTTTTCCTTTGATCATCTATCTTATTGCGTATGTGAATTTCGAGGAAAAAATATAAAAAACAGACGAGATGGTAGATAATTCAGTAATTAGATGGTGACAGGATGGTGACAATTGGTTGAAAAACTGCAGGAGAGAAAAGAAAATGAAAAAAGGAAAAGCGAAACGAAAACCCCCTAACCTACGTGCTTTTTAGCCAGAAAGTACAGTATTTATTTACTTTAAAATATTATATATTTTGTCTACTTTATTTTATAAAAAAATGGAAATTGCACGCCTTTTTGTAATAAACAATTATATTTAGAAAATAATAAAGGAATTTCTTTTATTTACATAAATAATTATTGAAATTGTCAAAAAAACTCTCGCAAAACTGGTCTTTTATTTGTGGAAAAAAATTTTGGAAAATTCGTCTAGGAAATCCTTCAGAATTCAATATATCAACCCTTTCATTTTTTAGAGCCTCCGATACGAATCTCTCATTGAGAAATGAATATGGTGCTACACTCACTTATATTTCTATCCTCCACGTGACCCTCTTGTGAACATCTCTCACCGTTCTAGTCGGTAGAATGAGCCTAAACGGAAATGGTGAGCGACCATAACCATCTTTATGGGAACTGATATTAAAAACATGGGTAAAATATAATTTTGATTTTTAAAATAAAATTGGAAGCCAATATTAATTAATAGGCAAAGGACAGAAGATCGAACAATGATGCAGAATATCCTATCAAGAGAAAAATTTTCTTTAAGAAATCTGAGTGGTGCTGACCCACTTATATTTCGATCGCCAAGTATCCCTGGCGAAAATATCTAATTTCCGTTGGAGCCAGGATAACCAGAAATGGCGAGCGCTTACGGCTCAATTAACATTTTAATATTTTAAAATATATTAAGTGAAGTTTGCTAAGAATTATTGCTCAATATTATTTGATTTAAAATTTGATTTCTATTATTTGCAAAAATTCATCAGAAAATTGCTTTTGGAAAACAATCATCAGTGAAATGTTCAGTTAAATGTTCACAATAGCGCAAAAAAAAACAAACGGTAATCTAAAATTAAATGGAAAATATCGGACCTCATGGTGTGCATCGATATTTACCTTTATTTATTATTATTACTGTTAACCTGTATATTGCAAGGTCAGCCACTTCTCTTGGAACAAACCTCTCATTGAGGAATCCCAGTGCTTCTAAAGACCAAGACCAAACTTCTGCATCCCAAATGAATGTCTCTTGCAGAGTGGCTCATCCTGTGGAGTGAGACTCTAAACCGCTATATGTATATATGCATTTGCACAAGGCTATTTACTGGATATCAAAATATGAATAATTTTAGACCCTCGAAAGAGAACTTTTACGGAATCCATCGAATGCTTCTTCAACAACAATTTCCAATCATGCAACACCAACAGCAATGCGATGAATCAAATAGTTGGTTCGCAAAAATTAATTTATTATTATTATATTATTTGATGCCTTAATTCTCAATTTTTTTATAAAATATTAAAAAATAGAATTTGAGCAAAAAAAAGAAAAAAAATGAAATATTATACAGATGAAATTAAGATAAGGTAATTCTACTACTTAATCAAATAATTCCTTTTAAAATATATATATATAAATAAAATATATATAAAATTCTTAAATTACTATTCACTATACGAGTACCTAAAATGTAACAGAAAAAACTTCAATATCTATGAAAATCCACGTAAATATACACGTAAAGCGAGAGAAATAATGCTTTCCCTTACAGGTTCCTTGATTTAAATTGTTTTCGACTTGAACTTTAACCTCTAATAAAATTTTCCACAGCAATTTTTTTAAAATAAATTGTTTATAAATATTTAATTTAAAATTAAACAGCCTAAAAGAATCATATATATGATATTTTGCAAATAAATGATTAGCGGAAAAAACACCTCAATTTAAAAATGTATCTAAATGGAAAACATAGTACTGCAGCTATTAAATTGCACAGCTCATATATCGACCATGGTGCATGTGACCCGTTTGTATACAATACATAAGTCATTCCATCTCGATATACATTGTTTATTCGGTAATAATTCCTGTAATTCAATATTACATCAAAATAATATAAATTTTCACGAATCTATAAAATTTTTTTCCGCAGATTTACTTCCATTTACTATTATAATTAATTAATATAATTAACAATACAATTAGAATGAAAAAAAATATAACTTGAAATTTTAAGCGATTTTATATTAAAATTTTGATTTTGATAAAATAATTTGATTGGCTAACATTGGATGACTAGAAATATGGATAGTAAAATACTAGGAACGATGGGACTTACCATAAAGAGAGAAAAAAATGGGAAAAATTACAAGAAAAATCCATAAAAATAAAATTCCATTTCAATGTAATGAAAATAAACGGCTATCGCATAACACATTTCCATTTTTTTGATAATTTTACAGATTCTGGCTTCAGCCAAATTTTTTTATAGACAAAACAAAACATGAACACATAATAACATAAATAAATTCATCACTCACCACTTCTGATTCTTCAGCTGGTTTTACACACTATTAGTGCAAGACCCCTTTGTCAAAGATTGGAGACAGTTGGAGAAAGAAATACAAATGATTTTCCAGCATCACCATTTCAATTTTATTTTAAATCTCTCACCAAGGGATTCCCATGTTTGATCCCTATCGAAGAAAGATACCATCCTGTCATATAGAAGTTATTGCCAGTACAGAAAAATTATAATAGGGATCATCACCTTTAAAATTAACGAAAAACAGTTAAAAAGCAAACATTAACGTAGCATGATGACTAAATCCATTTTTATGATAGAATTTAATGGCGACACTGTTCGTTGAAAGAACATGGAGGTAGATGGCTCTTGGATAAGGCGGACGATTAATAACTGTAGCAAATAAATGATTGAGTAGACGAGTAGCCAAACCTTGACGCTGATATTTCTGACGAACAGCTAAGCTTAGAATATATACCACTGGTAAACCATCATTCGTTAATAGATCTCTGTCCTGAAAATTTCTATAAATGAGTATATACTTTCCCGAAAATAAGAAAATGAAAAAAACTGGTTCGAACAGTTTTCAAGGGAAGAAAAGAAAAAAGATTTACAATAAATATATGTCAAGAACAAAATAGAACCAAAATAAAATCACGATTTTTCTCTTGGTAATGTGCCTTACTTTTATAAATTGATTTTTACTCTATATAAAAAAGCGAATAACAAAAAAGCAGTAACGGATTGCTAAGCCCAATTTAATTTAAGCATTTTGATTAAATTATGGATATAAATCCAGTAATGAATAAATAGAACAAGTAAAAATAAAAAGCGAACAAACCTCAGTGTTACAATGACTAATTGGTTTAATTTCGGCAACAAGTAGAGCAACTAATTTGTCATTATGTGAAATTCCGAAACTTATCAACTTTCCATTAAGTACTTCTTGGTACCATGAATTTGGATATTCTATAGGAAACGATTCATGACAGATTTCCTTTAATTCTTCCAGATCACCGCTTTGTAGTGGACGTACTGTCCATACCTCTTTCGAATTACTACCATTTTCGATATCAACACCTAATAAACAAGTATTTGATTGGATATCATTCCATTCGTTCATCATTCATCGCACTGCAACAACCGAACAATAACCGAATCACCTAAATAAATGTCTTCATTAGACGAAAATTCCACTTCAATAAAATCAACTAAATCAAAGGCCAATCGGGTCATAGGTCAACAAAATCAAATTAAATTTCTAACATTAACCTTTCTGACACATAAGAATAAAGATGGAATAAAAGAAAGATTTTTTCTAATTCTATCAGTGCGGTGTCTTCGAAAAATGTCAGAGAGTGTCTCCGTTTCACTATCTCCGTCGAATCATTTCCTTTGTTTCTTGTTTTTTTTTTGCCAAATAAAACAAAGAATATATGAAAAAAAAGAATATCTTACAAAACAAAATCAATATAAATCGTTGGAATCAAAAAAATGACTTCAATATGGTACTAAAATTACCTTTAAAAAGGCTCGAAACCGAATTTTTTGATTTCCGCGAATTTAATTTTGCAATCAGAAAATAGCAATTATTTCATTTGGCACCAATTATATTCGATTCATTATATGGAAATAAATAAATAAACTATGATTTTACTGATAGCAGCTCTGCAATCTCTGTAAGATCAATGATTGCCTAAAAGAACATTGATAAATATTAGTGATAATTAGAAACCAGCGACGTGATAATTTTATCGATAATTTTTCCAAAACCTCAAGAGAAACCAAATTTTTGGAAATGAGTGGTACTATGATGAATCAGTGACAATGACAAACTTAAAATTTTAGCAAACTTTGAATTCTTCTTTAGTGAAAATATCACCAACTAATAAGGAAGCACCCAACTGACTTGATAAAATCTCCGACGAGGATTTTCCGAAAGCTTATCGATAAGCACTCATCTTAATCCAGGTTTCGCGATTTACATATCATTGTAATATATTCTAGTTGAACACAACGATATTTTCTACTATAATGCTGTAGTAACCATAGCAACTGTTACAGTATTACTAGAGTAATTAATATCAATTCAATAATTATAATGATTAAAAATAAAATAAATAAAGTAAAAAAAGTTTTTCAACATGAATTTTATCTACTAAAACAGATTATGGATTGATATTTTTTTTTTATATCTTTCCAACCAGAGAAGGGAAAAAAGTGATTTTGGTTCCAATTAATTTCAGGCGTAGCTTTCGAATGTTCAAAAATACATCAGATAAATTTTAATTAGTGGGGCAAGTTAACAACTATCACTTATCGATCCTCACCAGGTTTGCTGGAAATTAGAAAGAGATATTTTGGCCAACCAGTTAGGGCACATTTTCCATCGTCCACCACAGGAGTTGACGCATATTCCGTTATTTGTTAAACTTTGGGATGGGTGGCATCAAAAGCGAGGTAGGCCAACTACTGTCGACGATGGACCGCGCCGCTTGGAAGCGACTTACACTTGTAGCCGTTGGAGCCAACCTAACCAGTAATGGTGAGAGCTGTTAGAAGAAGAAGGCCAACCAGCTACCTGGACCTGACAAAAACAGACTGGACCTTAGCACAGTTGCGATTTTTTAATGAGAGATTTATTCTGCAGAGGCGAGAGCGTGACGTTCAAAATGATAGTCTAAGCAACGTATTTTTTTCGATGATTTAGAGGTAGTATAACTGCCTCGGAGAACCGAGGATGAGTTGAGTAGTCCGATGCACCAAACTTTGCCCGCTGGTGAATGTACCGCACAGGCGAAAGCAAAAGGAAAGAGAATGACTCGATGGGTTGTGCTCAGCTCGGCCGGCGATTCGAACGCGAGTAAACCAGTCCTGAGCGAATGCCGCCGGCGACTCATCGCCAGTGCACTTTGCCAAAATTCGTCGCGACCCACAAGTCAGCGGAACGACGCTAACAGCAATGATTAATATTCTCAGAACTTTTAAAACCTTCTTAATAATCCACTAAAAACATAAAACACCCGAGGAATCAATAGCGCAAATCAATTAATATTCCACAAATTAACTTCAGCATTTTTCTTCAAATCCGCAGCTGCTATTTAGTAACATCGGCGCCAAAGCCGATTAATAACAATATGAAGATGGCAATAGGTAGCCAAAATGGGGAGAGATTTAGCAAAGCAGTTAGTTATTGGTACTCGGTGGGGAAGGGGGTGGGGAGGTTGGAGGTCAAGTGGCAGGTGGTTCGAGTTGCTGTAATGTTAAAATTCGCTAACGATTGGGAGGCGGCGAAGTAATTTTTTGAAAAAATTGTTATGAAAATTTGAGAAAAGATATGCTCTAATTTTTTTTATTTTTTAGCCTTTTCGATTCGATTTTTGCTTTAAAAACTTTTCCAGTTTCATTTATTGCATTAGTACATCAGATTTTCTCTGCTTGGCCAACTGAATATTTCTACGGAATTCGCCGATTCACCAAATTAAAAATCATTAAACTAGGTCGGTTCCACATTTTCTTTCTTCTAACATTCCGCCGCTTTTCAGCTTTTTATCCCCTTTATTTATTTTCGCATAATTGCTTTCTCTTCTAATAGCCCGCACTATTATACTATCACTATTTAATAATATTTAATGCCGTTATTTATTACCGTTTTATTTAATATCGTTAGTTAATGTACATAATTTTACCGGTTTTCATCGTTCTTCTGTAATCCATTTTTTAAAGGCAACAAATGGCTATTCGGTGTCAGTTTGAGGCGAGTGATGAAGTGGGTGCATTTTGTAAATTAACAAACAGCTATTGTCTCATTGGAATTGGTGCATCGGCGAATTTTTACAGGTGATTTTTTTTTGTCTATTTGGTTAGAAAATGTAAATAAAAAGTTTTGTTATTGTGATAGGAATCTCTTTCTAGAATGGTTTTAATTTTAGTCTGGTGGAAGCTGAATTAGCAGATACGATTCCAGTTATTCATTGTTCAATTGCTGGTACTAGGATTGTTGGACGTATAACAGTTGGCAATAGGCATGGTTTGCTTGTTCCATACGCTACCACCGATCAAGAATTGCAACATATCAGGAACAGGTTCAGTAAATTTCCCTTCTTGTATCTTAGGAATATTCTGTTGAGCGTAATTTTCTTTCATTTAAAGGTAAAAAATCTGTTAAAAAAAATTTTTAATTTTCGAGCTTTCGATTCAATTCAAATGATTTGAATTAAGGAAAGGTCTATTATTATAAAGTATGATGATTGCAGTCTGCCAGATTCTGTTAAAATAAAACGTATTGATGAGAAATTATCAGCGCTAGGAAACGTTATTGCTTGTAATGATTATGTTGCTATGGTCCATCCGGAAATAAGTAAAGAAACAGAGAAGGCAAGTTTCCTATTTTTTAAGTCATTTTTATACGAAAATTTCTATTTTATTTCATTAGTGGTGGGTCAGTAGCTCAGTGGTAAGGTAAGTTGCTATCAAAAATCGAGGGTTGGTTTCGAATCCGCCGACGCACCACTCAGGCGCCAGTTTCTTCTTACGGAAAAAATGAAGGGGAGTAAAATGAGGCTCAATTCGGAATGCCGATGCTGAGATTCGTCTACTTGTAGGGATAGACCTGTCCAAAATTTCGGATGATGGCGACTTATCTGTACTTCTATTTGCCAAGAATTTCCTGGCTTATTTGTCTAGTGCGACAAGTCAGTGGAATGAGTCTAACTAGTAATGCTTGTTGCTCTTAAAAAGAAAAAAAAATTGGAAATAATCGAAAATTATTCCACTTTCTTCTTACGGCCGAATAATTTATTCCCTCAAAGGGCAGTGATTGTGTTTATTATGTAGAGAGAACTGTGGAGAGAACTCTTGGAAGCCAAGTACGGTGGCATTCAACATCTTGACATACTCATACTGTAAACAACCAATCGTGCATGGAATGAAATGAAGCGTAAAATAAAATGAATCTTTATAAATAAATCTTGCAAGATTGCTGGAGAGGATGATTTGATTTGATTCTTCAATGTGTATTTTATTTTATAAAATAATTATAAGAAGTCTTCAGGCATTCTTTGCTATGTTCCCGATCCTTAAGAAGCTGATAGAATGAACTAAAGTAATTATTGACTATGCCTCTGTCTTCTTATATCTCTGAAAGGATTCTCATTTCTTGCTTTGAGTTATGGTAATAATCCTAAGTACACGCTGAGCGAATCGAATCTCAATTTCATTCACTTTCGCTCGAATACCATCATCGTCATCATTAACATTATTATTGTTATTAATGCTATTAATGGTACTACAGAACTGGTTAAGTACCCTGTTGGCCTCCTCGGAACAATGAAAGCTACATTTTAAATCGTGGTACTAAGGTCCAATCGTAGGTGCAGGGATATATGGATTATTTAGTATAACAAAGAGTGATCCCAATTCTTTTCAACAGGATAACTTAGAAAGATTCCACTTCGGTATCTAAAGGTATGCATTATTAGATTGCTTTAATCACCATTTTATTCACCTAATATTATGAATGAATGATTATTGCTATGCAATTCTTACTGATTTCAGTTTTCAGGCTCTGAAAGAAATTTTGAATGTTGAGTGTTTTAAAGTTGGCCTTGGTCCGCAAGCATTGGTCAGAATTTTTTTTCATTTGTTGTTATTGAGCTTTAATAATTTCTCTTCCGAATGAATTGTATTGGAATGAAATATTCGAAAAACATTGAGTCTTTTGAATTTAAAAAAAAATTTTTTTCATCTTTTTTCATCTTTTTCTCTCTTTTCTTATAATTTTCATCTTTCCTGTTCGCTGTACTGGATTAAGGTTGGATCATATGGCGCAATTACATCAAACGGAGCATTGGTTGCGGCTAAAACACCTGTTGAGGTTCAAAGAGAAATCGCTTCTCTTTTACAAGTTCCTGTGGTTGCGGGCACTGTTAACAGGTAAATTTTTTCGATATTTTTGCCTAATTTTTTCTTTTTTATTCTAGATTGTTTGAACTAATTTCGATTTGCATCCTGTCACTTAATATTCTTATTATTTTTAATATCTCCTAATCTTTTTAAAAATTGATTAATTTTTTCTTTCGTATATTTTTCACTATGCTGTGACTATGTATTATATATCAATATCTTTTACAGAGGTTCGGAATTGGTTGGGGCTGGTTTATGTGTAAATGATTGGATAGCATTTGTTGGTTTAAGTACAACAAGTACTGAGATGTCTGTTATCGAATCAATCTTTAAACTCGGTGACAGTTTACCATCGGCAATAACCAGCAATTTACGTGACACACTTATTGAAAGTATGTTATGATAAAAATATTGTTTTTCATATGAAATTTGTTACTATGATGTTCATATGATCTTTTGATTCTTTAATTTAGTTTAGTTATTCATTTATTTTTTATCTTTTTTTTGGATGAATGTTATCTTTTACAAATGATTTTATCTAATTACGAATTGTTTCATTTCCTTGCTTCCTTTCATTTTAAGTAAAGTAAAAATGAAGTATTTTCTCATATTTTGTTATTCGTTAATATTAAATTTGTTTACTGGTTAGATAAAATGATGCTAAATTAAAAAATTATTCATATACATCCAGATCGGTTAAACCAGAAACAAACATACACATAAATTCTTCCCAATGGAGAACTCCAGCTGTATTTTCTCTTATGGCTGAGGATAGTTTTTTTTTATTGGAATCTATATGAATTCAGTGTCGCTCTTCGATAAATTTTTGGTGAAGGAAACGCTGAAGATCGAATTTTTCTTTTAGCTTTTATGAGTAATTCTCGTTGAAAGTCAGATGATATCGCATTTCTTCCTTAATGTTCGCTTTTTTAGATTCCCCGCTTTCTTTTCATCGCGCTTTTGCTATTGTTTAGTACGTAATCAAAAACTATGTCATTCCGTTCTTTTACCCTATTTCTTACCATTTTCAGAGTTGTAAAATTCAGAGTTATGAGATGGTAAATCGATGAAAAATATTTTTTGGGTTTTGGGGATTTAAATAAGTAATTCGATTTGAGAGAATAACAAACCAAGGAATTCTTGAATTCTTGAGTTACCGAATTTCTAGTCTTTTTGTTGGGTTTTAGTCTATGGTTTGATTGGATGCATATTAAATAATAGGCTACTTGAACATCGTTTCGCTTGAGTCATTTGAGGATAAAAGTAGTGGTGAATACTATCCTTTGATTATCTAAGAGGTAAAATACAAATTTATTAAGAAATAATTGGAAATTTTTAGGCTATATTTTTGTACTTTATGTTTATAAGCGTATTTCTTATTCTCGGGCATCTTTTCACTATGGATAAGTATATTTCAGGATGAGTATATTACTAACGGGTGCGGCTGGTTTCATTGGTAGTCACGTTGCTGTTGAATTAATTAACGCTGGTTATAACATTGTATGTGTTGATAATTTCATCAATTCGGTGCAAGGTTTGTTGCAATTCAAAACATTTAATTGTCTTTTCCAGTTATCTTTCATAATTGATTAATATCTTTCATAATTGATTTTGGAATCAGTTGAAAGGTTCTTCTGAACTAAATCTTATCATTAAAAATCATTAAAAAAGCAAGATAGAGCATTTTCAGTTAATTTTTACGATAATCGTAGTTGAAAGAGAGATAAGAGTTGGTCAGACAAAGTGGGCTAACATAATTTTTGATGATTTTCCCCTTTTATTTTATACCTACAAAATCCAGATGAGTGGTGTCAAGCAATGGGCCAGTGGTTTCGCTGATTTTAAATATAATTTTTTTGTGAAAATTTATTATATCCAATTTAGATGAAATGGGAGATGCAGTTAGCTTGAAGCGAGCTGAGAAAATTGTTGGTCAAGAAATATGTTTTATTTTTGCAGATTGCACGAATGAACGCGATCTTGAAAAAGTTTTTCAAAAAGTTTGCCTTTATTTCTTAAAAAATGTTAATGAAAATATTATTTATTAACCGCGATTCCCTTTCTAGCAAAATTGCTATTCGTTCTGTAAGATTTTGAAAACAATCTTTGCTTTTCCGTCTTTACCAAAGAGTTATTACTCTCCTACTTTATAAGCTTAATTTTAATTCATGTGACATTTTATGGTTAATTCTGGTGGCAATTATGGTTTGGTAGTATTTAAATATTTGAACTTATAATCCCTAAACTTTATTATTTGTAATAATACTCACCATCATTGGTTTATCGAGCTGCAGTTGATTGTTCGAGTGAGAACCTTTTATCAAAAAATCAATTCGGGACGAAATTGTACTTAGATCTTCAATAACCATCCTCTTTTAGTGATAGTTTTATCCCCATCGGGGGTGGGAGGGGGGGGGGGAGGGAGAGGAGGGATAATGGGATCAAACCCATTCCGTTCGCTCTCATGCGCTATCATAACATGAATATCTTAAAATTTAATGAATATAAACTAATATTATACATAAAATACAAAATATAAAATACATTCAATAAAATATTACAAATCTTTATTTTTTTAGCATACGATAACTGGTGTTGTTCATTTGGCAGGGCTTAAAGCAGTTAAAGAATCGGTTGAATTTCCTCTCGATTATTACAACAATAATCTTTTGGCAACACTTTCGTTGCTTAAAGTAATGCGCTTTTCTAAATTTTCGCTTAGAATCTAACTTTATATTTTAAACAGTTATTTTTGAGATAAATTAATTTCAGATGTGTAAGAAATATAATGTGAAAAATTTCGTTTTTTCGAGCAGTGCAACAGTTTATGGAACTCCAGTGAAATTGCCTATAACAGAGGAACATCCTACTGGCGTCGGTATTACAAATCCTTATGGACAAACGAAATACATAATTGAAAAGATCTTAATTGACTTATCGAATGCAGAAAAGGTTGATTTAATGATTTAACCCAGTTTATTTTTTAATTTAGCAGGCACAGCAGTTGTTTTTCTAATATAGATATGGTTTTTGTCCTAAAACATTTATTTTCTGGTACTGATCTTCATTTAAATTCGCGACTGAGACTGAAGTATATCGGGTGTTTTTTTCTTTCACTTTCTCCTCATTTTTTAGTTTTCCTTACGATTTTCTTTGCATAAATAAATATTTATTTTGAGGATTGGAACATTGTGCTTTTGAGATACTTTAATCCCACTGGCGCTCATCAAACTGGTCTTATTGGCGAAGATCCTAAAGGAATACCAAATAATTTAATGCCTTATATAAGTCAAGTGGCGATTGGCAAATTGGAACGTTTATATATTTATGGTGACAACTTTGAAACTCCAGATGGTAAGTTTTGTGAATTTTATTGAAAATTAAAGTAGATTCCATAAAAATAGTGAAAAATTTGTAAAATGCTTAAGTTTCCAATATCCAATATTTAAATATTTCAAAAATTCATTTTTTTTCTTATACAACTTTTCAAACATTGAAATCTTCAATTTATTGATTGATATAGATTTTTTGCATTCAAATATTTCATTTCATATTCATCAAACAGTCTTCAAGAGATTCATTCAGTTTTTTTCAATTTTTTTGCTTTTTTTCTTATCTCAATTAGATGTTATCATTTTTCGTGTTATCATTTCTTTTTTTTAATATTTCAGGTACTGGAATTCGTGATTATATTCATGTTGTTGATTTAGCTCGTGGTCACGTTTCGGCATTTGATCGTATTAAAAAATTGGGTTCAATTGGTTGTGAAGTTTATAATTTGGGAACTGGTAAAGGATATTCGGTTAAAGAAATGGTCGCTGCCTTCGAAAAAGCCAGTAATAGAAAGGTTTGCTTGGTTATGGAACATGAAATTGAAAAATTATTTTTGTTTTGCTTTGACAAACTCAATATACATGCAAATACATATATATATATACATATGCAAAAAAAGTTAGCGTCTACCATTCCTCATCAAATTAGTTTTTCTGGTTCTATAGAGAAATTATCGCCAGAGAGTCAAAGGCTTGGCAATAGAACTAAAGGTCGATCAACACTCAGTACTCAGACATAACCAATGAATATCATTTGTAAAAAATTATTTTTATTTATTGTTTTATTAAAATTATTTATTGTTTTTTAAAATCTAAAAATCTAATACTGGAAAATCTAAAAAAACGGCAGTTTTTTTCAGGTTCCATCAGAAATAACTACTCCACGACCAGGTGATATAGGTTGTGTTTATTGTGACCCATCGTTGGCCAAAGAGAAAATGAACTGGGAATGCGAATTCGGGCTGGAAGAGATGTGTCGCGATCTATGGAATTGGCAGTTAAAAAATCCGAATGGATTTTCGTCTCTTTAATGTGCATAAATGCGTGTATTATTACCTTATTTAACTTTGCTCAACTTTCTTTTTGCTTTCTTCCTTCTCCATTTCACTTTACTAATTTTTCCAACCTTTAAATAAATCTATTCGCTTTGGTCCTTAATCTCTATTGTTTTAGATAAAATTTTCTTTCATTTAAGCATTCCTTAATTAATCTAATAAAAATTTTTTATGCTTTGTTATACGAGCATTTCAATTTATTTAGTTAAGCAGTGCTATTGGCTGTATTTCTTACATTTTTATTATTTTTTATTAACTTCAGATTGAAGGACTTCTTAGCCTTTTTCTAATAGCACAAATACGGATTAGATTGATTACATCGGCCAAAAGTAAGGCGTCTCTAGGCTGCTCGATCCGATGTCATGTCTGATAGTAACAGAAACACAGAAGCCATTCTCATCGTTTAAGCCCATATATCGCGGAGCCATCTATATGTTTAAAATATTTCGTGGTGATTTTAATAATTTCTTGGCAATTCCACAGGGATTTTATCGGGGGCATAAACTCATTTCTTGGCTCTGAAACACCTTATTAGTTTAGTCTAAATCAAGATGTTTAAATCGAAAATTATTTTTATTTTCAGTGCCTGAGCTAAATATTTAGGGTTTCATGAAATATTTCACGAAGTTATTTGGAATTTAGGTTGGTCTGGATGAAATTTCTCGGGTGATTAATAAAAATGCCACTAAATATTGGTATAATGGGGCATGTGGATAGCGGTAAAACAACATTAGCTCGAGCGCTTTCAACAATTGCTTCAACAGCTGCATTTGATGTACATTCAAAAGTGGCAAATTTACGGGCAAATACCATTGATCTTGGCATGTCAGCGTTAAAATTAGATGGCAAGATCTTAGCTTTCATCGATTGTCCAGGACATTCATCTCTTATTCGGTATCCATTTTTTGATTTATTTAGAATTTTTAAGTGATTATTAAGCGGATTGGGGTCGGTAAGCTTGGAATTACCTTACTCTATTAGCCAATAGAATCAGCTAAGCCATAAATAATCCGAGCAGATACAAGAAAATGACGGTGATGAAAAGGTGGATGAACTTAAAGGAATCCAACTTCCAATTATATCTAAATAGGGTTCTGGAATTGCTTCATAAATATTTAATTATTTTTGACTGAACACAGGTTTTCTTAATTTTGCCTTCTAAATTTTCTTCTTCTAACAGCTGTTGCCATTACTGGTTGGTTCAGATGGCTACAAGGCTAAGACATATATTAATAAATTAGTCGATTTAATGAAGTTCTTTGCAGTTCTGTATTAATTGCGTCAAGTGTTTTCGACATGGCGATAGTTGTTGTAAACGCATTAAAAGGAATTGAACGACAGACCGCTGAACATTTGCTACTTGTTTCATTAATTTGCCCGCAACATTTAATTGTCGTTCTAAGTAAGGTAATAAATTTTTTCTTTTTATTATTCATAAATCTTTTATTAATATATTTTTCTTTAAATTATAAAAAATCTTTTTTGAAAATTTATTTTCATTCATTTTAATTTTTAATTTTTATAATTTTTAAATTGATTTTTGCTATTTAATTTAATTTCTATTGAATTTACCATAGAAATAAAATTTTTTATATTTTCCCAGTAATTCGCCATTTTCTATTTTTTAAATGATTTTTCAATAAATTATTTTTTTTTTTTGATTTTAATATTATTGTTCAAAACGAATTGGATGGATTCCTTCTTTGATTACTAATTTTTTTAATATAATAATATAATAATTAAATATAATAAAAATTTCAAAAATTACAGTGAAAACTGAATTTCATTTATATTTATTTTCTTTTATGTTGTTAGTTATGTTTAATTAAAAATTAAAATTATTAATTATATTTAATTATTAATTTATGAAAATTTTAGATTGATTTGGTTGATGAAAAGCAAATTGTTGATGTAAGAAAGCGGATTGTCAAAGCCTTAAAGCAATTAAATATCGATAGTTCTCCGATTGTTCCAGTTTCATTAATCTCTCCTAATGAATCGAATATCGCTTGCATAGTAGAAGCAATCCGTCAGAATTTTTATGAACCTGAACGTATTTCTAGTGGCAAATTTGTTATGAGTGTTGATCACTGTTTTCCAATCAAAGGTAAAGGAACAGTAATGACGGGAACGATTATCGACGGAATGTGCAGGTTGGTTCTTCAGTTTTTCTTAATAATTTAGTAACTTTAAAAATTTATTTAATAAATTTGCTTTCTGCTTTTCTTTTAGTTTTGCAATTTTTATTGAATTAGCCATTGATTTTTTGGTATTTTCCATATTACTCGCTCTAGAGCTCCAGTTTATGAAATCAAATTGCTTGGGCACACATATCGATAGATCTCCCGCATTTGATAGGTTTATTTTAATGATAGGATCGTAGCGCGCTTGAATTTTAGTTTAGAAAGTTTATAAATTAATAAGTGTCTAGCTAATCAGCCAATGCTGGCTGAGATCATTAACTAATTACTGGTATTTCCGGCCTTCGTATTATTAATAATTAAATTCATAAGTATCATATAATTTCAAATTTTCCATTATTCGAACCTCTAATTAGCATTTTTTTGATTTCAACACGAAATCATTATTTTTCTTTTCTTTTTAACTGTAGTAAATTTTGTTCATTAAAAATTTCTGCATTTATTCAATTTGATATGTTCATTAAATGAATTTCTGCATAAAGAATAAATTGAACTTTTAAGTTATAAGTAATAACGCTAATAAGTAATGAATGTGAATAAATAATTTTAGCATCAGAATTAATAATTTCACTGGTTTCAGAATTGGAATGGAAGTTGAAATTCCGATTTCAAACGAAAGAAGAAAAATAAAAAACATACAATGCTGGAAAGAAGATGTCACGGTTGCCAATATGGGTGAACGTGCAGCACTTTTGTTTCACGCTATACCGAATCTGGAAAAAATTGATCGCACTATAATTTTCGAGCCAGGCGCTTTAAGTCGAACACGATTTGTCTATGCAAGTGCTCATAAAATAACTTTTTTTAAACCAAAATTAATTAATCGTTGTAAATTGCTTATCTCAGTTGGCTTCAATGCCATGTTGGCTGAATGTCAATTTTTCGTTGAGGCTGATTCCGTTGACGAGTTTGAATTGAAATCTGACGATGATGAGGGTTTTTCTTCGGTTTTACTTTCTTTCGATAGTCCAATATACACTAAGCCGGATAGTTTATATATTGCATCGAAACTTGATAGTCAAGATAGTGGGTGTAGGTTTGCATTTCACGGTAAAATTCAACGTATTCTTAATGATGATCGTGAGCTTTGTCGATTTCGTCGTAAAATAAAATTTGGACAAGTTGAGCGAATCGAAAATGAAACGAGCCTAATTTGTAAAAATATGTTCAAAAAAGAAAGTAATATTGATAGGTTTATTGGAATGCCGGTAAAATTATCAACGGGTGAAAAAGGCTTTATTGAAAGTACCTTTGGCAAAAGTGGAAAGGTAAGAATTCGTATCGATAGTAGTTTTGCAATACGGCAAAGTTCGCTTAATGAGGAAATTTTCATTTATTTATACCTTAAAAAATATTTAAATGATCATTCCTTACGTGCTTATATTCCATGAATTTCTAGTTTTGTTCCTTATTCACCATTGTTTGAGCTTTTTATTATCCTTTTCTCATTCCAAAGGTCTCCTTTGGAATAATTTTAAATTCTTTCAATAAAATGTCTGTAATTACAAGTAATGAATGGTATTTTAGGAAGTAATGTAAAATATTAACCATGAAATTATTTCTACTGATGGTAAGATCACTGTGATCTACAAAGTTCTGAGTTCCATTTGTGGATAAGACAGGTGAAAATATATCTGCGGGTCTTCTACTTCTAATCTATTTACAAAACCCTAGGAAGGTTATGGAATTCATACTGGTTCTACTATTTGGTCAGAATTTCCATGCCGAATTTCCCATTTATTTTCTTGTTTTACCCGTTGAGAATTGAAAATCATCCATTAAAGGGATTTTTTCTTTTATTATTTTTGATTTTAAATTTAAATTTAATTTAAATTTCAATCGTTTCGTTTTTTTTCATGGAACTGGAAATGTTCATTAGGTGAACAATTATTAAAGCATTTTTAATGATTATATATTTTGTGAATAAATATTTTTGCAATTATATTTCAGTAGAAAAATAAGCAAAATTGAGAAATAGTAAAATAAAATATCTTTCATATATTTTTTCATATTATTCAGCAATTTTAATTTTTTGTTAGTTGCTTAGAAAAGGAGCAGATTGAACAGTTGGCAGTTCTCCTTCTAACAGTGGTCACCAGGCCATTAGGACGATAGCCGTTGGGATTGACTAGAGAATCACTTGAGCATAACAGTAAGGGTAGGCAGAATTTATAATGGTACGACTTTGGGTTTCACTCGAAACACTCGATACCATTCAGCCTTGGTCGATTGTGAATATTCTCACCGCATTATAGGTCTGCGAGTCCATCAACCTTAAGCTGGCAATTTAGAAGTGTGTCCAGTTATTGTCAATTCTGTGGCTTTCGCTTGCAAGTTTGTTTTCCAGGAATGAGTGTTATTTCATCAATCAGTATAATAAGAACGACATTAAAGAGGTGTCTTTTAATCAAACCACTGACGAATTATCCTTTTATACGAGGATATAGTAAAAAGAAGGATCCAAGAAAGAATGATGAATTACAAGAAGATGTGGATTTTGGTGAATGCGAAATTGAAGATGAAATTGCGGAAACGGTTGACGATGGCCTTCCAGTTGATTACAAAGTGAAAACAATTAAGGCACCAAATCGCCGTTTGGAGACGATTGTGAAACGTGTTGCAAAGAAGGGAAATGCGTTAGTTTTTACTGCATTACGATGAATCCACAATTTTGGAAATATCATTCGGACCCTTTCAGCTAGAAATTTAAAATTCATTGGTGCCTTAGGCTTGTAGATCAATAAATGAATGAGTAGGTAATATTGGTATGCGAAACTGCAGAAATGAGAGTTTCCCTCTTAGTTCCGCCATTTTTTATTAGTCCGTAATGCTAATTTTCAACTGGCGGAATTCCTCCATCCTTCCAGTGATCCCAGTATATCTCCAAATGATTGGATATGGTGAGTCCCGGCCTTTCGCTTACTTATTATAATCATAATTTTATAGCACGTTTTCTGGGATATTAGAAATTTTGCTGTTTTGTAATCAAATCTCCGTAAGTCTTCCAGAAACATGCATTCTTTTTTTATCCTCATCATATTTATTATTTCGCTTATGGATTTTCATGGATTTTCAGAATTTTCATATGAAAATTTTCAGAATGACGGATAAGCTTATATTTGGGGGAAAAGTGCGATTGAATGAAGAGGATACGAATAAAAAGAAATCTTATAACGTATGTAGAATGATTATGATTTTGAAGTAGAATAATTTTCTTGGATTTTTCTTCTTTTTTCCTAACAAACACTTTATAGAATCTTCTTTTTTTATGAATTTACTTTTCGTTTAAACTGAAATTTAAAAATTTAATGACTGTAATTAAAATGGGAAAATCGGCAGAAACGCATTTCAAAAAGTATTATTTAAGAGAAAAGCTAATAAGGAAAATCTGTGATAATTTCAAACCAATAATTTCTCATGGGGTGGTCAATAATTAATAATTTTACTTCTTTTGAGGAAAGTTTGATTAGAACATTATAATTAGAAAAATAGAAAGATCAATTTTATTTATTTGGAACTATTTGGCGAAACGGGCAGATAACTGCTTGAAATAAACAAACAAACAACTGCGAAAACTGTGGATTTGAGATATTCAGGACGAAGTTGATGATACCAAAATTCTATATTATTTATTTATATTATTATTAATAAAGAACTTTTGATGTTATTCCTGCAATCGTAATCATAAGCAAAGCAAAGGGAATAGTGGATTTTTGCTATTATTTCGAACTTTCGGACTGCCGATGCGGTGGTTGCACTCATGACCCGGTGATTCCGAGTACTGCCTATTTACCTGCATTTCTATCGTGAGTAATTCTTTAGCCGGGCATACCAGAAGCCAAAGCGAGCCAGAAATGGTGAGCGAGTGAGCTCTTAGGTAAAAAGGAAATTTCGCTTCGACAAGTTTTTTTGCGTTTTCAATGGTGATCAGGTCTTACAAATTGATTTGAATTTTTTTGAAATAAGCCACTGATTGGCTTTTAAATCTTACAAACATTTATAATCCTGAAAAGTAGAAATTCAGGTGGAACAATCGGATATTATCGATGTTTGGGAGAGTGCCATAGAAGACAATCCATCGCTATCAAAAGTTTGCCGAATCGAAGTACAACAGTACAAATTAATGCAGAATGGTTATGACATTCAGGTAAAAGTGTGGAATGACATGATCGTCGATAATTGGTGCCATCATTTATAAAACATTTATATCGCCAATGTAAGCGCTGAAAACTATATTTTAGTTGGATTTTATTCTTCTCACTTTTCTATACGCTAATTTGCGAACTCCGCCTTTGCCTATAACAACTGAACTTCGAGAGTGAAATCATTTATTCTCGTTTGAATTCGATCTTCCTAGCAGTCAGTGCGTGTTTCTTCTCGATGTTCACCTTCCTTATCACTGCTCTTCTTTCATTGATGCTTCTTACCTGCGTAAGTAATTTCCTAAAGAACCCAATTAAGCACATTTTTTGATTTCATCTCATTTCTATTTTTTAATTTTTTTAATGAAATAAAAGTTTTTTTTAGAAATTCTTAGTTTAAAATTGTTTGCAAGGTTTTTCTTTTCATTAAATAAACAATTTTTAATTTAATCTTTAATTTAATTAAATTAAGTCAATGATAAATTAAAACTAATTTAAAATTTACTTAAAATAATAAAAAATAATCAGAATTAAAAATAATAATAAAAAACAATAATAATTTCTGAACGGATAAAATACAAATTTAGATGAACCTTTTTTTACAGAAATTCGCAGTTTGTTTGAAAAGATTATCAATTTATCAATTTATCAATTTCAAAAAATCAGTAAAATTATAATCTTAGAATTCATTCTATTAAAGAATATTCTTCAAGTGTAATGAAAATATAAAATATTAAATATTGCTTCCATTTTTGGTTTCGACTTCACTGACTTTTGCCTCCGAGAAAAGGTGTTCAGTAAGGGGGAAGGATAAGCGAGTGAGTATGACCAGGCCATTTTGTTGCGAGATATGGATTCGGCTTTTGCCTCCGAAAGAAGAAACTCATTTAAAAATTCGAAACTTTATTATTTCGAAAGTCAACATTAAACTAAAACAATAACGGATTTTATATGCGCATCATACCAATTGTTTGTTTTCTTTTCCTCCCGTTCAGGGAAATCCGATCCTATTCGAAGAACGTAAACGTGGATTTAAATTTTTTTCGATATTTGGACTTATATATCGGCCCATTCTTATAATTTTCCTCTTCATCTTTAAATATGGCCAAACGTAACGTAGAATGGCTCAGTGGGCCGTTGCTCTCATCTCGAATTGCCCCTTACAGAGGTTCGACGCCCGTCTGAATCGATGCTTTGAAGATTTTCGGATAACACTGGCTCGTGACTACATTAACGCTCTAACAAAATTCGTCTGGTCTGTAGCGAGGTTAAACGGAAATGGCGACGAAAAATCTGTTGTAATTTGCAGAAAAGCATTTTTTCAATACTTTTTTATTATTTTTCGAAAAATCTTTCCAATTACTGAAGAATATGATTGTTTTGAAATTTTGAAAAATAAATGGAATCATTGAAATGGAAAGAAAAAAGTTCAAAAAATTATGCAAAAATATTTTCGATAGTAATTGAAAATTCATAATAAATAATTGCAATAAACGATTATTTTCAATTTATGAAAAATCGCTTTAGAATAGAATAGAATAGAATTTTACTAATTAATTTCAACTGTTTTAGTTTTCTAGTTCACTTAAAAGTTAAAGGAATGATTCGAAGGAGTGAACCTTGCAAAACTTAGCAAACTTTGGCAAGAAAGCAGCTACGAATGGAATCGTCTTTAAGGCTTCTATGAAGAATAAGAAATATTTCTCGAAAAAATGGAATATGAAAAATTAAAATTTCTCGGAAATCAAATTTCAAAAATTGACAAAAATAGCAAGTGTTTGTTGACTAATAGAGGAGAGGTGCAACGCAAAAAACGAAATTAGCATAATAGTGATAAGATAAGAATAGATGCTCGACGACCTTATCAAATAATCAAAAATTAGTTTAGCCATCTCAGTAGGGAAAAAATAGCAATTCACTTAATGCAGTACGAAACAACTTTTTTGAAATAACCATTACAAGTCCTTTCTTTTTAAATTTCAGGCCAAACTTTAGAAATTTTTGGGCAATTTTACCATTTACCCTAGCCATTTTTTAATTAAATGCTTTATCATTCAGCGCGTTGTTATTTTTACTAATTTTCTGTGATTTTAATTTTAATTTCCCAATGCGAAATTTTCTATGCCAAAAATTTTGATTGCAGACTTTTGATAAGAATATCAATACATCGAGCATTTATCTTAATATCATTGTATCAAATTTCGCTCTTTCACATTGCATCCTTATCATTCGTTATCATCATTGCCATTCAATAAATATTATTTGAAATTCTATTAGCCTATTTATTTTAAGAGATCGTTTAGACGAAACATATTCGCCATTTTAATATTTTTTTTTTTTTAAAGAATATGATTTACGAATTTCACGCAGAATATTTCATTAAATGAAGGCTGCAAATTCTGAATGATTCTTGAATTCGAGATTATTTATTTTAATGAGAAGAATCACAAATTAGTTTAATTGACTATCGAGAAACTGATGAGAACGCGCATCGTAGGTTGCGCAAAAAGACGTTGGCTAAAATTCTAATTTAGCAAAATCGCGTGGGCCGCAAGGAAATATCTCTTATATTCCCTCGCTCGCACGTAAATAACGTACAAGTGGGAAATATTTAACATTTCTAATTGCAAATAGTGTTTTCAATTTAACTGGTTTGGCTGAATTCTGGACTATGCTTTTAATTACTTAAGTTACTGATTATCAACTGAGTGCTATGTGTATGATTAGAGTTACATGGACATAGAAATAGAAACAGCATCCCGTGAAATAAAATCGTCGAGCCAATTACGCGAAATTTAGTCGTATCTAATTTCTTTGAAAAAACCATCAAGCAGAGCAGAGGTGGCATGAACCTGAATAAATGAATAAATAATTAAAACGAAATTATCAGCAAAAAATGATAATGAGAAACAATCAGAACTATGCTTTTGCATAACAATTGCGACATGAATATAATAATAATTTATATATAGTAATAAAAATAATTTAGATAATAATTTAATTTATAATAATTTAATTTACAATGATGATGAAAATTTCGTTATTATAAAGTGGATAAAAGATGCATTAAATAATATCACGAATATCTAGTTATTTTTTATATATTTTTTTAAATTCAAGAATGATGGTGCAGAAACAAGCATCCATAGACTCGGCAGTTAATGCTAGGGACGGAAACGTTGTGAGGCTTGGTCTTGCAGACTGGTTTCCCAATAGTCATGCCGTTACCTCTCGCATTATTTGAAAAAGACTGATGAGAGGAGAGCCTCACAAGATAGCCAACATAGCCGAACAAATTTTAAAAGTGCAAGTCAGTCTCTTCTCTAGGATTCTTTATGAATTCCACCATATCAAAATCTACATTTGGTCGTAAATAAACAGGATTTGTATTTAAACAACGCAGAAAATATTTTTGCGAATTGTCGATTCCTTTGACTTTTTTTAAAGAGTCCTCACCATTACTGGTTAAACCCGCTCCACTGGCCTGCCGCATTGGGCAATATGCCAGCGAGTCCCTGTACGAAAGTCCGAATGATGCTGGCGATAGAAATACAGGTTCGCTCCTGCGGGGAATCGGACCTCAGCATCGGCACTCCAAACTGAGCGGCGATTACTTCGACTGTTCATTAGCTAATCATATTAATGCTTTATCACTTGGTCATTACTCGTTCGGCTATAAAAATGGGACAAGGCCAGGGCTTAAATTACTGGGAAAGTCTAGAATTCTCGAATGGAAATATGTTTGCAGATAAAGAAACAACTGCGGGGAGATTAGAAATGCCGAATTGCCGCATCGTAATTCATTAATATGCAATGCAAGCCACTGAGTGAAGGATTTGCGGAGTTTTTCATTATTTTTTTCGATAATTTCTAAGGACTAATCGCAGTTATCGCAAAACTTTCAATTTTTCAATTTATTCGAGATAGTGGAAAATGCCAATGAATTTTTTCTTTTTTTTTGTGGCAAATTAGTAGTATCAAATGAAAATATAAATTGATAATATAAATAAATATAAATATAAATTGCTTTGATTGATGGCGAATACTTTGAACTTTCTTCGCTGAATAAAACCGTCCATAATTCATTAAAAACGATAATCAGGTGATCCTTAACTGATAACTGATAATCGAGACAATCATTAATCATGAACTTCTTATAAAATAATTCTACATAGTTCCTTATTCCTATAGGACAAAGCATTTTTAAGTTATTGATAATTATAAAAAAAAAGTAAATGAAATTTAGCAGATAACTGACAACAATCTTGCTGGGTTACTTTCCTTTCATTATTTCAATTATTTCTGAAGAATTTTCTTTTTTCTTCATAAGAAATGAGAAAAAATATTTTAGATTTATTTAAATCATTCAGCGACAAATTGGAAAGGCAAACAAATCATTTCTTTGTTTTCTAAAAATAGAGAGTTTTAAAAATAGTTTTTAAAATAATTTAATTTGGAAATGTGGGTGTCGAATCGAACAACGTGGCTCAGTGTTTCGGAGATCGACTATAGGGATAGTGGTTACTCTACTTCTGGCAGAAGTAGAAATCCGAGTGATGCTTGCGACTCTGTTTGCCTCTATTTCTATTACCAAATTGCCACTTAACAAAATTGTGTCTAAATGTTTGGTCCAACAAACCAAAAATGGTGAGCGCTCTTCGGAAAAAAAGAAATATTTCTCCGACTTTAACTCAAAATATAATTATTATTAAAGAATGTAAACAGAAGAAATCTAATAACTTGCGCTCGCAAGTCTTATGATTCGCTTATTTATCGAATTTTTATAAAAATTGAATGATCAAAAATTCAAATTAGTAAATCAGTAAATTGGTGAAAATTTTTCGGATCAAATATCTGACATCCAATATTAGTTAGCTATTAAATAACTAAATTTGATGAAAGTTCTTCCTTTCATTCACTGCTGAAAAACGCTTTTTAATCTCGATGCACTTCGAAGCTTTTACAAATCTTATGGATTTATTAATCTTTAAGTTGGGAAATTTAAATCCTTGTTGTCAAATCTTAAATCGCTTATCGTTTCCTTTCACTTCACTAGTCGATAACGATAATAGAATCACAGATATCTCACATCAAATTACCATTTCACTGAGTTTTATTTTAATTTATGCATTGAGAAATAATTACTCGGAATTGGTTTCGGATTTCATAAGACTATCAAAGGTGTCCAGGACATAAAAGAGATGTCGGAAATTCGTACTTTGAACTGAGTCATTCAAATATCCACGACAATTTTTCAATAACCTAAATTTATTGCAAATATTTCCACGTTTTTCGAATATCTCATTTTTATTTCAGAATGGAATACGTGTTTTCCCTTATATCCATCGGAATTCAAAGGCAATTGAAGCAGAATTAATGGCGGAATTTCAGAAACCTTCTTCATACGACTTTCATAGGTTCCTTAACTCGATTAATTTAATCATTTTCAACTAAAATTATTTTATTCTTTCAGCTTTCGAAAAAGTAAATTTATTTACAGTGGCAATAAAGCATCATTCAATTCCTTTTAATTAATTATTTTATAGAAAGAATAAAAGAGTTTTTGACTCGTTAAGTGGTTCGGGTTTTACCGGTTTCGATAAGAGGGCATTCGATTCACTAACCGGAATAGGATTTACGGGATTTGATAAACGAACAATTGATTAAAGATCTCGACAAATGGATTTCAAGATGAAAGCTTTTCATCCACAAACTGATTTTAATGGTTTTTAATGGATCTCGTTTCACAATTTTTGAAATTATTTCGCCTGATTTTTCAAAATGTATTATGATTGTACTTGAGTTATACTTACTTGATTTTTAAAAAATTCACTTCGGGAAATAAAAATATAAAGCAAAAAAACTTATCTTCTATATTCCAATGGATAATGACTAAAATTTTTTATATGACCAATTATTTACTTATAAATTTGGAAATTTCTCGAATTTTTCTACCCTAATTAAATGGAAATTTAAATAAAATAAATTAATTTCTTTATTTACGTTGCAAGAAAATATATATACTAAAGATGCAGTGAGGCAGTCTAGTAATACAATGGATATATATATATATATGCTCCAGTGTCTTTTGAAAGAGCTAAATCTAGCAATTATGTCATATAACTGTTATAATTGCCTAAGACTTTAAGTAGAATAGCTTATTTTTTCTCTTATGCTTCTAATATAATCGTATTCATTTTTGTGTAGGTGTTCTGTGTAGAGAATATAAATATTTTTGCAATATTTTTTATCGATTCATTATATTCACTGAATCGAAACAAAACATAATATATTTCATAAATAAAATAAAATAAATAAATTTATGAAAAATGAAAATAAAAAGCGATCACCTCCTCTTTTTTTTATTGGATTTTTGAGTGCCTGAAGCTGAGTTCAATGTTTGAGCGGTTCCCGCATTTCCTGCCTGTCGCGATTTTAACTTTGGAATAAATTCACAAACATAGAGCATTAAAGATAATCCTGAACAAATTACGTGAGATAAAATAATCATATTAGCAATTTGCATAATAAGTGATTAATAGAAAGGAATTTAATACAAATGATGACAATATGAAAACATTCATAGAAAGCAAAAAAAATACTTGTAGGAAATTTTTCATTAAAAAGTGATCCATCATCATTACGAAACTGCACACGAACGCGACCCTGTGAATTTAAATCTCGATTAGGATCGAGTGGATGCATTTTTTGTTTCTGTAAATATATAAAATATTAATATTATTATAAAAATATTAATTTTGATTACCAAAAAACGATTAATGACATCCTATGATACTAATGATATCCCGTTACGATACATCTTGTAGTTACTAATCCATCTTATCTCATATTACCTTCTAAACTCTATTCAAATGTGTCTATTTATATCTTTTTAAAGACCAATTCTGCGTGAAAAAGGAAGAAATGAAATGTATGAAATGATATTGTTTTTTATGACGAATCAATCGCTAAAACAATCGCTATTTATAGAAACATTAGCAAAACAACTAAGCGAAATAAGATAAAAATCACTATCAGATTTAAATACAAGAGGAATTAGGACCGAGCATCCTTAAATTAAAATTTATGCCGCCATTTGAAAAAACCTAAATCGATAAGTTAAATCTCATTAAAAAATCCTAAAGTACCACTCAAATTCACCTAGCAAAGGCACTAAAAGCAATACACATCCAAACATTTGTCCATCAACAGGATAATGAAAAATGAAAAATAACGAAAATATGAGCGATCCGATAAAAATAAAGCACCTCAATTTTAACGTTTAAGCCGGCGTTTGCCAAAATATCGTAAATTTCCTGCGAAGTCGGTGAATCCACTGCCTATTTTTAAATTTTTTATGAATTTCTTCAAATTTTAAAATTCAATAGAGTTTTTTCGAAAATTTTTTCCAACGTTTTATTTTTCTGAGTTTTTAAGTTATTAAGTTCTGAGTTATTAAAAAGTTTTATTGATTATGAAAATCAAATGTATAGAAAATTCTTTTAAAAATTCTAATCCTTTTTTAAAAATCCTTTTAAAAATTTTCATTTTTTAATTTAATTTCAGAAATGATAATTAGTGACCTTTGCCTTGGAAACTCGCCGGCCTTGCGCAATTGTCTTCCTCGAATTTATGTAAAGCGGATATAAACAAATCCATTTGCTCTCATCGCTTGCTGGTTTCGATTTATAAAAGTTATTCGACATTGTTTAGTAAAACAACTAAGTGAAACAAACTGAAAAAAAGAAAAACCGTAAACATGTTTTCGTTTCGAAACAATTCAAAAATATTGCAGCCTAATTCTATTTATTTGATACTTTCTCCTCATTGTTATTGAATAGACGACAAGCGATTAGCTGAGTTCTCTTGAAATTTTCTTTCCCAACACTCATATTTTTCACTGATTTATTAAGGAGAAATAAAAAAATGAAATTATTTTTTATTTGTATTTTTCGGACAAATTTTTTTTTAAGCAATTAGCATTCAATGAAATTCTTTTTTTTTTTTTAAATCAATAAAAATTCATCAAAATGGTTATTTTAAAAAAATAATAATAATAAACATTAATTCAGTGAAAAAATTTAAACAAAAATAATTATTGAAAAGGAAAAGTCAGTCTGATATAATAACATAATAATATGGGAAGAAAAAATTCCCATTTTCCCTCAAATAAATGCAATTGAAATATATCAGTATATGCCAACTTCATTGATTTTACTGATAGTAATGATAAGAAAGTGATAAGAAATGACTTCGAATTCAAACTATTTTCATAAAATTATTGAAAAAAAGCAGAGAAAATGCATATGAAAAATAAACTTGCGTTTCATCCCTGTTAAAAATTACAATACTCATTTCTGCTAAATATGATAAAAGCCACCAATCTCAAGTATTATCTTCCTAAATAGCATTCAGCTGTGTCGAATTTCGTGTAAATTGAACCCACCCGCGTAAATAGAATCCAGAGATGTCAAACTATCGAAAAATGGTATTCGTCAATGAATATTTACCATTTATTGGTGAATGACATAATTCGCCATGGCAACGCTTAGAAGCAGTCGGGCAAATTGCTTTATTACATGTTTGAAAAATTCACATTTTTCTTATAAAATAATAATTTTCAAGGATGAAAATATTTTATGGTTTGAGGAAGATTGCTCCAATTTGATTTTTATCCACTACCCCACCTATTATTTTCGTTATAAATATTGCATCTATTGCATAAATGCAACGACAGTCGCCGAATCATGCTCGAGACGATCTAAGGCTGTTCTCTAAGCACACTCGGTGTCTTCCTTCCGAGTGCACGCCATTTCCGGTTAGGTTAGCTCTGGCTTGTGGAAGTGGTCAGAGTGATTTTGCCAGCCACTTGGCGATAGAAATACAGATGATTCGCCAGCTCGGATTTTTGAAAAAAGTAACTCTCGCACGAGTAGAATCCCATCGGTATCGGCGCTCCGAATCGAGAGAAATAACCACTGAGCCATTCTACCTCCAGCGTTGTTTATATTACGATCTATATTAGAGTTTTAAAATAATGATGATAAACGATGTTTAAATAACTGCACCAAACTACTAGGGAGAGGGAGAGGCTCGTTCGCCAGAGTCGCTCGGGAATCGAAGATAGGTCGGCAGCAACCATCTGAATTTCATTTTTGTTCAACAGGTTTGTTCTTTTACTTTGTTGTACTAACCCGCTTTAATCCTCAGCCATTTTAACATTTCTTAGAAATCAGTTTAGTTTTTATTTTTCTATCCATCTCCATGCGATAGTTAATTACTCGAAATTAACAAAAAGAATGTCACATTTTGGAGGAATGGATTCAGCGAAACTTGAACAACTTGAAGCACTTTTGAACGTCGATGTAGAAAATCAAGAATTCATCAAGAATTGCTATGAATGCGTCATTAAGGTTTTATTTAATTGGTAATTTACCTAAATCCACTGAGTATTAGAGACAACCGAATGGATAATGGTTCGTATCCCTCGGTCGAGACGCAAAAGTTTCGGTTCTTGAGGCGTAAAGCGTAAACCTACATCAAAAAACCCAAAGCGAACCATCTTCTGTCGCTAGGTGACGCAAAAATTTCTTCAAACCTTACCAATAGCCAGTGGAGCTAGGTTAACCAGCAATGGTGAACGCCAAATATTTATTTTACCGAGAATAAAGATAAAAATATTATAAATTTAATAATTTTATAATAAATAAATAATAAATAATAAATAAATAATAATGAATAATAAATTAAATAAATAATAAATAAATAATAAACAATAAATAATAATAAATAATAAATTTATAATAAATTTTACAATAACAAATAATAATAAATAATAAATTTATAATAAATTTTATAATTTTATAAATAAATTTTTTTTGAAAAAGCAATGTTTGGGTGAAACAAAAGAAGGATTTCATCTCTAGCATTTCACTTTCTTTAACAGTGTTAACTACGATAAAAAGAAAAAACGAATCCATGATACTAGCAACAAATAGAACATCGCCGCTCTACGATTCCATCTTTTAGTGATAAATATTTCGCAATTCATTCGAAATTTATTCAAGAGTGAAATCCAGGAAATCCATGCGTATTGTATATCACAATGATAATTTACTAAATTATCAGAATTTTGGACTCATTTCTTTTCTTCTTAAATTATTAGCGAATTTTTAGTACGAATATAATGCGGACGATCCACCGCAAACTATCAGAATAATAATTCAGTCGATGAAATGGCTATTGGAATATGAACGCGCATTTGCTGATGAATTACGTGAAATAGCTGAGAAGGAAGCAAATGAATTCAATGAGAAGGAGGATAAACTGGAAAAGGAAGCGAGGACTCTAAAAGTGAATATTTCATAAATCCCAGTTTATCGCCATAATTCAACTCCTTTTCGCACGCAAGAAATGCAAAAACTTGAAAGAAAACTCGAGCTCGAATGCCAATGGCTAATGGCTAAAATTAGATAAACTTTTTTGTAAACTTTTTCTAAGAATTTGTTAGTAAAAAACTAAAATTCCCATGACGATTTTACCAATACAAATTATGCAAAACCTTTCCAATTTCTAAGAATGAAATTACTGAACTTCGAAAATTATTGGCTTCAAATACGAAAAATGATGTATATAAAAGCGAAACGTTCCGTGTCGATAATCTTCAAGAAGAAATTGCTTATTTAAATGCGCAAATTCGTGGACGGTAATTATGCAAATTTTGATTTATTTTTTATTATTTGCTAATTTTTTGCAATTATGCAAATTTATAATAAAACGCAGTGATATAATTTATAATTTAGAAGTTTTTATTATTTCACTGAAATTTAAGATATTTAATTAAAATTTTTGTTTACTTATTGCGGAGGAGAGGACTTGGGGGACCACTGGAATGAACCACTGGCACTTTGGATTGTCTGTTCAGGGGGGAAGGGAGAGGGGTTCGTAAAGCAATGGCACGTGCCTCAGATAAGAACGAACTGTCCTTTGAAAATTCGGATGGTGCTCGCCACCCATCCGCACTTATAACGCCAGCTGACTCCTCAAATTCCTAAAGTTGATTAGATCACTAAATAATCACCTTAATTTATTAATAGTAATACTTATTAACAGTTGTTCGAGCTAACCGAAAATGGTGAGCACTTTCTCGTTTCGACGTTTTATATGATTTAAAGATTATTTCAGATTTGATAAAATTTCTTGAAAATATGGCTATACTAATCTAGATAACGAATTATGTAAAAAATTTATAAATTCATATTTCATTGCCCTCAAAAATATTTGTATATTTTCGCATATTAATAATCTTAGTTTTATAATTAAATGCTCAACAATCTTCCAAATTAACCAGTTTATTTATAAAATTATCCTAAATTATTCTACTAAAAGTGATCCGAAAATTTTAGTGTTCGAGAGATCAATGATGAGCGTGATAAAAATGAGGAATTAACTGCTCGAGTGAATGCTCTGGAGAAGGAACGAAATTCTCTTATTCATCACGTCCGTGCTTTTTTCCTTCTAAGTCAACAGTGAAACACGAATTTGACCTATGTTAAGGTTCAAGCAATAAAGGCACAATAAAAGCATTGACTATAATATGAGGCTGTAGTAAGCTACGTCGGTTATTTAGTTGCAACATGGTTGTATCGACAAAAGCTCGAGCTCGAATCTGGCTAAAGCACCAAGCGTTAGGTGGCAAAAATATTCAGGAAAAGGAAAAGGACTGATAAAAGGCTGATGAACGATGTTTTATTAAGTAATATAAGCAATATCGATTATTTCCATTAAAAATATAAGTGGGTTCCACGATAGAAATAAAGTTGACAGTGAAAAATAGATGTGCTAGGGATCTGCAGCCTAGGTCGCATGCATGTGCAGTTTTGCTATACTTTATTTTAAAGTGATGTAGAAGCTTTATCCTAATAGACAGAGGAGCCAATCAAACTAGGAATGTTAAAAGAATAAAAATAAGCATTTTCGCAAGTTTTTACCGACCAATCTTCATTAATTCCTTTTCTACCAAATAGCCAAAAAATTTTCAACATGATAATTGTTTCTTTAGGGAAGCAAAACTAATTTTTATTTCAGAAAAGTTTACTAGAAGATAGAATACGCGATTTGAATCGCCATTTGAGCAGTACAAATGAGATTTCGGCCAAGATCGAAGCAGATGAACGCAAACTGAACCAAAGGAATGAGCAAATAATTAAACTTTCATCGCACATTAAGGTGTTTCTTTAGCAAATTTTAGTACTACAGTTTTATAAAACCTACATGTTGGATAAAAGAGGAAGAGGAAAAATAAGAGGAGAGGGAGGAGTAGGAATTGGACTAATTTCATCGTTCAGATTTAGAAATGAGATTTAGAAAAGCATTCGCAGGAATTTGCAAAAGCATTATAAAAAATGATACGAAGAAATCCTCAAAATCAAGTTAATAACGATTTGTTAGAATGAAAAATCCCTTTAAAAACAACTTTCTAACCGGATTTATTTCTAATCGGATAAGAAAAATATAAGATTTTTAAAAATAATTGAACAAAATAAATAAATAAATATTTCTTGTATTTTAAGGAAATAACGCAACGTAATGATGAAATGGCGAATGAAATAGATCGACTATCTCAAGCTTTAGCTTCAGCTACAGTTTTTATAGAAGACACAACGGAAAAATATGCGAGTATGAGAAATGAACTCATCGAAAGTAATAAGGTGATTGAAAGACTTGCGAATGAGAATGAAATATTAACAAAACAAGTAAGTTATATGATAATTTATACTTGATTAGTCGAAGTAAAATCGGCTTTGATCACAGACATCGTTCATTTCTTATCACATTCGTAATCAATTCCCACTTATATGCAAATCAAATGACTGTAATACCATTTAATGCATAAAATCCCCGCATTTCATTGATATTATCGATATTAAGATCGAAGTTAGAGGAGAAGCATTCAAAAAAATGGAATACACTGAAGGTGCAACAATTGAATGTTATCAGGTAAATATTCTTAGGAATGTGTTATAGAATTGCAAAATTCCTTAGACGTAAAGCCAACTTCTATGTCCACAGGTCCACAACCTGTGGATCTAGTTTCTGTGGAACTGGATTTCATATGGATTTTAAAGAAAGTGTTAGTTCAAGCTCATGAAAATTACTTTTTTGAAATCAGAGAAGAAATTAAGTAGATAGAATTTAAACAATCAACATTCTATAGGTATCTTTTTTTGTCCTTATTTTTGAATTTTCTGAAATCGGCACTAGAAGTATAGTGAAAATTTATTTCTCTATTTATGGTATCGTTTTGAAGAATATTATAAGCGGAAAAGACAGACAAATCGAGGAACTTCAAGAGGCAACCCGTTCATTTCAAGTAATTTTTTCTTTAATCATAAAAAACATTAAAATATTATTAATATTATACTAATACTAATTTTATTTTACTAATACTAATGTTATTTTAAGATGCTAATTAATTATACTAATTTACTAATTACTAATACTAATTTTATCAGTTCTTATCAGATGCAACAAGTCGATTAGAGTCCTATAAATGCTAATGCAAATGTATAAACCGAATAAAATAAATAAATAAAAAAATTGTGATTCTAGGTAGAACTTGACAAAACTCGAGCGCAAATACAGTTAAATAAAAGTGAGGAGCGTGAAGAAGAACTTGAAAGGCTAAGAAATGAGCTCGTCGAGGCTACGAAATTTGCGAAACAATTTTTTGGCTCAATAAATGCGGGAAGAGACCGAAATATAATGGAGTTACAATCCAAAATATTGCAACTCAACCAAGTTATTTTAATTCAGTTTATAATTTTCGTTAAATTCTCAGCCTTAATCCTCATTTTCATAAATTTTCATAAATTTCCTTTCCTTCGCCTTATTTTATTTTAAAATTAACAGTTCAAATTATAACAGATTTTATCCTTAAGACTAACAGCACAAACTTATCCCTAAGGCTAACAACACGAACTCGTCCCTAAGGCTAATAGCACAAACTCGTCACTAAGGCAAACAACAAGGTTTTATGTTACGATTTGAATTACAGGAGATTTTGTCAGCAAAAAAAGAAATCGAAGCAATAATGAAAGAAAAAAATAATTTGGAAAAAAGCTTAGAGATGAAAGATGATGAAAATTTGAAAATTAACAATGAACTCAAAAGGATGCGCATTGTAATCGACATTTTTTATTCCTTCTTCTTACACCATTATTGGCTTGGATAGTTCCACTTGTGACTGTACAATGGGTTTCCAAAACTCACAACCCGACACTATGTTTGAAATTAATAGGAAGAACCAATCCTTTTTTTACTGCCTAAGTCCATAAATTGCCTATGCGCTTGAAATCCTTTCTAAAGTCCTATCTGCCTTTTATTACAAATCTTTTTATACAATTTTTTTAAAGGAATAATAAATAATATGCAATAATGGTTTCGCATTTTTAACAAAATATAAAATATTACAATATTAAATTGAGGAAACATTTGGTGATGCTGAAAATGAAATAAGCCGACTTGAGAAGCAGTTGAAATTCCGAGATGAGCAAATCGAGAAATTGAACGTGAAATGTTCATTGCTCCATTATGAACTAATTTCACCATCGGAGAAGGCAAATACTTCTTTCAGTGGCGTTCTGAACCTTTCGCATGAGACTATAAGATCAGCTGAAGAATCTTCCGAGGATTCAACATCATTGTCGCCACCGAAATTGAAGACAACCGAAGATAAAAGTATTGAAACTGACGTGAAAAATACAGTTGATACTGTACAAAAAGCACTTGCAACCGAAAAGACAGAAATACAAACTAAAATCCTAAGGCCGAATACTCAAACGATTGAGAGTTGGGAAGCAAGTGCAATGTTAATCGCTTCACAAAATCATGAACTCATGATTCTACTTCAGGTTAAATTCTCTCTTTTATTAAACAATTGACTTTTCGTAATGAAGAAATCATTCCAAAATAACTGAATTTTCGGAAATATTCCGACAAATCTTCTAAAATATCCATTGAAAATATTCAATAAAATGTCGAAATGCAGAAAATTAATTTTTTTCTTAAGGAAATTGAAGATAAGGATGAACAATTACAAAGGATGGAAAGAATTATGATAGATGCCACAAAAAATTTTGATTGTTTAACTGAAAAATATTCGAAACTACAAGAAGAATTCATTAAATTCAAAGAGGTGAAAGAACGAGAACTTAATAGAAAAATTAACGATACGATTGCTGAGTATGAAGTGGAACTTGAATGGTACAATGTACGTTTTTTTGGTAGATCCAATAAAATATCTGAGGTAAGGCTCGGGCTTAGATTTAGGCTTGGAGTAAGGTAAGCTCCTAAGCTCAGTCAAGCAAACAAGTGCCCTATCTACTACAGTAGGCTAGAGCAATATTTCTAACCGTTCGTTAATTCGGTTTTCTTGCCACAAATAAGGCTTCAAGCACCACGGCATCGATCCCTATCTTTCGAAAGGAACAAATGTGAAACCAAAGAGAAAAATGCTAGTGGTGCTGAAAGACCGATCTGCACCAAACGAAGGCTCATTCTAAAAATCTGTGATTGATTTTTAAATTTAATAAAAAAATTTTAGAAGTTATCAAACTCAGTGGAAAAAGGCGAACTTACAAAAGCAACAATGCATAGAAAATTAATATCAGAACGAATTCAAAGGTGTCGACTTGACAGGAAACTTCGAATGATCGAAAAAAATTATGAAAGCGAAAAAGATAAAAATATTAATTTGAAAAAAAAATTACAATATAATATAATGCTTCATGGCAAACAATTGATAACAGCTCGATATGAAGCAGTACGTTTAAATTTTTCAAAATTTATTACTGGCAAAAAATGACGGATAGAATCGCCGTCAAAACTTGGCATATCTTGCGGTATTTGCTCAAAACCCACTGGTGAGAGGCGAAAAGTTGTTCTTCCCTTAAGATGCACTCGAACCTTGATATATGTAATTATTGCGAGGTTTAGTGGAGTGAGTGATAAGGTAAGAAAATGAAACGTTAAGCTGGTTTAAAGAGGTAGTAGAACGAGATTTAGAACGGTGATTATGACAGAACAGTAGGTTCCACAGAATATGACAATCGCTAAACGGTAATAAGTTTCCACAGGCCGAGATTTTTTAGTGCATTGCAACTGAAAATGTAAGGAAGTTTTGCAGCTCTGGAGCTTACAAAAAATTCTAAAGAACTTGTCAATTAATTTATTGCAGTGGTTCATTTGAAAGAGGCTTGATTGAAATGATTAAGGGAAGCGGGGTTTCGAGAATTATTGAAGGAGTATAACAGATTCAGAGGAAATTTGGAAGGTTAGGCGAGGAGATCTGAAGAGTCGATTAGCGTCACTATTATTTTCATTGTTACTATTCTATGGTTAGGAAATTCCCTTGATAGTGCAAGACTTTCCATTAATGAAATTTTTTCTCAAGGAATTGACAACATTGGAACTAGCAAGACTTCAGAATATTTTACTTCATTCTGTACCACAAAGGGAATATGACATATTACTCGACAAATATAAACGAATCCTAGTTGAAGAGAGTGGCGATATACAGCCAAGCCAGGTGACGCTTCCTTTATTTTACAATTGACACGAATATGACTGAAAAATCCTAGTAAAATATTAAGGGAACTTAAGACAAACTAAGTAAGTAACGGAACATTACAGTAACAGTACATTACGCTGAAAGAACCTATTACTTTGCCATAAAGAGAAGGAACTTTTTGAAATCTGCTAAGATGGTGGGGAAGAACGGATCATCTTGTAGCAATATTTGTTTTAGCTACGTTCCTCATGCAATCTTCAAATCGAATTGCTGCAAACAGACTGCAAATCAAATGAGAATGAATTGTTGGCTAAAATCGACTATTTAAAGGTAAGTGAAAAAATTCGATTGTAATTTTTATAGCTAACAGGGACAACGAAGGTACCATTACCATACTAAATTTCCTTTTTTCTTACCATTTCTTATTTGAGGCTCTGATGATAATTGAAATCCTTAGAAAATCCTTTAGTAAGGTCCTAAATAAGACCTTTTTGTCAAAAAGTCCCTAAGGAATAGTCATATATTTTAAAATTACGCTGCTTATGATTCTCTTTTTTCAGAATCTGAATGACGTCCTAAATAACCAAAACGAATTCTGGAAAGCGGAAAATGATAAACTGATTAAAGAAAATGGTGAATTGCAGAAATTTTTCGAGGAAATTGAATGCGAATCTCATGTAAAAGGAATGTTAGTTGCAATTCAACGACGTTTCTTGAAACTTTTAACGGAACAAGCTGATTATAATCGAAGCCAAACATTTTCTGCAAATCAATTTCATCGTCTTCGATCGGAATTTTCAACGAAATCGCTTCAATGGGTTGCGGAACGCAAAAAATTGATAAAAATTATACGCAACTTGCAGATTTCTATTCAGGTGAATTTGCCTCGATTTTACGCGTATAATTTGCCGAAAGCCAAATTATTTTCCGTTTAGCAATTGGAAAAAAAAAATAAAAAAAATTTCAGCGTCTCGAATCGAATTCAGTGGGAATATTTACGATGGATCAAATCGCTCAGATTAAAGAGAACAGTATAAAAGCAAAGGAAAATTTGAAGAAAAGCGATGAAAAATTGAAAGAAGTACAAATTTTTTTTCAGGTTTTCCGGCCGTGTACGTCATTGGCAGCAAAGTGGTTGTTGTTTGGACGAGAGTTAAGCCAGCCATCATAATGTTCTATTCTAATCTCTTAACAAGTCTGCCACCGAGAGTAGAATAGAAGCCGGGAGCTCTGTGCCCATGCGACCCCTTAATAGAAGGGCCTCATTCTAGTGGTCAGTGTAATCGATGGATCAGAAACGAAGAACACCGTTAGAATAAGCGAAAGGAGAGGCCTTATAACAGCTAATTATAATGGCTAAATTTTCTTATATATTTCTTTTTTAAAGGTTGAAAGCAAATCTGAGGAATTAGCAATTCAACTACGAAACATCGAATCAATCAAATGGAGCCATGAAAAAATCAAGGAAAATGATTTTGATGTTATAAAATTGCAAAAATCTTTTCAAGCAAATCAGTTCAATTTATTGAATACGATAAATGATTTGGATAATACTAAATCACAAGTAAATCATACATTTTTCTTACGATAAATTTATTTGAAATTAAGCAAAAATAATAAAATAATAATATTTATACATTTAATTAAGCAATGGAAACGAGCAATAATTAGGTAACAAATAATAATTAAGGCCAATACAAAGTTTAGTAAAATAAAAGTATAGTAAGATTAATATAAAAGTAAAATTCTACGGAAACACTGGCAACGGCTTAGACGATAGAAAAAGGAATGCTTCCAGTTGATTTCACTAACCTTCTTCAACTTTGTAAAGGAATTAAAAAATCAATAAAAAATGATAAATCTTAAAATGTTTTAGCTAAAAAAAAAAGAAGAAAAAATTGCTGAACTCGAGACATACATCGAACAACTGAAAATACAAATAAGTGATTTGATAACCGCGGATAGCGATATTATATCATTCAATGTGGATAACGCGAAAGCGCTCGCTGAGGAGAATATTGTAAGCGATATCACAAATCCAGGAGACCTAGAAGAAAATGCAATCACTACTCAGCAAGTACCTTCAGCAACTATAAATAGCAGCGAAGCTGAGGCCGAACAAAAAGAATGCCTTCAAACAAAAATGATAATCTACGATAATTCGGAAAAATGTGAAAAGAAGGTTGAATATATTCGAGAAACTGCTCAGTTGTGCATTGAAAACTATAAGGTTATACTTTACTTTTTTCTAACATTTTGATGCACATTCAATCCGCATAAGTCCATAGGACCCGTTTCTACCTTGACTCGCTGGTGAAAGGATTATTTAAACATCGTATTGTAATAGTGGAACTAACGAAGTTAAAAATAAGTTTGATGGCACATTTTTTGAAATTATTAAAGTTTTAAATATTTTATAGCAAATGACCCTTAATGATAAATGACAAATTTCCACTATTTGTTGGAATATTGATTTTCAGAATTTCTAGAATTAATAAGTTTGTTGGTACCATTCGGTTGTACACTACCTACAAGGGTACCACAAAATATACGATTTCTACGCGATTATTTAATTTCTAAGATTTCACTGGATAAAAAAAACTATATCCAATTAATCCATCCTCGAATATTTATCCATGCCTTACCTGCCATATCATAAATTACTTGCAGCCGTGCTTTATGCATATGAAAAAAATTGACTATAATTTTTATAAAATTACTCGGTTGAATTTAAATGTATTGTTCAATCGACCTAAAAAAAATGATATTCTTGGACAATTGCCTTCATTTGCTACAATAAATATACATATACCACGCTATCAACGGTTCGATGACAAGAACCATTGGTGATAAGCAATAGCTGATAAGCAACTTCATCTAGACAATATCTTAACAGTCAACTGTATTTCAATATTCTCAATTATGTTATGAAAATATTTTCAATTTGAAATTTTCAAATTTTCAGGATCAATTAAAATATAAGGAAGAAGTAATCGAAAAATATAAAGAAATTATAAAACAAATGGATAATAAGAAAATTAGCGAAAAAAATAAAGGAATTTTGCTACAACGTGAAAATGACGATGAAGGAAAACTAACTGAGAAAATGAAACGTTCGAATGAAATTTTAGAAAATCAAAAATTTGATGAAAATTTTCAACAAATTTATCGTTTAAAAATGGATATCGACGAACTTGAAAATGCAAATAAACGTTTAAGTGAACGTTTAACGGAAATCAACGAAACTTCTCAACGAAATCAGCAACAACAACAAGTGCAACAACTAAAGGAATACATCGATGGTTCAACTCAAACAATAAATTTAGATGAAATATTTAATGATGAGAAAATTATCAACGAAAATTATCAATCACCGTTGTCACCGTCACCATCATCGTTTAATAAACCATCGTTGTCACCATCACCGTTTAATAAATTCGATGAACAAAATAATCGAATAATCGATTTAAATGAAAATCAATCGTTAAAAATTCCACAAGAATTAAATAAATTAACGAAGAAAAAATTACAAATCAAAACCAATGATGGAATAAGGAATGAAAATAATATTTTACATGCGTTACGCAAAGAAGAATCCTTAGTGAATTCATTGCGGAACGAAATACGCACTCTTAAGGAACGACTTGCTACCCAAACTGCAAATAATAAGGTTTTTTTCGATATTTTATTTTCCTGATTTGACGTTTATGGACGAAGATAATTATTAGATAGTGTTGAAATTTGAATGGCTAAAATCTGCAGTTTAAAGTTTTGGATTTTTGGATTGTATCTCCGATTTAAACTTGTCATTAAGTTTGAGTGGAGATGGTGCAAATAGCTGGCAAAAGGTGACTGCTTCACCAATGTTGTACTAAGAACGAGCCTATAGTAGGAGCCAATAATTACAGAAGTCCATTACGACTGCAACCTTTTTTAACTACCTTGCCGTTGCGAAGTTGGAGTCAACCGTCGCTCCAAACCCCATTCATGTAAGCTCAACGAAGCTGACTACATATTTTGAAGGAATCGGAAGAGACGGCTGGATAAATTATATTAGCAATTAATCTAACATGAGTTAGAAAAAAAACTAATAAAACCAACAAAAATTTAAAGGAACTAAAGGAAGTATGTGAAAAGATACGTGAGGAAGCGTTAAGCACGATTGAACAAAAGTATTATCGAACTGAATTCGCAACGGGAAATATGGAAAATAACGAGTAATATATAATTAATGTATTAGCAACACTTCCTTACCCATAAAATTATTCATAAAAATTCTAATAAAAACTAATAATTAACTTAAAATTTAACCAATAATTCTTCAAAATTGTAGGTTCGAATTTGCAATAATTACGACTGCAATCTTTTATTGTTGCCCTAATGATTAGTGGTACTTAATAACCTCGAAATATAGGAAAATAATCGACAGATTGGTACCATATGACTTAAAGAGAAAAATATTAGAAATTAATTAATAGAACCAATCATTTAATTTCATTTTTGGTCTCCAGATTATTTAATAAATTGGAAAAAACAAAAACGGAAGTGATAAATCTGAAAAGAACGGTTCGAATACAAAATGAATTAATTGGAAAACTTCAAAAAGAACAGAAAAAATTTGAACTAAAAAATTCATCGGTAACAATTTCTATTGAAAATATAAGGCGACGAGTTGATCGTAATAAAACAGATCCTTATTCTCCGGAGAAAATAATTCATTGGTGATAAAACGAACCCTTATTTTCAGGATAAAATAATTCACCGGTGGTGAAGACAATCCTTATTTTCAGGAAGGAGTAGCTCGTTGGCGACAAAACAAATCCTACGAAGCTAATTTAAATGCTTTACAAAAAAAATTAAAGGAATGTGAATCACGAGAAAGCGAACTTCAAGAAATCATTAAAAGAAGAGAAAAACGAATTGAACAAATGAATCGAGAAGAAAAATTACGAATAAATGAATTGGAAAAGCTTGAAATCACTTTAAAGGATTTAAGAATGAACAACGATAATTTTTTATCAATAAAAGATGAGAGTGACAAGAAGATAAAAATGTTCGAAGATAGTATATCATTAATCACTCAACAAAACACTTTGCTTAGAAAGGTGATTCAGATTTATTAACAATAACAAGAAGAAAAAATGCAACTTAGGAATAATGGCTAAGGATCAACGATTTAATGGCTTTTAGGTCAAAACCATCAGTGATTGAACTGATAATCTAAAAAATAATATACAGCTTTGTTGCAATAAGTTGCAGTTGTAAATATATATTAAGTGGTTCGCTCATTTAATTTATGAATATGTGAATATTTTCAATTCATAAGATTTAGTAAAAATATTTTCAATTCATAAGATTTAGTATTTCATTTAGTATTTAATTCATAAGATTTAGTAATTTATAACCACTTAATATATATTTATTATAATATATATTAAGTGGTTCGCTCATTTAATTTATGAATATGTGAATATTTTCAATTCATAAGATTTATTTGGTACTCGGCAATTTGGAAATTTGCTTAATCGTGATATACGCGATAAGTGCCAAAAAAGTGGCACTCTTGTTTTATGATAAACTTCATCGTCCTCGATATCTCCAACATTTACACGTTTATCCTTACGTGTGTACTGTTCCATTAAGAATTTGCAGAAGATGTATTGAAAAATATGAATGGTGAAATATTTCAGCAGATGTTTTACCTGCAATAATTATTTAATTAATTATTATATTTTCGATCAAATTCCAAGTTATTTTTTATAATTCATTAGCATTCAACCATCTTTTTAAATTTTTTTGTCATTTTTCATAAATAATTTTCGATGAATTTATTTAAAAATTCAGGAAAATGAAATTCTTAATGGAAGATTGACGAATTTACAAAACGAATTGGAAGACGCCAACGAAAAATTGCAAAGAATTCGAGAAGAGAAATCTCAAAAAATAGAAAATTTACATAAATTTTCAAAATCAACTGAAATTAATGGAATTGAGGAATCTTTATTTCAAAAAAATTCGCGAGATGTTAGTTACTTTTTTCAAAAAAAATTTCAAAATTTTTGCAATCTTGAGCGGTTATATTTCTATTCCGTTGCTAATTTTTTAACGCTTTTTTTCAGAATATTTTTAGAATTTCTATAAACTACGAGCTAGAATTTTTTCCAAATTTAAAAAACAAAGATTTAAAATAATTTATATATATAAAACTTATAATGTTGTAAAATAAATAATATTAATATAAATAATAATAATAAAATAATTATGTTCGTCTTTGACAAGAGTCAACCTGTCATGTCAAAAATTCGAGTGGTTGCTGGGGACCCACCAGTAATTTTTTCCCCTAGTGATTCTGTGGTGAAAGGGTCAGATATTTTTGATTCGAAATTTATCAAGGGAAACAGCTCTCTGCACGCGCAGCAAGGTATTAGCTATGTATTAGCGTAGAACGTCAAAACGCTTATAGACGTTGCAAGTCAAGTGATCATCGTCCACTCGATTTCTAAATATCGTGTGAATATTGCATGCTTGTCGAAAGTTCGTCTTCTCCACTTCGGATCTCGAGTAATTACTAATCCTGGTTCGGAGCAGAGATAATGGCTATATCATTGTGATGCTTCGAGTAACTCGGGGCGAAATGGCGCCGCGATTGTCATGTCTGACAGGGCCCATTCCGCTTTGATTGAGTGGAAACCGGTGAGCGACCGTATGCCCGTTTTAAAGATAAGTTCTGCAATATCTCGGTCATCAGTGTCTATGCTCCAACTCTGTCGGCAAATGACCAAGATAAAGATAAGTTCTATGCGGAACTTCAACTGCTAACAAAGTCTCTACCGAAACATGAAAATCTCAGCGAAAATTTTTTTGCTTCCCTTTTATTCAACAGACTTATGGAAATACAGAATACAGCGAGATGCGACCTAATCAAGCTGGATTCGGATCAGGGCCCGGTTGTGCTGACCAGATATTCACATTAAGAAGGGTATTGGAACATCGCTTCAGATATTTGCAACCCACTGTAACGTGTTTCATCGACTTTGCGGGTGCCTTTGATTCAATTAATAGAGAGACGCTTTGGAGGGTGATGGAACGCGACGGTATTCCAGAGAAGATCATTCGATGTATGTATGGAGAAATGACAGACCCTTTCGAAATAAGAACTGGTGTTCAAGGCTTTATCCTTTCTCCTACAATATTCGATATTCATATGATAGATTGGATAATGGATATTGCTTATCGGCATTAAAGAGATGTCCAAATCAGTTCAGACCATCGTATCACAGATCTTCAACAGATCTTGATGACTGTGCCTTTTTGCCGATTATATGAAATGCAAATATTGCTAAACAATGTGTTAACAACTGCAGTGAGAATTAGACATAGCCAATGTGAATTAAACAAAAGCCTTTTCGTCTTATGTGCAAGAAGCTGGTAAAATGCCTCTTTTTCTAAATTCATTGCCGGTTGATGAAGTTCCCGATTTCAAATATCTTGAATCCACTCTAATACCAAATGGACAGACAAAAGATGATATTATAACTCGGATCACGGCAGCTAGAACACGTTCTTCTGGTTGACGCGTTTATGGAGTCGTCGTGAAATCACCATAAAAACGAAAGTCCGTATGTGTATAGCCGTGATCCGTTTGATCTCGCTATATGGAAACATGGTCAATGAGGGTGGAAGGAAGAAGTATCTACCTTTGACCGTTTTTGTCTAAGATATATATTACGGATCCATCGAGCCGATAAGATGATCACATGATGGCATCCAGCTTCATTCATATACCATTTTACCACACAATACTTCAATACCTCTCAAATACCTCCATTAACAGTACCACCGTTGTGTTCGTTCTTCGTCGCCCACCACAGGAGTTATAAATATGTCGCTGTCTGCTAAATCTTGTGATGGAGGAGATCGAAAGCGAGGTGAGCCAATCAAGACCTGGACTGATACGATTTTGAATGTATAGGTAGACCAGCCATATATGGACTTAGACGATGGAAAAAGGAATGATTTCTATCACTACTAGCGATAGCGTGTAGTTTGGAGACGTCTTACCCCCCATAGCTATTGGAGACAGCCTAACCAGCAATGGTGAGAGATGTTAGAAGAAAAAGAAGCTATTATTTTTTTTAAAAAATCGCAAATGCTTGATTTTTTTAATATTATTTTTATTATTAACGAAAAAATCCGATTAAAATTCCGATAAGCAGAAAGCAATTTTAACGAAAACAAAGAGCGATATTCTATAGCAATATTCCACTGATTTATCGGACCAGGCATACTTTTCCAGGGAGTGAGAATTGGTAACAGGTGACTCGCTAGCACCACACCATGAATAAAACATTATTATTGTATAAAATATTATTTTAGTACAAAGAGGCCTACGAAGAAGCGAGGGAAAGATTATTACTCGTTGAGAAGGAATATACGAAATTTCGTAAGGAATATAATAAAATAATAAAACGAATAACGAAAAAAGAATTCAAAGAGCCCGAGGAAATTTCAGCAATTGCTGTACTTCGAGATAAATTAATGGCGAAGGAAAAAATAATCGAACAACAGGTAGAAATATTTTCCAGCAAACTACTGCAAAACAATAAACAACCAAATATCCCATCGACCTTAATAGTTTAATCTATTAACAAATTCCTCATAAGTCTATTGTTAAATCCCTAAGTCTTTTGCGAAAGCCTTAAATCCTTAAGTCCTTTGTTGGTTTACAAGAGAGGAATACGATTCCTTAACAGCCAAATGGATTTAATTTTTAATGACAAATTTAATCCTATGAAAGGTGACCACTCGAAAATTCGACTCCTTTAACGACTCATTACAGAATCATCGGATCGAAATGCTCGAACGTGAACGATGGAGAAGAATCCTTTAATTGCTCAAAACTGCTTCAATGTTCTCCATTTCCCCCACTTATTTTCACGCATTTGTTACATATTATGATAAACTGACAATTCGATGTGATCTATAACAAATGCATATTAGCACTAAAGCACTAACGACTCTGCATTCCATAAAAATACGAAAAAAATTACAAAATGCTTCTCAAAACATTTTTAAGATTTCCATTTCATAGAAAATTTAATTTATAGAACTTTAGGGTTCAATATAACTAAAAGCCAATAAGCCAATCCTTGCCATAACGACAATTTTACTCGGAAAACTCATTCGATTATTATTCGATTAATTAAAAGAATAAATTAAAAATACTTTATTTCCAATCACAATGTGGACACGTATGTGGAGCATTTTCAATGATTAATTAAGCAAAGTGCACATTTGCCATAATCAAAACAATAAAATTAGCTGATGAAATTAATAAAAAAAAACAGAGATGTCAAAAATTAATATCAAATGACAATTACGTACAGCAGAAACAATCAATACAAAAAGTACAAACAATTTGATCATTTAGAACCATTTCAGTTCTACTCTTCTTTTAAACAGCCTTCATTAGAAGAGACAGGTAAAAAGTAATGGAAAACTATTTCCTAAAAATTTTTGCAATTCGAATTCGTAAATATGCATAAATTGCGAAAAACTCCAAAAAAACAATGATATAAAGCTCAACAATTTTTTTGCGCAAGTCAATTGTATCAACAACATAAACACCATAGATAAATTTATAAAATATTAAATAAATGATCCAATCAGTTAAAACAATTGTCATTTAAAAAACATCTGTGAAGGTTGGAATAAAATCAACCCTTAATACGTAATCATCATATAACATATAATCATATAACAAAGACCATTTCCCGCAAATCGAGTAATTATTTCCGCACGCGACGTGCTCGCAAAATTTTGCGAGAACCAGTTGAAGAAGTTGGCCCAACATTGAAAAAATTTGTTGAAGGGAGAGTATTTCTATAAATTAGATAATATTCATAGATAACAAATCATGGATAAATATTAATGATATTGAAATAAGTATTTTCAAGGCATGCAAACAAGAAGGCAATACAATGATAGTTAAATTGCCTATTCTTTATTTAAAATTTAAGTAATACTAACGCCGAAGGAGCCGCAGCACGAAACTGGAAAGCGTCTGTATTGTTAGAACCTACAAAAATATCCGATGAATATTTACAGCTTATTTAATTTTCAAAACAAAATAATGAAAACCATTATACGATTTCATTAACAAAATTTCTCGATAAAAGTCATAAACCAAAATTTAATAACTACAAAAACCTTACGGTAATACTTATGGTAAAAATGCTGCAAAATTCGAAAGATTAAAATAAAAATTTAAAAAAGTGGCAAAAACAAAACTTAAAACAAAAACTTACCACCAAAATTAAAAACAGGCGGCTGACTAGGAGATCCAAAAGCAAATCCAGAAGATCCATTAGCAGACGAAGCACCAAAACTGAAGGCAGATGGCTGCTCGGGAATAAGTGATGGCGCACTAAACACCTTGGAAGGCATCGTATTTGCAAATGGAAAGGATGAATTTACGGCCTGTTGCTCTCCAAATAACGAACTATAAAACGTGATATTAACTTAATGAAGACCATCAAAATAATTTGGGAAAAAAAATACCGAAAAATCAAAATACCCGGTTAATGTAGCCGAAGTAGTAGGTACTTGACCAAAAGTGAAAAATTGAGACTGTTGTTGTGCGTCAGTGACACCCAAATTGAATGATTTAGATGAACCATCAGGCGATACCATTTCAACCGGAGTACTATTTACCTGCATAGGCGAATTTTCTGAACTCACTGCTGGAATTAAAAAATATTTTAAGATAAACTGGAATATGCAGAAATGACGTTAACATATTCATGAGTAAAAAAGTAGATATGAAATAAAAAAATACCTGATGCAGCATTAGTAAATGAATTTGATATGTTGGTAATAGGCTGACCAAACGAAAAACTATTATTATTTTGAGAATTTGTTTCATTTGATTTTGACCCGAAAATAAAAGACTGTCCTTTTGAAGGATCTAAACAGAGAGCAATAATATAAAATTATTTAAAAATACAAAAATAAAAATATAAATTGTTCTAAAATTTACCAGAATTATTGGCTCCAAAAGAGAAAAGATTTTTATTACTAGTAGCTTGTGGATTTCCAAATAAAGAAGAACCAATTTTATCGGTTGAGGACACATTTGAAACAGTGGCATCTGGTTTTACAACGGACTGTGAGATCGATGGCAAGACTGAAGCGGCTGAGTCAATAAAAGACGATGCAGTGGATGTAGAAGGACCTGAGCCGAAGAATGAAAATGACGGATTAGATACCGATGTCACTGTGGATTGCACTGCATTCACTAAAGAATTGATTTTTTCACCAGAACTTTTAAATGACCCAAGCAATGAAGACTGATCAGCAGCCGAGAAGGGAATTTCCGATCCAAAAGCTGGTACAATTTTCTTAGACTGATTGATACCAAATAATGAAGAACCAATAATAGAAGGCGCCTGAGTAGCAAGGGCACTATTATCACTTTCCTGTTTGGAACCAAAGACAGTGGAACTGACTTTACCTGTGGACTGATCACAGCCAAAAATAACAGATGCAGATTTCTCTCCTGCTTGATTATTAGTGCTGAAATTAGTCGTGTTCACTGTATTTCCGAAATTAAAAATCCCAGAAGTCATTTCTGCTTGGGAAACTTCATGAGTAGTAAAAATCTTGTTCGTGGACTCCACTGAAAGAGAATCTGTTGGTTTTTCTGAATTGCCAAAAACAGGAATTATATTTGGTTTTGTATCCTTAATTCCGAACATAGGGCAAGACACGGCAGGTTTAAGATTGAAGCATGGAGTTGTTTCAGTAGTTACTGGATTACTCGATATATTTTGGTTCGAAGAGACATCACCATTCGTTACATTTGATGCGGTTGTTGTAGTAAAAGGTGATGAAACTACTAAATTATCTTCAACTGGTCCTTTTGATGACTGGAATCCGAAAGAAAAACCTAAAAATAAATTCAAAATCATTCGAAAAACACTGCAGATAATGATACAAGAATACAAACAACAAGAGAATAAGAGAAAATATTAGCTAAATACAGCATAATAAATATAATAAATAATTTTGGCTTTTAAATTATCTGGTGCTCAATTTTATGGGCCACAAACTTGCATAAAACAAGTAAGAGAAAGAAGAGAATGAAATAAAAAAAAACAAAAAAGCAGCAAAAAAGGGATAAAAAAAAGCAAGAAAGAGAAAAATGGAAATCGTTTCGTTTTTATCCTCTAAGAATATCCTATTTTCCAAATTTGAATAAAATCGGTCAAGCTTCGAGCACTCCAACACATGACACTTAAATTAATGCCTAGTAAAGCTCAACCTAACGAATTTCGAAAAGATAAAGATATTATAATCTCGACAAACTAAGGAATTTCTTGGTTATTATTCAATAAATTTGATGATGACGAGATTTAAAGATAACCAATCAGTGAATTCAATCCTCACTATTTTTATCAACAACTTTTTCTAAAAAAATTATAAAAAGCTACCTGAATTGATTTGTGCGGAAGGCTTAAACTCTCGATTCGCTAAAATATTTGGCAATGTTGTTATTGACTTCTTACCAGTTCGATCACTATTACATGCAGCACAGCGAACTGCTTCAGAAGCATTAGATATAAAGCACTCGTTGCAATACCACGTACCTTTCTTGTTATCAGAATTTTCAGTAATGTTCTGAACAAATATAATTATAATTAATGTAAACAATGAGATACAATAAAACAATGATACAAAAAATTTTGAATTTTTAAAATTGCAAAATTCCCATAACGCTAACAATTTTTTCCCCGGATTCAGATTTCTCTTCAGTGGAAACATTGACAGCCACTATTTCTTTCTCCTTATATGAATTTTCAGTTTTCTCCGTTCCACTTTTATCCTTGTTTATGTCGAAATTCGGCTTCTAAAGATAAAAAACAAAGATAATAAGATTATAAAAATAATAATAATGATAAAATTCCGTTTCAAACATTATAACAATTCAGTAAAGTAAATATAAGAAATAGAAAATCATACTGAAATATTGCAATCTTTTTCATCATTTGGAATTGCAGCATTTGATTGTTCTGTGTTTTCTAAATATCCCAAAAATTAAAATCGATCCCTAGTAAAAATCCTCATAAAAAAGTAACGCTGTTCCCTATGTTTAAAATGATAAAAATGCTTTTTAGAAATAAAAAAACTCAAATTTGCAAGATGGTTGGGGTTTAGAAATGCCTTAAAATATTAAAATAAAATCATTTAAAGCATTAAAAACCTTTTCTAATAGTTGTGGAGACATTTGAATTTTTTTCGAAAGATTCAAATGCATTTTCAATAGATGCATTAACGGCTTTTTCTTCATAGCTGACAGCATTTTTCGACTAAAATAAATAAGAACGTCGAAGATTTTGAAAAAAAGTAATCCATTTTTCAACATTATCCACCATTTCTGGTCTTTCATATTCGATTGGAGATAAATTATGGCATCTTCGGTACCATCCAATTTCCACATATTACTTGTTAATTATATAGAAATAAGCATATGTGAAATGAAATACCTCGTTTCCAATTTCCATGGCCTTTTTTACAAAACTAGGTCCTCTTTGAACAGGAGGTGCAAACGTAAAAATATCGTTAAGAAAGCCAGCTGGGGCGACACCATTCAATGATGAGTTGCGAGTGGACTGATCAATCTAAAATTTAACGAAAATATTCAGCAAAAATAAAGGGTTGTGGATTCCACTCTCTAATCACGAAAACCTTTTTTCAGACCAATCCAAAAAAAAAAAAAATTCAAAATTAATCATCAAATAGACTTTATCCTTTGAATATGACATAGAACTGTTAAGAATCTGCAAATAATAATTCAGATGATTTTATTGTAGATGAAAACTGGATAAAACATACCTGATTACCATTACTGGTACATTCATCTACATGGTCGACGTCAACATCAAGATCAATCAGTTTTGTTGAGAAAATATTCTTTCGAACTTCAGGAATTCCTTCTGATTTTTCAGGAATTGGCCTTCCAGCATCATTCTCACAAGATTCAACAGCAGGGATTGCTCCAATATTATTATCAAATGAGATATTAATTGTATCGCCAATGTCTATTGTGCGAGTACCAGGAATACGCTTCACTATAGGATGCTTAGAATTGTCCAAATCTAACATTCGCTCTTCTAAATTTTCCTGACGGTTTGATTTGAACGGTCGACGCCTGCAGTAATATTTTAGTCTAACTTGGCCAAAAATTTTCAAAAAATAACTTTATTCAAACTTTGACTAAGTCAAGGAAAAAGTGAGCAACACCGAAACTTGTATTTTATAAGCTTTTGAGATTTATTACAAAATATGTTCAAAAAATTGAGGAATTAGCCAACCCTTAAATCTATAAAAATCGTCAATAACGCGAAAAATATCAAATAAACTTTGTCATCTGTCATCTAATCTAATATAAAACTCGCTAAAATTAACAAAAGAATTTAATTAACAATAAATAAAAGGGAATGAACTCGAAAAAAGAAACCAACCAATATGGCGAGCCCGGTACTGTCAGAGAATCTGATATCATTTGAGCGCGCGAAAGTGCACATAATGAATGGCGAGGAGGTTTTTGCACAGGTGAATTTATCACATCACTGGCCCATCTTTCCGTTGATCGAACGATTGGCATTTTTCTCACTTCCTAAGTTAATTAGAAATTGGCAAAAATTTTGATTATTATCCTAATTAAATGTTTGATATCTGTATCTAATTTCGATAGAATATTATGCAAACCTTAACCGGTGTACTAATCTTTTCGAGTTGTTCAAGAATAGCTTTAGTCCTATTACTGAGAGATGAAGATGAGCTTTTTGGTGCAGGTACTTGTCTCATAGAGGAATAATCAACTGTTGATACTGATAACCGATTAGAAATCCTCGAACTATTTAGAGCAATAATATCAGGCTGCTTCGTTGCAAAAATTGTCTTCAATTTTCGACATTTTAGTATGATTTAAACGATCCAATATTAAATACTTATCATCTAATAAACATTTCTTCTTAAATTTTATATACAATTTCAACAACGTACTTCAGGAAAACATTTTTCTGAAAAACGGCTACGTTTCGCAACATTTTTTGACAAAAGCGAATCAATAAGCGAATCGTTTTTATCATTGAATACCCGTTCACTTCCCGCATTTTGAGAAACAGTATCGTATTTTCGTTTACGCTAAAATAAAATTCAGCGAAATTTGACTATGGCGATTTGAATGACGAGTTGAAAATTATTAAAGGCTTCTTTGTACATTAATTTAATATTTGCATATTAAACCTCGTTTTGCCTTGATCCTTCGTTTAAACTGGATGATCTTAACAATGATGGATTTAAATATCGGACAGATTCACTCTTTACAATTTTGTCCCATCCTTAAAATGATAAAATAAAAATTTGTAAAAAATTTTAAAAAAGAGTAAATTTCTGCGAATTCAATAGACTGATTTATGCCTAAAGAATGAAAAGAAATAGAAATAAAACGATTGCCTCTCGCAGATAAAATACCAGACGACGGTGGAGCAATATCGCAGTCAATAACTGGCTCGAATTCCCGTTCCTCGCTTGAAGAATCATGAGAAAATTTTGATGAAGTTGAACGGAAAGTGTCGAGTGGTAATTCTGTTTTTAATTTCGATGAATTCGATGATTCCGAAATCCGAGAAAAAGGAGTTTGTGAAGCATCATTTGGTGAATTTGACCAAAATCCTGATAAATTATTTAAAACAGATGACAGCCAAGAATTTGATTTGCTTTTTGACATTGTGCCAACAATTTACCACCAGAAAGCAACAAATGCGAAACAATTTACAGTTCTGAAAAAAAAAAAAATTTAAAAAAGTTTAAAATTTACAAACTAAATATATTCTATTTCCTTTTTTTTTTTCGTAAATTCCATCTATTTTCCATAGGGTTCGATTTGAAAAAAACTACAGTTATCGACGAATCAAGAAACATACAACATCGATTTAAGAAAAAAAATAAATGCTTTCTTCGTAATGTATTGTTTTTATAATCAAAGTAATAGAAGCAACTGATGACAAAGCAACAATTTTCATAAGGTAAAATGGTTCAGTGGGTTTATTGCTTTCATTTTGGAGTGATAGATCCTAAGGACTTAAATTCTACTTTCCGCAGAAATAAATTTGTCTCTTAGTGTTACTAGTGATTCACCAGTACTATCGCCAAGTGGCTCCCTGGTAAAATTTTTTTGGTTCAACAAACCAGCCAACTTTAAGCCTTGGGCGCTCTTGAAAATTGCATGACGAAAAATAGACAAATATTCATAAATATCGATAATTCGAGCTAATTTTTTATACGTATTTTCAGATGGCAACTAAAAAATTTTGCTCATCCAATAAACGATCCAAATTTACTCAATCACTACCAACTTCGGCATAAAACGACTCGATCTAGCTGATAAATTTCTTAACAATAGTGATAACTCGTAAGAAACTAAAAGCAACTTAAAAAAATTGAGGACATTATAACATTAATCTTATAAGATTAAAAAACTTTAAAAAAAATTATAGCATCGTTTGAACAAAAATCTTTAAATATAAATATAAAAACCCGAAAATATTAAAATAAAATAAATAAAAACTATTCTCGAGAAAAAAGTCTCCAAAATTCCTTTAAAAAATCGGAAAAAAATTAGGAAACTAAAAAAATCAAAAAATTTTTCATTTAACAGGAATTTTCGCAGAATAGCACTTTCGGAATAAATCAAAGATAGTAAAAATCAACAAAAGTGAAAAACGAGTCAAAACGAGCCAAAGCACACACGAAACCCGGAACCTGAGGATACATTCAGCGTTTATAAAATAAACAGAAAAACAAGCGCGAAGCGCGACGCTGCACGCAACGCAAGAGCCATTTCAAAATTATATTTTAAATTTGCTTCCAAAAACTAAACATGAACATCAATGAATTAGGTCCCACCTCTTTTCATTGTTTTACGCAAGCTCCGCCTTCAGCACCAACAACAAATTTGCTAATTTCAGATTCCAGGTTTTGATAAGTAGTTGAGGGAGGTGGAGGGGTGGTCTGGTAACTGGAGTGGAGTTGGTTGGTGAGGCGGGGAGAGAGGAGGCGAGTTGCCCGTAAAGGGGGGACTGGCTTATAGAAAGGGAAAATCGAAATATGGATGGTACTGCATTTGCTGACCTCGAATGTTGTATTCAGTGGTGTAATTTGAGTTTCTCGCTGCGGTCTTTTCGTTTTTTTTATAGTTTTTGGATATCACACTATAGTGTTTTTTAATTTCTTTCTTAGGAATTTTTTCAATTTACTAACTCAGAAACATACTCGATAATACTGCAGTATTTTATCGCCGTATGAATAGGGGGACAGGTGTCGGGGAATGCAAAGGATGGATTGGACTAGCTTGATGAGTTAAATGAGTATATTGCTGCTAATATCTTGAACTGTCTAGAAATATAGAGTATGCGAGGCCTGATCCTTTTTTGGATCATTGGGTATGTTATGTGTGCTATATGTGGTGAATACCCAAATTTCAGATCAGTAGTTCCCACATAATATAGGTTGACAAGATACTAGTATGATAATGATTAAATAACGAAAACGGTGAGGTGAACTCTTCACTGATTATAAATTGGGCGGGAAATTAAATATATGAATCACTCGTAAATTATAACACTTGCATTTATTGAAATTTTTTTGAGAAGTAGAAAAGAGGTGAATTACGTTGAGTCCTTTGGAAAAGGTGAGTTATGTGAGGTCATTTAGAAACGATGAGGTCATGCGTATTTCTCATAATTAAAATGATAATTGCTGAAAGTATAAATTACTTCAGAAAAGACGAATATATGACTGAAAATTTCGATAATTTTTCAAATTATTTCATCTAAAAAATAAAAAAATTTGCTTTCAGCTTAATTCGATAGAAATGGAATAAATTATGGCAAAATTATTAATGTTAAAATTATCAATCGATGTTAGTTTTTTCTATATCACCTAATCTATAATTTAAAAAAAACGAGTTTTCAAAAGTATTTTCGATGAATTTTTTTTAAGGCGACATCGTTGTTTTAATAATTTTTCCTTTTTCATTTTTTAACTTTCTCAATTTTAATTCTTTTCCTTAATTATTTAATTTTAATTCTTTTCCTTAATTATAATTCTTGTAATAATCTATTTTATCTAGCCGCCTATTTCAAATTCGAAGTATCCTTTCCTTCCTCCAAAAGTAGTACTACGGTAAATGCCTTGTTTAAAAGCATTACCGCACTGCCGCATTTCTTATAATTCTTCAAATTCCTCAACAGGAGGTAATGTCACATAGTGGTGACGAAAAGGCTGTGCTCGTTATTTTAATAAAAATGAGGAAATGGTTCACTAAATATTTTTTTATTGCTAGTATTTCTTTTTTTAACAGTATTTTATTTATAAAATTGGAGAAATAAATTGATAAAATTTTCAGATAATTTAAAAACGATTGTTTATCGTTTGTTTGGCCATAAAATTTCGTTTATATAAACAATAAATCAGTTGGTATTATTTTTCATATCTTATAAATAAACTTTTCATGCAACGATATTTCTTAAAAATTTTAATCGATTAAATATTTAATTGATTAACTAATTAAATAATTAATTAATTAAATATGACAATACCGAAATATTGGTTAATTAACTTTTTAATTGAATTGACAAAATCATCTGTATTATTTTTAATGGTCATTTTTATTCCTATTTTCAATTTTTTTAGAAAAGAGTTTATTTTTTTTGTTTTTCTTCGTTGTTTAATGTGATGTTCGTTTTTCATGAAAAAATTCTTTCCTCAAAAACTAATGCGGCCAGTTCGTTAGTTTGTGATATAATAAAATACAATTTTTTTTGCTATTTTTTAATTCATAAAACTTATGTGTTTTTAAATGATCATTTGTTTACATGTAATTTATTATAATTAAAGCATTAGTTATTATTTTTCTGTAGTAGAATTAAATTAATATTAAAAATTGATATAAATTAATATTAAAAATTGATAATTTAAGTTTTAGCTATGAACTATTTGATAGTACTGTTACATATATTAATTTTTGGAAATTGTAATGAAATACAACAATTACATCGATTTCATCGGAGGCATTCAGGTTATATTTTGAACCTTTATTGAACTATATGATTAATGACTATACAGTTAGTTAGAACTAGTTTATGTCAGTCTATATCAATTTTTGATATGCTATTTAATTAAATGATTTCGAAGTAATGCAGGTGACCTTATGCCGAGATATGTTGGATGGACTCTTTTCTGAAAAGAGTGAAGAAAAAAAATTTTTTTGTCTGATGAAAGTTTAACGAAACAAAAATGAAAAAGCTATAAAAAAAAATCAAAATCAAAATTACGATAATGAGGCTTACTGATTATTATTCTCTGTAAATGTTTTCAAAGACCGATCCTTTTTAAATTATTTTAAACAAATAAGAACTTAATATTGATTGATATTTTATATGGGAAAATAAAAGCAGAAATGGTTTCATATTGTTATATTTTGGGGAATTATTGATTTTCTTATTTCAATTTTATTTCTGTTTTATGAATATTTTATTGAATGGATATGTTCATGTAGTATTGCGAACCATTACTGGTTTAGGTGAATCCATTTATCGCTAAAATGAGATGTTTAAAAAGTCGATCGCACATCATATCTGAAATTAAGGAGAGCACTCATTTTAATCACCGTCCATTTATCGTTAGACAATCTATGCCATTTAAGACCATTTATCATTAGTATCTCTGTACCTCTGTACTTAAAATTTTTCTTGATCATGTTAGTGAAGGTTTCGACTGAGATTAAGCCGCTTTTCATTCGTGTTCAACATATCTCTTAATACATTTGTTTTATTCATAATAGTTGGCTGAGGCACAATTGAGATAGTTCATGGTTAATTATATCGTTTAGTAAGTAAGCATTTCACTTCCCTTTCCCTTTTAACAATGATAATCGTTAATTATTTCTATTGATTCGTTCGAAATGTCATTTCATTTCCATTGACAAATTTCGAAAATTGATATTTATCCTTTGTATCGAAGAAAATTATACTCCCTCGTCTTTTCATTATTATTTCAATCTTAATTCTTAGTTTTTGATTGATATCTAACATAATTTCAACTCATAGTTCGTAAAATTTTGATTTTTTAGGTGAGTTTTTTTCAGTGGAAATTTGTGTATTTTTCTGAAAAGAGTGGGTTAACCCTAATAACTTTTTAGATTAAAATAATTTAAATAAGAATAATTTTAAGAGATAATTTTTAGTCGTTTAAGGTAAATAAATTATTAATTTATTAATTTACAATTAGAATGAACGATTACACAAACAAATTAGAGGCGCCAAATAATTATTCTTACGGTTTAAATCTCTTTTATTCCATTATGCGGTGTTATTGCGTCATATTGTCGCATTTATTAGGATTAATAGGATTTTTTTAGAGATTTATTCGTTGAGCAAAGATTTATATTTTGTAACAAATATTTCTCTTACTTTAATATTTATGAAAGGAATTTAAGTGGTGTAAAATTATCTCATAAATTTTTCATTATTATCTAAATTAGTCAAAATGATAAAAATTATGTTATTACAGGGAAACATTAATAAAAATTGAATGAAATGCTCAGAAGTGAAAATTCAAATATTTTTCAGGTAGCGACAATAACAACCGTTTTATTGGTTTCAAATTTATCGAAGAACCAGCTAATGCAGTTTATAAAATTAATGAACCAATCCAGTTAAAGTGTCGTTATGAATTAAAAGCAAGTGGTATAAGTAATGTTCGTGTTGAATGGTGGAAAGATGGTTCAAAATTGAACTTGCAAGGATTATCTGGGAAAATGTTAGTATTATACTTTTTTTGTAAAAAATTGTAATGTGTTTTTTTAGAAAATTTATTGGAAAAAGTTTTTTCAAATAGCTGAGATTTTTTCGCGGAGTAAAATGAATGAACTGTAAGGAATAAGAAGAAATAATTTTTAAATAGATGGTATTTTGATCGTCTTAAGTTCAACCTTCATAAATCTAATGTATTAAGTTTAATCTATCAAAGGCAGTAATTCATTTATTAAGCATTAGTTTAACCTTTGTCTCCGAAAAACAGTTGTCATTGTATGAATTATTTTATGATGAAAGTAAAAGCAACAACAGATGTTAAGAATTTCTTTAGTATAGTTTCTTTTCCAAAAGGTCAAAAAGATCATCGGTTGTTTTATATTCATAGCAGCAACTTTATCTTTTTTTTCTTCCAATATTATAATACTAAGGCAAGGGTTCTATAAAAAAGAAGAAAATTTCTTTTTTCTTTCTTTTTTAAATCTCGAATCTGTAATCGAACATGGGCTACGTATCTTTTTCTTTATTGATTATAAGTGAAAAAATGAATTTTTCCATCTCATTTTTTTGCAAAGTAGATTATTTAAAAAAAGTTAATTGCTATCAATTTAAATGGAAATGTCAATGAAAAATTTTTCTATTAGAAACTGGATTTTTTTCAACTTTCAAATTAAAAAAATTTTTTATACTTCATTGGTATTTACTTGATACTTTTCAACTTTGTAATTTGATTAAAAGCAAAATTTTTTTAAAAATATTTTTAAAAATAAGCTAATATTTTAAATTATTTATTTGATTTCGGAAAGAATGAATGAATGAATGATGGTCTCACGTGAATTATGAATCATCCTTTTATAATATCTCGTGGGATTGAGTTAAATTATTGGTTCAACTGAACTCGACTGGCTAATATTATTTGATTTTATTATTTTAATCCAATGGGATTCTTTCATTGAATATAGTAAATTAAATGTGGTTAAAAAAATTGTGGTGTGAAAAATAAATGAAAGCTCTAATAGAGCTGTAAGTTTCTTTTGGATGATACGTTAGATATTTTTATTCTAATCAGCTGATATGAGATAATTAATTTCAGTTCCAGCAGGTTCGTAGAAAAAGGGAGATTTGAAGAAAATAAAATTTTTTGAGATTTCTTTTTCATTCTTTTACATAAAAATTATACAGAATTATCGCTATAAAAAGATATGTTGTGTGAAAGACTTGATAATTATAATGATGATTGATAAATAGGATTTATTAACAAAGTTTTTATTATCAGCAATAATATATTGATAAATGAAGTTGAAAAAAGGGAATTGCAATAATTAATTGAATTTTATCTTTTTTTTATGGAATAGGTCGAGTGCGATTCAGAAGAAATAAAAATTTTTTTTTGATGAATGCTTATCTGAATGATCAAATTTTTTTTTCAATTATGCGCTAGCAAATTTATGAGCTTTGCTTTGCTTCGCTCATAAATTCGTTTTTTTTTTTTTATTTGAATTCTAGAAATAAAAAAATGGTCAAATTATAATGAGAATAGATGGAAGAGCTTTATATTGGTGACACTGAAAAATATTTAGTTTAATTAATCGTTAATTTATTGCTTCATCTATAATGCAATTTATTTTATTCTCAATTCTCTGCAGTTGGACTGGTATTAATGCCTCAGCTGAAGACAAATGTAGCGTCATTCCTGTCCCATAGCACCGTAAATTAGTGGAATTGACATGTTTAGAGAACTCATTTCTATAACTTTTATGATTTGTATAAATACTATATATACAATTTAAAAATATAGAATTTTATTGCATTCCAAAAAAAAATCATTTTGTTTTAATTTCTTGCTTTTATATGGCCTTCGTTTTTAATGATAAATTTTATCAGATTTTTTGTTGCATCTTAATTTTTCTTCTTTTAAAAAGCATTAATTAAAAAGAAGTCACTAATATAAACGGTAGCAGCGTCATAAACAATGCACTTAAATATACTTTGAAAAACGAAGGAATTCGTGGATATAATGCTACTTCTTATTTGCAGAAGTTTTCCATCAAATGGATCATTAGTTTTTGAAAATTTTGGACTATCAGATGAAGGTGCTTATCAATGTGTTGTATGTATAGTTGACAAAAATCAATTTACTTGGATATTTTTATCAAAACGAGCTATTTTAAGATTTCATTTACTTAGCAGGTTTGCTTTTTATTGTTATCTAAATTGTAGAAATACATGATAACATTATGTGGTACTTTTGTTTATATTTGTATGTATATTTATGGATATTATATATATTTCAATTTATTCTTTGAGAACGCTGATTTGTAATTCTTATTGCTGCTTATTCATGAAATTTGAAGGTTTGAAGCTCAACCTCAAGATCGAGTCGTTTATCGGGGGCAGGCAGCTGCATTCTCCTGTATACTGGTTTGCTTTCCAACATTTTTTTCTGGAATTGATTTAAGTCTGGCATTTTGCATATACTCTTTTCATAGCTTTTTAATTCAAAAAATTTAATATTAATGTCGTCGATAAAGTTTTATTTGGAATTTGAATTGAAAATGTTAAAAGCTTTCAATGATGAGAAATTTCTTTTGAAAATTTTAGATCAATAACAAATTTTTTTACATCTTAAATGGATTATTTTTAGGATTCGCGACCTCCTGCTGAAATAACATGGTACCATAATGACATAATGTTAAAGAATAGTATGATTTTTTCTTCCAAATATCAAAACAAATTAAGATTTATTAAGATTTCAAATATCGAGGAAAATTTTTTTTATATATCGTATATTATGCATTATTTTCAGATAGCCATGGTTCGTTTTCAATTTTTCCCATTACATCAACATTAGAAATTCCAAATGTGGAAGCACGACATGAGGGCGATTATAAATGTGTTGCAACTAATGGCGGGCGAATAAGGACAAGTCGTGAAGCGAAGTTGACCATCCATCCGGAGAATCGAGGTCAATTTCTTTATCAAAAATTTTTGATTGCTAGCGACTGTCAAGGTTAATTTATTTTGCCGATGATGAATTGTGTCATGCTAATCATGAAGGAAATGCGTTTATTTCCATTCCCATGTTGTAAAACAAAATTCTGAGGCTTTTTGATGGAATTTGTTGATCGTTAATACCAAACTGAACAATAATATTTGTCGGATTTAATAATAAAATTTCCTTTGAATTAACATAGTCGTATTAGTCGTATTTTTATTGCTCCTTCTGCTTTTTTATTTTTTATTTGGTTTTATTGAGCTGAATTTTTTGTAAAAACTACGATATACAATTAATATGCTTCATTTCTTTATTAATGCTGAATGAAATGGAATGAAATCTATTGAAATGGAAATAATTTTTGATTTATGGCTCAATTTAAAAATTTGTTTCCATTTATTTATTATTCCTACGATTATATCAGATTAATTTAATCAATTTTCGTAGAAGAGAAGCGTGAATTTTTTTATTCATTTGGTTTTTGGTTTTATTTTATTCGACTAAAAATTTTACTTTTCCAGTTGGAAACGAATTTTCTGAGCCATCGTTCGCGTTAGAACCACGCAGTGAAGTTGTAGATGAAGGTAATTCCATTGTATTGGAATGTTTAGTTAATGGCTGGCCAAAACCAAATGTCAGGTGGTTATTGGGTTCCGAAACTATATCAGCTGATGGTGATCGAGTATGTTTTCATATTTAAATTTTTCTTGATAGTAATCGTAGCACCATAATATGATCTTATTGATAAGTTCTATATTTATATTTATTCTATATTTAAATTCTATATTTTCTTGAATGGTTTTTTAGGTTCGCCGCCTGGGAGTGTCTTCATTAATTATATTAAAGGCTGTTCAGAGTGATGCAGGTGTTTATACGTGTCGTGCTAGTAATAGTCAAGAATCAATTGATGCATCAGCTACCATTCACGTCAGAGGTTTATATTTTTTCTTAAGGATTAAGGATTTTAATATTTTAATATTTTGCGTAAATTTTGCTCTATTGTTTAGTTTTATCGTTAGGATATAAAAAAAGTATTAAAATACAGTCATTTCAACCTCAGATTTCAGTTTTTCTGTTGGGTCTTTAAAGATTTCACTTATTCGGAATTTCCAGCGTTTTTGAAATTTTAATCAGGAATTTCTTCAGGACTTTTATAATTAAAATAAAAATTTTTTTTGCACAGGTAAAATATTTTTGATTTTTAGGTGCTCCAACCATATTAGTGAAGCCGAAAGATGTAATTGCACAAGAAACTTCTGATGTTCAGGTGCCACTTAATTATACATTCCCATCATTTTTTTAAAAATTACTATCTTCATAACTATTTAATTTTATATATTTTAAGTTTGATTGTGAAGCATCGGGTCAGCCAGGTCCATCTGTTAGCTGGTTTAAAAATGGTGAAGCAATAATTGGTAGCGAATATTTCATGGTAGATTGTTTTTGCAATTTTTATTAAAAATTGCAATTTTGCAATTTTAAGAGATAAAGGTCGATGCTTGAGTTTTTTTCAGATTGAAGGCACCCATTTGCGGATCCTTGGTTTAGTACGTAATGATCAAGGAGTATACCAGTGTATCGCCGAAAATGATGCTGGTTCAGTACAAGCGAATGCTCAACTTATTGTAGACAGTGCCGGTTTGTATTTAATGCCAATTGCCAATTTTTTAATAAATATCAAGCGAACTATTTTAATCAATTTTTTCATAATTTCTCTGTAATATTAATATAAGTTTGACTTCAGAAAATATTAGGTTAAGTTTTTTTTAAGTTAGCTAAATTATAGAAATGCTTGTACAGTATATTTCAAGAAATTTCCATTTGCTCAATGAAACAATCTTTGAGAATGAATCTAATAATTCTGGTGAGCACGAGTGAAAATAAAACTAATTCGACTAATTTTGTGCGTCCACTAATAATATAATTCTTAAAATCCTTATAGGTTTTCTTAGTATGTTAGTTGATTGTTTCATTACTTTTAACCTTAATAATTCTCTTTTCTGATTTTTTCTTCTAACATTTGTATTCATTTTATATATTTACATTTTATTCTGCTTGTATGAAATATATCATTGATATCAGGTCAGGTATTCTGGTTGCTAATTAAATGTTGTTATTGGTAATTCAAATGGTTTATCTTCTATTTTCCACCTTTGTTCTTCCCTCTTTTTTTATTGTTGAGAAAAAATTAGTAAAAAGTTATCTGAGAATTGCTAACTTTACAACTTTTTTTGCAAATTTTATGGGTTAATAAAATATGCAAAAATATGTTAATAAAAATTATTTATTTATAGAATCGTTCTCGATTTCTGCGTCAAATGGCAAACCTAAAATGCTTTCCGAGCCACTGGGTATGCGTGTTTCTGCTATTGGTAGTCGATTTGTGACATTGCAATGGGATCCTCCCGTACAGCGATATGGATCTATTTTAGCCTACCATATTTTCTATAAGGAGCAGAATTCCAATCGGTAATATTCATCATTTATCCATTGAACACATTGTATCTGCCATTGTTTTTTTTCTCCATACCATGTAATGTAATGAAAAGTGCTGTGTTAGGGAACGAATGATGAATTCATCTACCACTACGGCAACTGTGGCGCTACTTCAACCAAATACTGCCTACTTTTTTCGTATTGTTGCTGAAAATGAAGCAGGGCTGGGTCGATCAACCGATCAGTTAACGGTAACTACAACTAAAGAACAGGTCAGATTATATTTTCTTTGAAATATTTTCTAACTACTGCTTTCCTAAAAAATTATTCAAAGAAAAATATTTATAAAATTTGAGGCATTATCTTTCTGCAGGCAGTACCTGGAAAAGTCAGAAATCTTCGAGCGGTTGCCCTTAGTGCGGAAACAATTGAAGTAACATGGGACGCACCAAATGAAAATGGACCGGCTGCCCTCCAATATAAATTGTTCTATATTCGTAAAGATCCACAGTTTGGTGAAAAGGAAACTCAAGTTATGGTATACTATTTGTGAATAATTAAGCCTTTTTGATTTATTTTCTATTTATTTTTGATTTTATTTCTAATTTCTTTTATCAATCAATTTTTTGATTTTTTATAAAACGCTATTTTTAAGATGAAGAAAACATCCTATATATTACATGGTATGGAGAAATATACTGATTATATAATTCGAGTGGAAGCGGAAGGTGTGAATGGTGCTGGATTAAGTTCTGAACCTGTTCTAGTGAGGACACTAGCCGATATTCCTTCGGTTCCTCCATCAGACGTTCGGTTAGTTCTTTCTTTCCGTCTATTTGTTTTAATTACTGCACATATATACATTATATAATGAATGGTGTTGAATGACTTAATGAAATTTTATTCAGAGCGGAAGCAGTATCTACAACTTCGGTAAATGTTCAGTGGGTAGCACCTCCGCTGAATGATCGTAACGGTGTAATAACCGGATATCGCATTAAATATAGGACAAGAATGCGTGGTACAAAAGGAAATACCATTGTTGTCGATGGTAGTGATCAGTCATTTACAATCACAGGACTTGATCCAGCAACTCAATATATGTTAAGGGTTGCTGTTGTAAATCAGGCAAGGTTTTTGCTGTTTTTATTTTTTATTTTAATGGTGTTTGATGATAAAACATGATTTTAGAATGGATCTGGTCCATATTCAGAGTGGGTTAATGTTGAAACTCCACTTGAAGACAAAGATGAACAACAAGTAGCTGGTCCGCCATTGTCATTAAAAGTGCAACCATCTTCAGATTCTATACAATTGTCGTGGTCGCCTCCCAGAGATGAAAGCATTATGGTGAGGGGATATCTGGTATGCTTTTTAATTCCACTATCAAAAGATATTAAATTTCTACCTCATGAACATTCAATATCAAAATTTCAGATTGGTTGGGGTATCAATATACCAGACGTCGATCAGGTTACAGTTGCAGCGAATTTGCGCCATTACACTATTAGGGGTTTGAAGCCAAATCGTGATTATGTGATCTCATTAAGGGCCTATAATTTAATGGGTAATGGATTCCCAATATATGAAACGGTTCGAACAACATCTATAGAATTTGTTCCTAGTGGAACTGGAATATTTGATTCGCGTAATATACCATCAAATCCAAATGAAACACCAATTGGTGTTCGCGCCGAGACGCTTTCATCATCTTCTATCAGAGTAACATGGACAGATCCTAAAATTGAAATTTCATATTTACGTCAATACACCATTCGTTATAGTTCAAGGTGGAATTCTTTATCAATCTTTTTTCATTTTCAAACTTGGTTTCTTGCTTGATTTTAATCAATTAAAAATTTATAGTATCGAGGAAAGAGGTCATTATCGCTATTTGAATTCGTCTGAAACTGAAGTTCTTGTTGAAGGTCTTCGTCCAAACACTCAATACGAATTCGCTGTGCGAGTTAATGCTGGCAAGTTAGTAATATGTGATAGGATTTTTTGCAGTTCATATTCGTAATGCAATTTGTTCTTTTATTTTAGAAAATATTCCACTTTTTTCCATAGTAAAATAGAATTCGTTTTCAAGTAAATACTTGGATTTGTAGAGCATCTTCACAGTGGTCGATGACTGCGTTTAATCGAACGTCGCCAGCACCACCATCTAGTGCACCTCGGGATTTAACAATTGTGCGACCGACGAATGGTGATCCTCATTCGCTCACTTTAAATTGGCAGCCACCGAAATATAGCAATGGTGAAATAGAAGGTTGTTTTTTTCGAAAACAAGTATATAGCTATGGTTATTTCATAAGAATTGTGTAAACACCTAAACTTAATATACACCTAATACTATTTCAGAATATTTGATATATTATTCTGATCGTTCAGACTTGCCTGATAAAGATTGGATATTGGATGGGGTTAAGGGAGATCGCCTTTCACTTACATTAACCAATCTTTTACCGCGTGCAACATATTTTTTTAAAGTTCAAGCAAGGAATATCAAGGGATATGGTCCTCTTTCTCCCATTTTACAATATGTTCCTGGTGCTCCACCTCCACCATTATTTAAGGTTGATTTTGATTTCATTTTTTATTGTGCTTTTTTTTCTCCAAATTTTAGTTAAATAAGCATGTGAAATTTTGTAGAATGTGGAAACATCAAATGAATTTCATCCAGCGCTGTTAATACATAATCCTTTATATGCTGGTATAACAGTTGGCATAGTTTTATTTATACTGGCATTGGTTATTTTAATCGGTTGTATTTTGAAATCGAAGAAATCCAAAACAAACAATGGTAGAGGTTACAAACCGGGTCGTAGAATAACAAATGATGGAAAGGGACCTCCTGATCTTTGGATCAATCACTATAACGAATCAAATCTTCGAACACCAGGTATGCATTTTAAATGCTATTGTACCACCACAGTTTTTTTTGAATTTGGAATTGCGCTTTGTTTTTTTAAGTATTAACGATAAGAAATTGCTTTTTCACTTAATTTGCTTTTTTCTCAAGCTTTTTATTGCGCGTTTTTTCCATTAGTTGTTTGTTAGTATATTTTGTGTCAAATTTGTTTCTAGAATTCATTGGTGAACCTTTTTCTGAATCATTGTGCGACCTTAAACCATATTCCAATGGTGTTCTCGCAACAGCAGTTGAACATTCTCCACCCGTTCGATGTCAAGACATGCAAGGTGCAAGAATGCTTTTGCTTTTTTTGTTTTTTGATGAAAGGAATTTCGCTTTTTGGTGGTAATGAATGCAACGAGATCCTTTAATGATTTTTAAAGAAGGAAAGGGATTGCAGAAATATTTCCTTGTTTAGGTGATGTTATTTAGAAGTTTGGTTTTTACATTTTCTTCTGAAATTTAAATCGAAATCGAATCTTTATTTTATTAAGAGAGATAATAACTGCAATGTTGTCTAGATCGATATCCCTATCTGGTATGCCTAAAATTAATTATGCAGTGCACGCTTAATGCATATGGTACTTTCTAAGGAATTTATTTCCTTGATAGTTTCTTCTTAGGAAAGAATTTTATTTCATTTGCATTTTTTTCTCCATTTATTTATTTATCTTTAGCATTATCTTTCTCACAAACAAATTCTTTTTAAATCCTTCGTTTAAATCTTTTATTAATGAAGAATAATTTTACGGGTTAAAAAATGAACTGCATAGAATGTAAAATTATCTGTAAAAATGATGGATTTAAGATTTATTTCAGACAAATTATATAATAAAAAATAAATGAATTTTTTACCTGCAAATATAGCATGCCTTGTGTGTTGTATATTAGTGGGAAGATTTAGCTGTGATGTTAGTGCATCGAATGACGTCACGAGCATCAGATCGTGCTAGTATTGGCAGTTCTCAGACAATCATGTCACAGTCGTTTTATGAAAATTATCGTCGATATGAAAAACAATCCATACCATCCCCATCTCAAAACTATGATATTGATAGTAAGTTGTGTATATATGTATGTGTATATGTGTGTGTGTGTGCATGTATGCATATTCGGCATGCTTGAATCATTTAATTAAAAAGTGGTTATAACTTAACAAAGACTTTTTTCTCCTTCGGCATGTTGGGATGCAACTATAAATTAATTTTGTTTGGCAAATTTAGATGAATTTTGATTTTTTTACTTCGCATGGAAAAAAATGTTAAATAAATTTTCATGAATGAATAGAAGCAAATAAATAATTTGCATGAAAGTTTGCTAGCTGGCTTGATAGAGGAAATGCACGAAAAATTTGAGGTTTTAAATGTCAAGCAAGAGCAAGATCATTTTTAATAGTTGAATTTATTCTTGGTTTTATTCCTAATTATTATTTGTTGCTTTTTTTGTTTTTTTTTTGAGTTCATCTAACAAAGGATAACGATTTAGATTTTATTTCATTAATGAAAGCTCGAACATTAATGTTTCGAAGTATAGGAGAATATTTTAAAGCATTCTCCTGGTCTCTTTATATTTTTAATTTTGATTGAACTAATGGTTCATTGTCGAAAATTTCGTTTCATTAAATTTCTTTCTATTTTTGAATTTAATAGCTACAGTAATTTTACCTTGTTAAGTTTTTTTTTTTTTTTTAGGCAATGGTTCACTTGCTCGGAGTTATCATCAATCATCAGCAAGCTTAGAAGGTCGGCAGAGATCAACGCCTCAAGTGGTCTATACTAATTCAGCTCGGCATCAAGTACTTTTTCCCTATTTTTCTTACTTTTCTCTATATTATTAAATTTTGCAAACGCATGAACTAATTGTGCAGAATTTATAGTTCCATATTTTTAAAAATTCAAGTTGGTCTTTTAAAAAAATGGAATTTGAAACTCTTAAAACTTTAAAACTTAATTTAAAATTTGAAGCTTTTAGCCCATGGCGAAAATTGAGTTTTCTGATCATGGATCATCGTACGGCTCATCTCAGGCCTTACAATCACATACACCACCTCCTCAACTGCCAAATCAGGGACCGCCCTTGGGTCCACCTAATCAAATGATTGATGGATATCGGACTTTACGCGGTAATTCTGTTACCAATAATCCGTTGAAATCGTTCACTCAACTTGCGGGTGCTCCTCCACCTATTTCTTCACCTCAGACCTCTCAAGGTTAATGTTTTAATGTAATAGTTTTTTCTCTTTTTATTTTTTGCAAAAATCAAGTGAATATTGCATTTTTTATCAGTTTAATTTTTTAAATGTTTTTATGTCTTTAGGCGAACGAACAGCCCTCGTCGTTCGACCAGTTGTTGTTGCTTCACCTAGTGTACGAAGTGGTAAACCGGCTGGTGTGGTTATTGGTCAGAAATCATCAAATGTTCCTATTGGACGAGCAGCCGCCCAGCCACGCGTCAATGTAAACAGCATTTATGCGCCGTATGTATCATGTCAATTACCTGAAAAAACGGCAATATCTCGTGAAGTTGAAGTCATCGACACTCAACACCTTCAGGTATTTATTTAGAATGCATCGGAATCTTGGGCTAAATTTCCAGTTTTTTAGTTAATTTTTTTTAGTTTTTCTCAAAGAGTTTTTATCTTTCAGCCATCTAATTCAACGGAAGAATTGAATGCTCAGATGGAGAGCCTCGATACTATGATCGATGATCTTCAGGCACTTCAACATGAATTTAATGCAGCTTCATAACTTGATTATGAATATTGTGAACGATAATTTAAGAAGACGGGTATATTTTAAACTTTCTCAGGAAAAAGTATGATTTTATTTCTTGATTTTGATTTAATTAGAAATTCCTTAGCCAAAATTTCGTGGTTCTTTCTTTTAATATTGGAATCCTATGCAGTTCACCTACCTATTTCTTCCTTATCATTTTTAATTGTTTAATTGTCTTTTGTCTTTTACAATTGTTGCCGATTACACTTTTCATTACATGCATTCCCATTTTACAATTTATTATTTGTATATAAGTTTATAATCACTATGAATTGATTTCATCGTCCTTTGAATATTTTTTAGTTTTTTTCTAGGAAGATTATTTATTTATAAATGAATTAAGATTAAGAAGATTTATTTATAAATTATGCATCGATTACTTTGATCTAAAAAGCTTCAGTGGGTCATGTTTGCTATTACATTAAATCATTATATCATTGCCACCAAAACCTATTTTATTTTTTTACTTTTCTGATTTTACTTCTTTTTTTTTGTAAATAGTTATATTCGCTCGAATTGTTTCTTGCCAGGACTGTATAAATGTTTTCAGATTTGAAATTTGTTGTTAATAATTAATTGAAGAAATGCTGAATGTATAAAAATTAATTATCAGTTAATCTTAATTCAGGTAGAAACACTTCTAAATTTTTTTTCTTCAGCTACTGCATTGAGAAAATATCGCTTTTTTTTAGCATAATTTCCCTTCTAGATCAGTTTTATTTTGAACTGGAAATTAGGAAAATTTGAGAATGCAGCTTGAAATTCTGCCTTTAATACGAGACTTTGGCTTTACTTTTGTTCTCTTTTTTTCAGCTTGCCTTTGCGCTTTATGTCTTTTCTGTTTTTTTAATTGTTTTTCTTTTAATGTTTATTTTTCCAATTTCCTGTTATTTAAAGAAAAAGTAAATTTTTGAAAATGCTGAATAAAATGCTGAATTATTAGATTTATTAATTATTAAACATAATTGTTTTCGATTACTTGTAAATAAAAATAATTATTAAAAAATATAATATTCATTCGATAATTCATTGCTGGAAAATACGAATTATGGTTAACATTTTAATATACATGAATTTGTATACTTCGATGTATGCTTAAGTATGTTTTCTTAAATTGATGAATGCACCAAATTACACTCATTATTAGATTATTAGGTTATAAATCTAATAATGATGAGTGCACCAAGAGTAAACTAAATTTTGACTAATTTTGACTCCTTTGACTAAATTTTAACTATTTCATGTAGGTTTTTGGTATTTCGAATGAACTTTGTGTCATGGTTTAGGCATAAACTTGGTTCTATGCTGTTTTAGCACCCTGGTAGAGTCTTTGATTTACAAACATTCGAGAATTTTTGATGGCCTTATTACTACAATGATTTAATGTTTGCATCGTAAAGAATAGTGATCGAAAATCATAGAAAATATCAAATAAAACTGGAAAGCATATGAAATTTGCTTGCTGAATGTAAATTTAAATGGGTTTGGTTTTTTGAAAATGGTTAATTTATTTGGCTTTGGCCATTGCGTCGCCCTCTTGCGTTATCATTAATTATTTCTTTCTCGTTTCTCGTTTACAGAATTAAACCTGCATAGTAAAAGGAAAATAGAGAGTAGCACGGCTGCGGGTCCATTTTTCGTCCATAGATCACCCATATTCCGTAAATAAAAAAGCAGTTCAACGATCGAACTAAACTAGAATTGATTCGGTGACACTTTCATTTTTCGATGCGCCTAATTCGGATTAATTCAATTCCACTGCTGAATCGCCTTCCATTCCTATTTGTCGTAAATAAAAAATATAACGAAAAAATGGATTAGTTTATGGTCGAATTATTTGCAAATTTTTACCATAAAATTTTAAATTATATTGATAATTAATTGATCAATTTTTTAGGCACATAAACAATTTCGGCGTTCCTCATGCATTTAATAATGTGGAAAAAAAATGCGAAAACTTTAAAAAGGACCTATCGCCCGGCTTGGCTGACTTTTCATAATTGTGGACCCGATTTTCGCCGCGGGCAAAGCCGGTTTTGCCCAGGATCTATTCGAAAATCTACTCTCTTAGCGTATACCCATTCCAATTCTTTAACTTCCTTAAGCAAAACTATCAATTTTTAACCATAAAAATAAGCAAACACATTTTGTTTCATAAATTGTCAACTAATAGATTTTGCAAAAAAACTTTATTAAAAGGTTATTTATAAATTGGAAAGCAGCTGTTATCAGATCACAATCACAATAAATGCATAATTAAAGAATAAGAAGACCACCAATTCAGAAAACAATTTCTTTAAAATGTAGAATCCTTGTTTTACAAAATTTCATGAAAACAAGAGCCTCAACTCTTAGCAGTGAATGCAATAACTTCCGATTCAAAAAAAAAAAACGAATTCTCATAAAATTCAGTTCACGTAACCGCCGAATTTACAACATACATATAATTACAAACCTACAAACCTATGAAAAATATAAATTACAATCCCAAATAATACTGACCTTGAAATAATGAAAATCATTTTCTATCACAATATTCCATAAAAGTTGTTACAAGAAAAAATTTGATAAAGCCTAGAACGTGAAAAATTAAAAATTAAAACATATATTTAACATATACCATATTTTCGACAAAAAACATCGATAAATAATTCCTAATTGGAATAAATAATAAATTTCTTAACTATATTAACCATACTAGGTAACATATCATTGCAAATTTATACTTCAACATCCATTCCAATGGTTAATACTAGGAATTTCAATAAATAAAGATGTTGGTTTACATTTATAGTCACAACTATTTGCTCGAAAAGTAGGTTAAATTACAATATATATCAAAATACATCATAAAATATAAAACAACCAAAACATTGAGGAAAATATGTTAAAATAAATAAATTAAATATTAAAAAATAAAATTTTCATCAGCCATATCAATCGCCCAACGAAACTTCTCACGTTGTGTTTTATTGAATATTTTTTCTACCGGCACATTATTTTTCTTACACCATGCTACCGAAATTCGAGGATCCAAATAATTTAATTTAGATGTTCCCAGAGCAATCTGCTTATTTTCATCCTATAAGAATTAAATTTCCGAATATTGTTTTCATTAGCATAAAATTTAAAGAAATGTGCATTAAAAGAAACTTTGTCCGTTCTCTGAATTTTCAACCGCTTCAACTGTTCTTTAACCCTCTCCAACCGTTTTTTCGCTCGGTTAATGGCAGTTTCACCTTTTGCTTCTTGCAAACTCGCCTGAAAAAGAATATATGTGGAGATATAAGACATACACAAAATAAGAATACACAAATTATGCAAGTTATAAGTTATTAATATCAACTATTCTTTCAATATTTCACTGCAATATTCTAAAATTTTAAATTTTAAAAAACAGGAAATGAAAACCTTGGCTTCCTTTACTTCAGCTTTTTTCGCTTTTATCTTGCCAGCTAAATTCTCCATACTTTTTTCATGGCTTTTTGGCACCGCTCGCTGATGATTACACAAAATTGCAACCTGACGGTTTGCTCGGTTGTACGAAAGTAAATACTCTTGTACGCTCGAATCTTCTGCAAGCACATAACAATATCAAAGTAAAGAAATAATAAAAAAAAGAACATATTACGTTTTTAAGCACGATGACATTTCATTTCAAATAAAATTGAAATGGAACCTTTAGTTAATTTCTCCAATTGTTGCTGAAGCGTAATTGAGGCATTATAGGTACGGAAGACTTTAACAGTTAATCCCGGCATAAGACTTTGCAAATGTTGGTTAAGACTTGTAGTCTAAAACATCAAAAGTTGAACAAAGTGCAAATTTTAAAAAAATACAATTCAACTCTAATTCAATTGTAATTAGAAAAGCTCACATCCAATCGATCAAAAAGATCATCACCAGGATCTTTATTTTCCATGAATAACTTTAAATTATTAAAAACACGTTTCTCCACCTGTACTTTGTTATAATATCGTATACTATCTTTGCCCAAAAAATCAAATTCGACTACATACCTGGAAGAAAAACGAAAAAGGTAAAAAAATAACTTTAGAAAATTAAATAATACAAAAACCAAATTTTAGATGATATTTTTTGACTCAAAAAAAGAATAATAATAGTACTCATTCTAGTATTTCCAAAAATCAAGTAATACTATTCTTATTAACCTTATTGTTTAATTCAATGAACACTTACTCTTTCTCATCAAGTTTTGGATGCAATTTTATATGTTCACAACGAAGAGAACAACAACCTACAGTATCGGCAGCTTCATCAATATCCTTCTCATTACCAGCTCGAAGGGCTAACTAAAAAGCGAGATATTCAACGTAACACTTTCTAAAGCCAATATATTTTTTCAAAGTAAACTCGACAATAACCTTATCAATAAAATAAAGAGCCACAGCACGTTGACGAATACGCATTTCTTTGCTTTTGAAATCAGTTGTGTAAACTTCACGTATGTCGTCGATGCGAGATTTAAGACGCCTTGCAGTTTCGAATTTTTCATAATCCTTTTCACCCTAAAAAACTGATTATCATAGATTCAAGAAATCAATAGCTGGTAAAAATGTCTAATTTTGTTCTTATTTAATATATAAATACTTTTATTTTAGATGAAGGATTCAACATTATGTATTTAATTTGACCGAGAACATTTTCGGTCCATGCGCATAACCATGTGACAGTATTATCATGCCGTACTTCTTTCCATTTGTGTCCTGCAGGCGGAATAGGAATCTCAGATCCTCTACAAAAGAAATATACAATGAAAATTTTAAAATGACAAAAATTGGACGAATAATAAATAAAAGAAAAAAGTAAAGTAATCGTAAAGTAATAAAAAACAAACTTGGAACAATTGATAATAACATCTTCAGGTTGTACACGTCTTTTAAGACAACCCATTTTTGGATGACCACCACGACCTCGAAAAAGACCTGGTGGTTCAATGCGAAAATTGCCTATCTTCTGACGATGACCATCAATGACAGCGAATCCATATTCCTTAGCCTCCGCTTCTTTTGCCTAAAGAAACCAAAATAAATACTGTAGCAAAGAAAGTAAATCTAAAAAAAAATATGAGATATATGAGATATGAGATCGATGAAAATTTTAACAAAATACCTCTTTAATTTTCAATTTCTCTTCTTTAGTCATCGCTTTTTTTTCTTCCGTAAGTTGCTGATAATAAGCAGACATTTCTCTAAAGTCGCATTTTGCAAGCTCTTTAATTTTTTCTCTTTCTATTGCTGTCATTACCTGAAATATATTTATATATATATATATAATTTATATGTAATTTATTTACATAAATATATAAAATATAATTTTCAAAAAAAGACGAAATTCTATAAATAGGTAATAAATCTCATCTTAAAAAATCTATGAAAAATCCACGTATAAAAAAAACCTTTCGCCAATCTTTGAAAAAATTTTCATTAAAAATTTCTTTAGTAGTATATTCGTGAGTCAACATTTTTGCATAAAACGATGCCACTTCTTCCGTCTCATTTGATAATTTCATAGGCTGAAATATGTAATAGATTTAAGGATTCAAAATGATATAACGCATATTTAAAAAAAATCCTTTGTAGTCCTTTTTGCTGACAATTATAACGAAATGCAAGTAATAACGTGTCAGAAACTGCAGCAAAAATCGAACTCAGGATCAATGTAAAATGAAAGTTTATTCGTCTTATGCGCAAGAAGCTGATAAAATGCCTCTTTTCATAAATTCATTGCCGTTTGAGGAAGTGAACGATTTTAAATGTCCACTCTAATACCAAATGGCCAGGCAAAAGACGATATTATAACCTGGATTGAGGCAAAATTGGTTCTTCCGGCTGACGAAACCTTTATGGAGTCGTCGTGAAATCACCATAAAAACGAACGCCCGCATCTATATTTCAGTGATCTGTTCGATCTTACTATATGGTTCTGAGACATAGCGAATGAAAGTGGAGGATATTAAGAAATTATCTTTGACCACTCATGTCTAAGGTATATATTTACGAATCCGTCGAGTGGATAAGATATCACAAGATCGCATACATCTTCGTTCAAATACCATTTGCATAAATAATGTTATCACAGAGCGCTGCCTTTGCTGGTTAGGGCACGTTCTCCGTTGTTCACCATAGGAGATGACGCATATTTCGTTATTTGCTAAACCATGTGAAGGTTGGCATCAAAAGCGAGGTGGACCAATCAAGACCTGGACTGATACCGTGAGAAAAGATTTTGAAGGTATAGGTGGACCAGCAATATATGGACTTAGACGATGGAAACATGAATGGTTTCCATTACTGTCGACGATGGCATCAGACCGCGCCGCTTGGAAGCATTTTACCCTTGTAGCCGTTGGAGCCTGCCGAAACAGTAATGGTGAGAGCTATTAAAAGAAGAAGAAAGAAAAAAACCAATTCAAGAGATGGACACCAATATTTTAAATTTAAAATTTTACTTCTCCACTGTATTTGAAATGTACAGTTTGCGGCAATGGAACATAATCGGGTGCAAAAACTGGACCTTTATGCACCAACGTTCGCCATTTCACACCATCTGGCTTTGAATCTTCTTCCCACCTACAAAAAAAATATAAATTAACACTAGTAATAATATTAATAATAATATTCAACATGATGAAAAGAATTCAAATTTTCTCGAAATCAATCATTCAAAGTTGAAAAACGTCACCATTTCCAAATTTCTTCTTCTTCTTCAACTTTTTTCTTTTTTTTGGATGGCGATGATACAGTTTCCTTCTTCACATCCTTATTTTCAGATTTTTTCGATGAATTCTTTTCTTTTGTATTTTCCATTTTCCGCTTCTTTTTCTACAAATAAAATAGATTAATGTGGATGAAATTACTTGATAGCTTATTGATTGATAGTGTGTCAATACCAGTTCAGAATATTCATCGTCTGATTCCTTTATTTTTCGCTTTTTTGAAGAGGAATCTTTAATGCGACTACTCAGCGGAAGATCATCATCGCTATGCACTTCCGCTTTTATTTCCTTTTTAAGATGTGTCACCAAGTTTCCAGAATGATTTTTAACTCGATTCGATGATGAAGCATCCAAAGCCGCTTCAAATGATCTCTTTCCTGATACCTTAAAATAACATCTATTTATCCACATGAAACAATATGAACAAAACTTAAGATCAATTATTTCGGGAATTTACCATAAACCGACGATAAAAAATTAATCTTGGAAATCAAAAAAAGCTCATGAAGAATAACCTCAGGTTGAACCATTCGTACTTTTTGTGTAAGAGGCATATCATCGTCATCCATGTCAATTTCTCGTTTCACTGGTGATCCACTATGGTAACCACTAAAATAATATAACTTTAATAAGCACACTTTGATATTCCCACTTCTTTCATAGTTTTAGCAGATTCTTGAAATTTGGTTTTCTGTCTTAATAAATAGAAATACCTGTCTCCATTTGAATAAACGCTACTATACTTTGTAACGGCAGCCATTATTTAATAAAATCTGAAATAAAATAGAAAAAAGTGATTTTAGAAATTTGCAAAAATAAACATTACGTATAAGTAATCATTTGACTCCTATACATCATTTATCATCATTATTTTAAAAATTCCATAATAATTAATAGTTAACACTTAACTTTAGTTGCATTCTAGAGTTGAATGATAATGATATTCATTTAATGAAAAAGAAATACTATAAGTAAATGAGAAAACATTGAAAAGATTATCTGCAATACAGCTAAAATACGAGATAGTAACGTAAACAAACGTAAATGATTTAAGATAAAATTGAAATACAAAACAATTCTTCGCTGATAAAAAAAGCTATCAATAAGGAAATATAACAGTATTGCAATACTAAAAGTGGGAGGAGAAAAGGAGGAAAGGGTAGAAGGAAGATGAGGATGAAAAAGAAAGGTTTTTAGATTACTGCAGTAAAACTTCAAAACTTTAAGAATTTTTTCTTTTTAAGGACTTTTCGTAAAACGAGTCAATAAGCACTTTTTCTTCAAACAATTGAACTTTATAGGGTCAAAATTAAATTTGAGTATAATTTTAAACTAAATTGTTGAAAAGAACTCATATTCATAAACAATTAAAAAAGTTCATCGTCATTGAAGAATCAATTAAATAGAAAACTATTAATCTATTACTATTAACTATTATGTTAAATATCACCTATTAACCATTATGTCAATAAAGCAAACAATATTACAAAGTAATTAATCAATCAATATAAGGAAACAATAAAATAATTTAGTATTTCATATTTATTTATTATTTAAAATGATTTTCATCATCCTTAATATTTAATTAATTCGTATTTATATTTACATATTTTCTGTAGTTAGCAACTATACTTTAAATATTTAATTAATAAATAAAAATACTTCGAGTAAAAACATTTTTTATTATTCTATACAAACTTAAAAGATAAATGATCAAAGATCAAAAAATAATTAAAACACGGTTTAATCAGCTGTTCTCCTTTCTAATCAAATCACATATCATTTATAAAAATTATATAAATCGAAATTTTTTTAAAAAAAGAAGAAAAATAAGTGCTAATAACGATTTTTTTATATTAATAGAATTAAGAAAATCGATTTGAAAATCGAATTCTTCTTAAAAAATTAATTTAAAATTTTACAAAAACCTAAAAGATGCTAAATTACAAATCAGAGATAGATTTTGAACGAAACCGAGCGATATAAAGGATTTAGAATAATTACCCAGCTTCAATTAATTGTAGGAATGTAATAAATTCGCTAAGCATAAAAATGCCCTAATTTTAATAGCTCAAGCCAAATTGCGCACTGGTAGAAAACTGTACATGCTGGTGGAAAAGAAAAAAAATTCGCTTTTTCCAAATATTTCTTAATTTATTACGAACATTCTGTTAAAAAAATTTTTCCATAAGATTTTTTCTTAATTTCAAATGATAATTTTTTTCTCTTTTTTTAAAATAAAATAGAATATAATAGAAAAATGGAAAAAAATAAGAAATTAATGAAAAATAAAAGTAAATAAATAAAAATTAATAAAGAATAAAAAATAAATAAAAATTAATAATAAAAAAGTAATAAAAATAAAAATTATTCAGAAAAATTCGACTGAATTTACACGTAAAATTCACGTCAGAAGACGCAAACACTACGGAATGCCACTTTAAGTAACTTAAATAAATAAAGAACCACGAAAGACGGAACAATATCCACAAAATTAAGCAATAAAATCAGAGCAAATTCCACGACGCTTCCAAAAACTAAGTCCGTGATTACACTTGAACATAGACAAAAATGCGCAAATTACATTTTATTGATTAATTTTTCGTGTTAAGACCCAATTTTGTGGATTATGGTAATTGGAATCTTGCCAATTTTCGATTTTTAAATTTCGGCTTTAATTTATTCTTTTTATTTTTATTTTGTTTTGCATATGTTTGGAACCGCGAGGATTGGTTAAATATTTCTTTCATTTATTTATTTCTTTTGTATTCTTTTTAATTTTCGCCAATTCAACGGTTTGCAGAAAAATAGAATATTTGATGCTTTTTCTAAGGTGGTCCACCATTCCTGAGCTAGTAAATTAGTTCCGCTGGTCCCCACAGGTTCCACTGGCTTGGAGGACCAGGCAGAGAGGGAATCACCTGGCGATAGAAGTATGCGTTTTCGAAAGACACGTTTGCAGGTGCCGCAAATAAAAACCGTGGCATCATCGCAACGAAGAACCACTGAGTCACACCCTTTTTTTATTATTTCCGTTAATATTCATTCGCATGTTTTAATTTAATTAATTACGAATTGATGAGTAGAATGGCTCGGTGAGTTGTTGCTCAATTCGGAATGCCCGTGCTGAGGTTCTACTTCCCGCAGGAATAAATTTGTCCAGAAACCCGAGTGATACTTCCGACTCACCTGTACTTTTATCCTCAGGGTATTCTCTGGCATATTTGTCAAGCCAGTGAGTTTAACCGGTAATGATGAGGGCAAGGAATTAATAATTAAATCAATAATTACCAAATTAATAATTATTAAATTAATAATTAAATTTATAATCATTGATTTTTATTATTTTTTATTTATATTTATTTACATATTATTATTTATTTATTTATATACTTATTTACATTTATTTATGTTTTTAATTTCCTTTCCATGTTTCAGAAATTAAATGAATTGATTTATTATTATAATCGAATTGAAATTTTTTCAAATTTACCTTTGTTTAATGTTCAATTATTTAATATTTCTTTGTTTATTTATTTTTGTTTATTTATTTACTTATTGTTTGTTTATTTATTGTTATATTATCACGGTATTATTATCATTATTGTATTATTATCATTATTGTTATTTTTCCTATAAAATTTTTTTTTTTAGATGAATTATAGCAAATTATGAGACCAAAATTTCTAAATTATTAAAATATTTTACTAGGCGAATTGAATTACGATAAGCAGCAATTTGTCATACTTAACAGTTCTTCCTTCAGTGCTATACCTTTTCTTTTAGATTCATAAAAAGAAGAATATAGCTTATAACAAATAATCCAGAGAACGGAGTTCTTGAAATTTTACTTTATCAATATCAATACGGAGAACAGGTTTTAAGGAAACTACAGCGGCTAGTAGACTATAAAAAACTAAGATAGGATATTTAAGGGAAGGAATTTGAAAGGAAACGAGTTCGTCTCCTGTAAGGTGAAGAAATGGTTGACGTCGATAAGCTATTAATTGAAATTCCCTTCCCGGGAATATTAATAGAAAATAAAAGTGTCTGTAACCAATAAACCTGATTTTGTACTTATTGGTAAAATTGATCTTTTTTGTCAAATATTTTATTTTAAGCAATACTGATAAGAATTATCCAACAAAATAGGTATGCAGTTTAAAGGGAATGATAAGGAAATTATCAGTATACAACTTTATTAAAAACATGTATAAGGATTTTACCTCTTATAGCATATTCTATCATTATTCTATTCGATTTTTATTTTTTATCGCTTTCTAAAAATTAAATATTTTTATTTATTAATGGTAGAATGTGCTATATTGAATATTGTTTTAAAAAATTTAAATAAACGAATTTTAATTTTACTAAATATGGGATAAATAAAATATAAAATATAAAATCAATAAAAATATTTTGTAAGGTGAAAATTTTAATTAATAGTCTTCTCATTATTGTTCCATTTTTTCTTGCAGTGAAATGTGGTTTAACGATACTGCGATGAAAATTTAGAAATTTGTGAAATTGCTATCGGGGACGACGAAGTCAGCAATAAACGTAAGTTTGCAGTTGGATGTAATTGAAAGTAATTAAAAATAAGAAATATTTAAATTGAAATAAAAGCTGCAGTAAAAATAAGAATTAAGTGAATGAAAAATGAATTCATTTAATATATTTTCGACAATTTTTATTTTTTTTTTGAAACGAAAAAAATGGAAACTGAAAAATAATGAATTTCTAATCGAATTGCATTAAATTTCTCTTATATTCATTTATAAGTAATTCATAATCTTTATAATATTATATTAATTTTGCAGTTTTACAGTTTTTATAATATTAATTATAAAAATTTCTAAAATTTCTAAAATTAAAAATTTTAGAATATTTTATTTTTAAGTTTAGTTGTTGTTTTTTCTTTTAATTTTTAATTTGTTTTTTCTTTTAATTTCTTAAATTTTTTTAAATTTCAGTGGGCAATAATTTTCAATAAAAGAAGATTTTTTACGAAAAATTAACGAAAAATTATTGAAAAAAATGCATCAAAATGGATTGCCTTCAGATATTTCGATAATAAATATTCGTTTAGCTGTTCGTCAAATTGTTGCAGAAATATTTAGTAAACCATCTATGATTTTAAAAAATATTTCGCAACCGAAAAATTTTAGGTTTATTTTTTTATTATTTTCCTTCCAATTAAAATTTTTTAATTTTTATAATTTGGCTCAATTTAAAAAAGTTTTATTCACTGTTTTTTTCAAAATGGTTTTTTTAATTGAAAAAAATCCTGCGAAGGATATTGTATTATATTGAAAAGCCATGTATTGCTTAGATTTTCTTCTTAACATTAGTTTTACTTCTGACTCTGACAGGAGTAAATATGTCAATGCAAAAGTTTAAGTGATATTTGGGAGTCACTTGGATGTCCTAGATGGCCATCCTTTTAATATTCCGTCTTAGTTGCATACAATTTCATTATCCTAATAACTCGTAGAACAAGTCGTATGATGAGTAGTGGTGAAGCAAAAAAATTAATAGATTTTTTTATTAGTTTAATTAAACATTGATTTTTCTTCATTTTTTCGTAGTAATATTTATTTTTAAGTTGAAATTCTTTTTATTTTATTTTCTTTTTTTTTGTAATTTTGTGATAATAATTTTTTTTATATTGTATGCACTCCATTTTTCTGAATAAATTCTTTTTTTCTCTTATTAGCTGTTACATTAAAAATTGGTATGAGCTTAATAACATAAAATTTGAATAATGGATAGTGGTTTCAGATGAAGCGGGAGTGGGGGTAGAAGGACACGGTGAATATCCAATTACTGTGGATCAATAAAAATTAGTGTAGCTAAATATATCACTGTAGCATTGCAGTTCTTTTTAAATCGAATGTAATTGGTAAAAGTCAGAAGTATGAAAGAAAATCTATTCTGTTAAATCTGTTAATCTTTTTTATTGCAGTTTTCAAGCTTTTTATAAAACTGCGTAATTTTAATATTAATAAAAATAACATTCCTTTAATTCCTTTCAGCGATGATAGTGCGGTTGGTCAAATTCGATGGATGATTCATCTTCATTTGAAACACATTTATGACCGACTTGAAGTTCGAGTTTTTCTTTTAAATCTAAATCTTTAGATTTAAATTTTTTGTTTTGTAAATATTTGTCTCAGTTAGGCTTTGCTTAAGCGAAAAAGCGAAGAAAAAGGCAAGTTTTGGAAATTAGATTAGACCTTTCTTGCATTTGTTTCGGTCGTAAAATTATTGGTTGAATTATTAAATAATTCGCTTCCAGCAGCCTCCACCATTTCTAATTTCATTCGAACGAGGCAAACGTAGAGCTCGTAGTTTTTTATTTATTTCTGTTGCGGAAATTTCTTTATTTAGTAATATTTATTAAATGTATTTAAAAGAATTGCTTTTCAAAGAATTCTAAGAGTCACTTTATTATGTTTGTTCGTTAAATGAAAATTATAGGTTTTTTAAAAAATTATAGCTATTGTCAGCTGCTTTCTTTTAAAATTTTGCTTATTTTCATTTTATTTTTCGTTCTTTTATTTCACAATATCTTTTAAAATATACTTTTATTATTCCTTTCAATATTTTTATCGATTACTCTACGGCAGTTTCAGGCAGAAATAGTTTCTCGTGATAACTGTGTTCCATCACCATCCTCAATATTTCAATATCTCAGCATTAAGGACGACGAAACGTCGAATGAGATCGTTCAGCGTTTCGGTTTGCATTTATAATATCTTATAAATAGATAAATTAAAGTAATAGATAAATAGATAATAGATTTATTTGTCTTTCACAGCTGCCACGGATTTCTTTCAGCTCAGATAGGATTTTTTGTTTTAAAATTCGTATTTTATAGAGAATCGGTGTATATCGGCTCGTGCGAAGAAACTCGACGCATCCACTTCACTCAGTTTACGAACCGTGAACGTTCCTCGTTTAGATACGAGGCGACTATCGAGTAATTCTTTGTAAGATTTTTAAACAAATTCAGTTTTTTGATTTTGACTAGTTTTTATAAAAATTCTCATAATAGAATTATAAATAGATTTTTTAGCGAACTATTTTTAATTAGTGAAAAGTTCACCGCAGGAACTGACTTTCTAATTCTTGTGATGGATAGAGTGGAGGGCCAATGAAGACCGCAGGAACTGGTCGGGTACAATCAGAAAGGATTTTGAATGGATCAGTTTGGGAACTTCTTACCTTTCTGATTGAACCCGACCAGGTCTTCATTGGCCTTCCATCTATCCATCACAAGCCATCTGAGCTAGCCTAATTAGTAGTGGTGAAAACTGTTAGAACTTTGCACTGCTTAAAATGTCCTCAAAATTCGTTTTATTTCCACATAGTTTTTCCCTGATGCATTGTTTCCACCAAATCTCTCTAATTATGATCTTATAATTTTAAAACATAACTTTTGTTTTTCTTGATTCTGAATTTTATAAATTTATTTAGCGTTGTTGACTAGTAAAAGGAACAAAAGTGTGATGGTATCAAGTTGAGAGAATTAATAAAGAGAATTAATAAAGTGATGTTACCAACAAATTGTAGCAAAAGTGCACTTATTTGAAGAGATTTAGGAAGCTTTTCTTAAAGCGTGGCAGGTTTTAAGGCATAGCAAATGGTTTCAATACGGACTACTGAACTACTTTTATGCATCTTCAAGAAGTGGAACATTCTTTACCACAATATGTTATGTTATCATAGAACAGTCTAAAGCGAGTAAAGAGAATTTAAAGCGAAGTGCTGTTTGATTTTTTTCAGGTAGGATTGAAAATATTTTAGGTTATGGAGGGTTGTAACCCGATATTAAAGCAGTTGTTCAAAAGGCTGCTATGATCATATGAGGAAGGAAGTTCATGTTGATTATTTATGGCATTTATGGCATTATCTAATTTTAATTTTTATTTTTAACTAAATTCATAAAATTTTTATCATTTAATCATTTTTATCATTTATTTATCACTTAATATAGAAATATTCTTGTACAGCAGCTAAAATGATTTATAATTTATGGTATGATTTATGGCATGAGCTATAATTTACAGTGATTTATTAAAATTTGATGAAGCATGGTGAACTTAGCTTGACTCTAAAGTGCATAAAGTGCATCAAAATTTTTATCATTTAATCATTTTTATCATTTATTTATCATTTAATATAGAAATATTCTTATACAGCAGCTAAAATGATTTATAATTTATGGCATGATCTATAATTTACAGTGATTTATTAAAATTTAATGAAGCATGGCGAATTTAGCTTGACTCTAAAGTGCATTAAATGCATTAAGGTAAACATATGAGATTCGGCTTAAAAGTCTGAAAATTTCATGGAGTCTGAAAGGATATTAATAGGTTATTATTAGGTTAAGGTAAAAAAGCTTTCAGAGGTCAGAGGAGTAGAGAACGCTATTTAATGCAGACTGGAAATATTTTATAATTCATGGAGCTAAATTTTTATGGACATACACAGATGGCAAATTGTTCAGTACCCATTACATTTCTTGATGCCTTTTTGAATCTTACAATTCTATATTAAAACCCCTCTACCCTTTGATATATGTTGCCGAAAATGCTACCAGTGCAAAAGCTGCTTTTTGACAAGGTTTTAGGGAGACAGCCACAATTGGATCTTTGTGAGCTGGAGATGTGGAATAATGTCACTAATGGAATGGGAATCTTTTGGAGATCTTAAGGATATATTTGAATAGCATGACATGTTTTAGAGCAAAACAGTTTTGAAGATATTTTGATGGAATTTTAAGGATCATTACTGGAACAAGGCCTTGACACCTCTATACCGTTAATATTGAAAAATATTGAAAAAAATTTAAGGAGATGTTACTGTCTGGTTTTAACAAAAAAATATGTAGGATTTGATATAGAGGATTCAAGAGGATTAAATGGAATTTTGCGAGATGTAGAAGATTAATTAATATTAAAATTATTGTTGCTAAATATTATCAAATAGGCTTATAAACAAATTTTCTAGATCGTCTGAACTAAATAATGTCAAAATCATCTGCCAAGAGAATTCGGACCACTGCGAATATCAAAAGAATGAAGAACAATCTTCATCCGACCAAGTTTGGTCAACATCACCATCTAATTCGTCCGTTATCAGCAAATTTATCAGCAATTCAAATGTTGAAAATGATCAATCAGTGATGCAGTCTGATGAAATTTCAGAAAAAGTTTCAAGTTTCAAGTTGCTTTACATTCATTAAGATTGGTTTGCTAATTTGATTTCTTATAAGAATTTCGTTAATCATTTCAGTAGAAATTTCTTGGTCAATTAAATTTAGTAAAAGCTTATAAAATAGCTTGTTAAAATAGTTTATCTCAAAATTTTAGATTGCCACATGTTTTCTGGACAGTTTTTCACATCGAAGCCAGCGCAATGTTATTAATGAGTCTACTGTTGATCATAGTATGCAGTCATTAAAGAATGAAATAACTAAATTGGCACGTGAAGTGATTCCCTCTGTTCTTTCAGAAACAAATATTATCCCATCTTCCTTCGTGGACCACGATTCATTTACTGGAGAATCTATTGAGGTAGTTTCCGAATGAATTTTATTAATTTTAATCATAAAATTTAGGTAATTAACAATTGATTTAATTGGTTTTCCTAAATTTTCTTGTATTTAAATATTTTTTTAATATATATTTCTTTCTTATTTAATATTACATTATTTCACTTTTTATGACTATTATTATGGCTAAAATTATTAAAATTTCGAATATTTAGAACAAAAAAGCACCGATAATACCGTCGAACCATTCAACACAGCGATCTGATGATGATAAAGCGACTTTTCGATATATTCCATCAAAAGTTGTCACAGCTGAAATCGGTATTGTTACCGATTCTTTGGACATCGTCGAAAAATTTGAAACAACTGTAGATATTGGCGTAAATACTACAATTTGTGGAGTCACAACACATTTAACTGATGGCAGTTCCAGCACTAATACTTTTTCAGACATTAGCACCGGCCAAGTTCCTAAATCTTTAGTTGATGCCATTTTACAAAAGTAAATTTTTTTTCGGTAATCTTTCTTTAATACTGGATAAAATTTCAATCATGGATCATTTTGATTCCTTTTTGTAGGCCTTCGGTTAATGTAATTACTATTCGTCCAGATGGCAGTGTTGTCATTAAAGATCAACAAAAACCGAAAACACCATTAATTTGTGAATGGGAACCCTATTCACATAATCTGGTTATTGATTCATCTTCTTTACCACTTAATGTTCCTCTTGGAGAAAAATCTAATATAGCCGACGACGAAGAAGAGATCGGTGAGCTATTTTTTAGGTTCATTTAGCTTCGTCATTCCGACATAAAGATAAGCAAGAAATTTGAAAAGATAAGTATTTAGTTAAGAATTATTCTTTTTTGTTTAATTAAGAATCCTATGTTTATCTTCATTTTTCTTTTTATTGAATAAAGTGAAAGTTATTTAATCAGCTTCCAAATTACACTGAAAAGTTTTCATATAAAAATGATATTTAGAATGGGTATCTGCTGCAGTTTCTTCACATCATACAGCTTCTGAAGAAGATACTTTAGCTCAAGTATCACCTCTTCCTCGCCAACTTTAATTTTCCTTTATTCTTTATTTTTTTTCTTTTCATTAAGCTGCGTTATCAAGCAATTTCATCAGAAAATTTTTTAGCTTTTTTTTGTTTTCCTTATTTGTTGTGGTCACTTTTTAAAATATTTGCTCGTTTTCTGTTTTTTTTTTAAAAAGAAAGCAAGTATAATTGTTTGTATTTATATGTACTTCATTTCTTGTTTCCTTGCCTCCATTCACTGCCAGAGTGAGCGCCTTTTGATTAAATCGTTTAATAAGTATATATATATATATATATTTATTTGTTGTAAAAAAGAGGTGGTTAGAGTTTGACATTGTTCCTGGCTCGACTTGCTTCGCTGGTTATTAGTGTGGTTAAAAATTTTTTGGCAATAGAAGTCTAAGTGGGTCATTGTCGGATTTTTAATGACAAAAAAATTTAATGTTACTTATTAGAAAACAAGTAGAAAACAGATAATCTTTTATATTTAGTAGAAGAATAAATGTGTAGGCACTGGAATTTCACTTTAAATGATAAGATTCGCTTCCATGGAGATTTCAGGAATAGGACCCATGTTCGCTTCCTTAAGCAATGCGACTCGAATATACCATTAGTTCATCCTCCCCTCATCCTTTTTTCATCATTTGACTAATATTTTTAACTAATATTTTTGTAGAATTGAAAAAGAATTATTGTAAAATGTGTAATACAATAATAAATTTTTAATCTTTGCTAATCTGATTTTTGGAATTTAACTTGGTAAATTCCTTATGAATGAATCTATTTTTAAAGTTGTTTGTTTCATCAAAATAAAGTTTGGCTTAAAGAGAAAAAAACAAAATTTTTTTGCAGAGAAATGGTTTAATAATTTTTTTCAACGAAACTGCAATCAGTCAGTGGTTGTGGCGAAAATATTTAAGTATGGAAGTACGAAACTGTAGTTCACATTTTAATTGATTTGTTTGATTGAAAGGAATACTTACGAATGAGTTGGAAAGTTAATTTGTCGACTTTTTAAGTGAGTTATTTTTTAAATTTCATTTTGTAAAGATGACTTATGTGATAATTTAATAACGAAAAATTCTGCGAATTTTAAAATAGCGCAGAAAGTTTTATTGCAATGAATCGTTCATCACTGGACTAATTTATAAATTTTTTTTCGTTTCACGATGAAGATATGATTAAATATTTTCGAAGGTTGAAGAGTTTAATTCGTGGTGAAACGGGTGTTTGTTAGTATTGAATAGCATTGGAAATTTGGAACGATGGTGCTTTAAAGGTGCTTTTGCCTTTATAAAACTATAATTTATGCGATCACAGGATGAGGTTTCTGTATGTAACGAATCAAATTTAATCAAGCAGTAAATGAAAGTTATATAACATTGTTTCTTGTTTCGGTAATGAGTAGTTGCGGAATATGCAGGTAAAACTTTGCCTTCCTATTATTTTTTTTTTAAATTTTTTAGCTTAGCTTTATCTTTTCATGTATTTTACCTGGTATTTTGTTAATTTATATCTTTGTAGTCCATATATGAATCGAAGAGCTGCCAAAGGTGAATCCTATGAACCAACTCGAATCGAACATATTGCAAATGTTATCACACATGGTGTATGTTATTTTTGCTTTAGTTTTTTCATTTACTCGTGAAATTTGTGTGTAATTTTCTTTTTTTATGCTATCTTTTATCTTTAGAGCAATGAAGATTTTATAAAAAAATTTAGGTTGCGATTGTGCCAAGCATATATGGCATGAATTATATGATTGCTACATCTCATCGAAATCTTCAATTTACTGTTTCTGTTGTATATGGTTTTTTCACCACGGTTATTTTTGTTTTAATTTATTGAATACTTATGTTTTCTTGATTTTTTTATTGTTTAATTGAATTTTAGCTGTTGTTCATTACTTCGACAGCCTACCACGTGTGTGAATTGCTTTTTCGGCCAAATCGCAAGTAAATTTTTCCATTCATTTTTCTTTTATTCCAAAAATTGCGATGAGAAACAAAATTCCTTGTAATAAATCTTTTCTTATTCCATATTTTAATTGCTTATTTTTTTCCGTGAAAACGCTTCATTTGCCAGATTTCAAAAGAATCAAGTAAAACCACATTTGTCAGTCAGTTTTTTCGTTTTTTTCTAGAAAACTCCGATATTATTTGCATATTGTCGATCGTGCGGCGATATATTTCTTTATTGCTGCATCGTATACTCCATGGTTGGCTTTGCGACACAGTGGTTTTCCAGGAATCACTATGAAATGGTCAATCTGGCTTTTCGCAACATTGGGAATCGCATATCAATATGCATTTCATGAAAGGTTTTGTTTTTGTTTAATATACGTAGTTTTCTTATAATTTTGACTACTGTTTTGACTGCTTGTTTTTTTGTTTTTTCGAATTATTTTATCGAATGCATACGGACTGTATATACACTTTTCGTTTATACATATTATGATGTTAATGAACCTAATTTCAGATTCAAAACATTCGAAACTCTTTTGTATATCTTCATTTCCTCTGCTCCTTCTATCATCGTTTTCAATATGGTAAAATTTTGCCATATTTTTTAATATTATTTTCGTTTTATTTATTACCATTTCTTGCATTACAACAATAGGTTTTTGTCGAAAAGGAAATTAAAATTAATTTGTTAAAAATTATTTTTCTTTTTTGCCGATTGACCTTTGAAAGGATGCTTTAAAATAGAGGTTTAGAACGATCGAAGTGGTTTGATATTTGTTGGTATTGGTGGGATATTTTATTTTATTGGTGTCATTTTTTTTAAACTTGATGGTATTATTCCTTTTGCGCATGCGATATGGCATTTGCATGTAGTAGCTGGTATAATTTTACTATTATTTTTTATGTAATTGGAAGCTTTTTAAGTTATATTTTTGAATATTCCACATCTTTTGTTGGATATTGAGAAATTAGGCTATATTAGAGGAAAAATAGATAGATGAAGAGAAAAGAAATATTTTGCTATTAATTTCATTCTAATACTGGCGGTATTCTAATATTTATAGGCGCCGCATTTCACTACTACGCTGTTTCAACATATTTATTGGGACCAGATCGCTTGAATCCTGTTCCAGAAATAGACGACTTATGATTTAATGAAATTTCTCTATCAGAAAGAAATACCACTTGTTGGGCAATCTCTGTCGTGTTATCTCTATGTGGTGATACACAGATCAAATGCATTTTTCAAATATTCTGTTAAACTCTTATGATGAATCTCGAATTCAGCGTGAATTTTTTGAATTTTTCTTCACTGATTTAATTTTAAACTTTATTTATTAATTCAATGCTTCAAAAATATAATAATTCGGTTTTGTTTTCTTTCGTAGTAAGTACTGGAAAATTTTCCAAAGTAGGATTAAGATTTTTAAAATTTTTTATAAAATTTTTGGATTCAATGATCATAAAAATGGAAATTTGGAAAATTTAAATTGGTTTCCAAGAAATCAGTGCAGTTCAGGAAAATAAAAGTTCCACTCAGTTGTTTTTTATTTCTTTTAATAGGAATTAATTTTTGTTACGAGTACAGCTTATTTTGGTTTCTTTTTTTTGAGGAAAATTGTTTTGAAATGTTTTGTAAAGAATCTCTCGGTTTCTTGCCGACTTTTAACTAACTTTCAATATTTGTGGTTAGTTTATTATTGTTCTTGCCTAGGTGATTTTATTGGTATTTTCTAGAATTTTGCTTTTTATTATCAATATCAAATATATTACTATATTTTTTTAATGTTAACTTATGCGTTGCAGGTCGAACCATTGCAAAGTAATGTAAAGTTTTTAAATTCGAATATTTCTTCGTTAGCTTAGCACTAAGCAAGATTTATTTCATCGATGATTAGAATATTTCTATGCCTTGTGGTACCATTGCTTTTATTTCTTTATTAGTGGTTTTCGTAGTTGTTGTAAATTAATTGTTTAGAACTATGTGTTTAAACATGTAAAGTCTCGCCATGACTGTCGAGTGGTTTTGCATATCACACACGTTCAGTAAAAATAAGACAGTATAATTCGCAGAAAAATAGCTGTTTCTAAAATATTCGAGAGGCGAATAAGGCTGACATACGTAGTTTTAGAGAATCAGTTTTTTTTAATTGCTGGCTCAATCAGCATAAATTATTCCACGGTTATCTTAAATTGTGTTAATAGCTGGATGCTATATTTTTTTGATATTCTGCTAAGGTGATGCTTTTTTTAATATTGCGATTAAAAGTAAGTCATTAACAATTAAGAAGTGAGCCAGAAATCGTCCGGAATTTTCCGAAGTCTAGTTAAACACTTGGTCGCTTGTCTACTTTATATTCACTATAGGTCGAAGGAAACGGGCGGGTTCCAGTTTTTAAAAGGATTATTAAGGAAGCCTAAGCTGAAATTTATTAGTCATTATCAATATCGACTCTAATAACTCTTATAAATCTATCTATTCGAATCATATAAATTAAAATATCGCAAAAGAATACGGCAGCGTTATACAGCGTCTTTTCTGGAGAAAATGCTTTGTTAAAGACAATTCAACGGGGAATGAAATTTATTTAAGTAGGTCAAGGATATATAATATTGGTGGAATCCGAATGTTGGCTATCGACTGCTGACATCTTTTCTGCAATTTTTCTTCGCAAGAGAAAGAGATGACAGAAGAATAGGCAAATGATGCATCTTATTGTACTAAGGCTCCCAATCTATAATATAGTAAAAAGTGCAAAGAGCCGAGGGAGGAAAAATTATATAGTTAGGTGGCTGAGTACGGTATAAACAGTAAGACTAGTTCACCGTATATTCAATTTTTTATAGAGTCACAGATAGGTCTGCAGCAGCTACGACTTGGATTTAACTTTTCATGACACATTTATTCAAAAGTAAAACTAAAAAAATTAGAGTAGACTGCTTAAAAGCCAGAAATTGCAACTTCCCTTTAGCCGGATCCAATTAAAACTGGCTGATTTTTTTCATCACAATATTATTATGCAGTAAATGCAATACAATCTTGGTGAATGCATCGGTGACTTATTGACGAAATGACTGCCATCGAGAATCGAGAATAGATAGGGTACAAATCGCCCTATTTTTCGTCGAGCGAGAATGTCGCTAGTGGTGGCAATGAAAGCAAAAGGAAAGTAGAATGGGATCCGCGAACTGGCCCACTTTGGAGGTACCTTAGATTTTCCGGTTCTCCCATTCTCCCATTCAATGTAAAAGGGTGATATGAATTCTATTTCCTCCTGAAGCACTCGACATCAACAATGTTCGTGTTTGGTGCCTCGGTAACTGCTTAAGATTCACTTAAAATCAAATTAAAGCACCAACACCAGTTCGAGGTTCAATAACATTCGACTGATCGATTAATAAAAGATTTATTTGCAGATAGCAAGGAATGTCCTTGCGAAGGTCATTCATTTGCATCATATAAGGTCCATTAGTTGGCAATATTTTTATTGAAGATGGCTATCATTATTAATTAATTTTGTGGCGAATTTTTCGATGATCGTTGTTAAGTGATAAGAGAAATAGCGTTAAACTGAAATAAGAACGGTTTTGAATAGAGAATATGAGTTATAAGGTTCGCGCCAGTTGGTGAAAGGAATGACCGTTGGGCAAAATCCCATAGGCAAGTTTCCTTTGTTCCGGAATTTTGTATGAAAAAAAGAACTTCTCATTATTCCATTGCCTTTTTCCATCGTAGATTTTCGCCATGTCTTTTTCAACAATTCTCAAATTTTCGCTTTTTCCATTTTCTTATTTTTCTTTTTTTTTTTTAAATTGTTAAATTAGAGAATTCTCCACTGCAAATGCTCTCCTCCTTCTACTTTTTCTTTTCTTCTTTTAACCAGCATTTTCCACTTTTATTTGGCTGTCTTGATTGGCTACTAAGCTGAGATTTCAATTCGCCCGAAATCATTAGCAAATGTTCGTATTTCTCCTTAGATGAAAAGTTGGCTCCTAATTAAAGACAAAAACTCACCCTTGGCAGAAATAATGCTTGCGATTGTGTCTCACCATGATCCAAGCGTAAATTTTACCGTGAAGAATCATTATTTCACAGTTTATCAGAGTTTATCTTCGCCATTTTGAAAAAAAATAGCATAAATTGGGTATTTTTGGTATTTTGAGGCGTGAAATAAATAATTATAAACGAAATAAGTACCACAAATACTTTATAGAATTACTGATAAGGCAAGAAAAGAAACGAGCTATACTCACCAATAAATTTATCATTAATAATGGATTGTACTAAAGGTTTGATTATTTTTGATTTTTTTTCATTATTTATTATCATTCGATTGATCATTATCATTCTAAATTTATTTCTATTGTTCTTATTCAGAACTCTTTTAAATATTTAAATTTTTACTAAATTTTAAATGTCTGATTTTTCTTCTTCTTCCAACAGCTCACACCATTACGGTGGCTTCGCTGGCCACAAAGCCATTTCTAAGCCACTCGATCGGATACCATACCTCAGATAAACGAAAATCATTCTTTTTCCACTATCTAAGCCCATATAAATCATTGGATCCCTACGTTTAAATATTAGCTTTACAACTTGGTTGCTTTGTTTTTACTTCTAACAGCTCTCACCATTACTGGTTAGGCTGGCTCCAACAGCCCCATTCCTTTTTCCATCTCTAAGTCCATATATTGCTGGTCCACCCAAATGTTCGAAATCTTTGCTTACTGTATCAGTCCAGGTCTTGATTTACACACTTCGCTTTTGACACCAACCATCATAGGGTTCGGCAAGTAGTGAAATATGCATCAACTCCTGTGATGGATGGCAGAGAACGTGCCCCGATAACGAAAGTGACGTTCTGTGATAACATTATTAATGCAAGTGGTATTTGAACGAAGGTGGATGCGATCATGTGATATTTTATTCGCTCGATGGGCCTATAAAACCTTAGACAAAAGGGATCAAAGACATATAACTTCTTAATATACTTCTACTTCTCCTCCACTCTCTTTGGCCATATCTCAGAGCCATATAACAAGATCGAACGAATCACGGCTATAGATGCGGACATTCGTTTTTATGGTGATTTTACGATGACTCCATAAAGGTTTTGTCAACCGGAAGAACCCAATTCTAGCTGCCGTGATCCAGGTTATAATATCATCTTTTGCCCGGCCATTTGGTATTAGAGTGGACCTAGGATATTTAAAATCGTGCACTTCCTCAAACGGCAATGAATTTATAAAAAGAGGTATTTTATCAGCTTCTTGCACATAAGACGAAAAGGCTTTCGTTTTATTTCGTTTTATTGATTCTGAATACAATTTTTGCTGTACAATTTGCTGACACGTTGTTTAGCATTGTTTGCATTTCGTCATAATTTTTTATCAGCAAAAGGACTACATCATTCAAATAATGTTCAGGATCTGTGATGCGATGCTCTGGATTAATTTAGACGCCTCTTGAGTGCCGGAAAGCGGTGTCCATTATCCAGTCTATCGCACAGTTGAATATTGTAGTAGGGAAGGATATAGCCTTCGTTTTTACTGTATCATTTTTATCATGGACCGGTATGAATTTTATTTGGTTAAGAAATATTAAAGTATTAAACATTACTCATAAATTACAAATTTGGAATTCGCAAAAGCGTGAACGTAATGAGTGACAATTGATATAACGATACATGCCAAAGAAGGATTTGAAAACCTTGCTAGCCTTTGCAAAATTGAATTACGTGAATATATATATATATAAATCTAATAGCTGAATTGCCATAGAATTTGATTTCGATGAATATATCTTTATGGTCAAAAAGGAATTTTAAATAAATTGATGTCATATGAATTAGCATTAAAGTGAAGTGTGAAGTTTCAATGGGAATGTCAGGAAATGGAAAAATGCTAATATGATCAAAAAAGTTATGAAGGTCATGAAATGAAAGGTCATGGAGGATGAATGGATGAAGACCAACACTGACTGATCACTTTGGCTGGCTATATCATATTTGACCACCATGCAATATTAATTTGCATAACTTTTGACGGTAAATTTTTGGATTGTCCTTGCGCGTTAAATAATAGAATTGATCTAAGATTCTGGAAAATTTAGAAAATTACATAAAAAATTGAATTTGGAAAAACAAAGAAAAATTTTGAATTTTCTTCTTTCCTTTTTTTCGCATCAAAAAAACTTGAATGGATTTCGAGGACAAAAGGCACCTTAAATGTGAGCAAATGTCTTTAAAATCATACTTTACCATTTCTTTTTTCTTTTTTATTTTACGATGATATCAATTTCCATTATTTTCATTTTTTTCATATCAATTTACGATTTTTTAATATAAAAACAATTTAATATTACGGTAATTCATGCCAACATTTCCCTTGATTCTTCATTCAATCGTAAATAAAATTTTTTTTTCATAAAAAGTTGTCTAAGATTGGATGAAAAATTGATGATTAATTGTTGATTAAATTGATAAAATTGATGATCAGCTCATTATAAGTAATTAATCTTATAGTAAAACTTTATTCTTTTTCCTATTTAGCTGATAATTAAATAAGTAAGCAGGTAATAAATAATTAATAAATAAGTAAATATCACCATTTTTAGTTAGCAACGATCCATGAAATAGTTTTGCTAGAGATTCATTTGAGAACGAAACGAAAATAGGGTGCACGTTTTACAATTGCCATGAGCAAAAAATAGAAAATAGAATCGCTGCGCTTGAAATCTAGGCAGTTCACATTCGTCTATGCTAATTCCCTTATCTAGTAAGAATATTAATAAAAATTGTAAAACTTCCTAAAAGAAACACAAATTTTTATACTTTTGCAACCTTGGAACCTAGTGTGGCATTTATTCTAATCCACCCTTTCCCGACTATGCCATTTTTTTAGGTGGTTGTAAGCAATTGAAATTCTGCATAGAACCTACCAAGTCTGTGCACTATAAGGACCCATTGATGAGTTTATATGAGTTTATAACTTCCTCTTAAAGAGAACACAGGTTACCGTATACTTTAACGGAATTACCGGAGTTGTGGGCTTATATTGTGGGCTTATATATAAATTTATCAAGTAACTCTTGTCTTCAAGAAGACAGAGATGACCGAATCTTTTCAAACATCACACTGGTTGCTCCAAAGCTTTATTCAGAATATCTGCTCGAGGCTCGGAATGAAGAAATGGATTTCCTCATTTGTGGTATTTGGATGTAATGTGGGTGATTATCGCTTTTTTCTCAATTTCTATTAGAGTTATGATGCTCCATGCGGCAACCTCGTTATGTGTATGTATGTGAGCCAACTAATTTCAGGTTTCGTAGCCAAGAGCAATGCCTTTCTGATTATCTTTCCCTTATTATTATTAGAACCGGCTTATATATCTGTCGCATAAATCACCGAGCTAAGGACAGGTTTACTTCTCAAAAGAGAAAACAATAGAAGAATAAAAGAAGCATGTTTAAAAAGCACAGAGATCACGAAATTTAGCAGCACAGTGATACAGTCATTAAGTGATGATAAAATCGCTCATGATCAAGGCATATCTTTCAAGCCAAAGTTTATATTTTTCCACTCCATTATCACTTGATTAATTAAACTTCAAACAATTCACCATTTTTGATATCTAAAAATTTAACAGTGAAGCGTCGATTTTTTTCAGATATCAACACTGATACTAATAGCTGTTCATTACAGCAATTTAATTCTTCATCAATATTTATTCGAGCGCAAAAGAAACTTTTATCAAAAGTAGTTTCTCGAAATCTTATCAAATTCAACAATGATACGACAACTAGAATATTTGATAGTTTTTATCGAATACTTAAAATTTTCTACAATAAAAAAATCGCTGAATTGGTTGGTTTATTTTATTTTATTTTTTTCAGTATATATTCTTTTGAATTCTTATTAAATAAATATATTATTTCTTCGTTGATTATTTTATGTTTTCATTCATAAATAATAGAATACCACTAAATTCAATCATACAATGGTTTCAGTGAATGAATATTTGAACGACTATTTTACCGTATATTTCTTTTGTTCATAAACCATAAATTTGGGGAATTTCAAGGATTGCAAGGATTGGATCTGATAAATTTTAAAGGGAACTGAACTAAAGATTCTTCGAGAGAATCACTCGTCCATTTGCGATAATTTTATTTAATTTTAATAAAATTTAGGTGGTAAAAAATTGTATAAAATTAATGGTAAAGGTCGGTTTGCTCGTACGAAGTGGTTATTTTCAAAATAATAAGCAAAAGGAGAATTTAATCGTTCTTCAGCGACAAATTCGAATGCTTTCTTTAACAATTATTTCTTTTACAACTGTCGCTTATTCATACGATCGAAATTATTTAATGGTTTTACTTGCAAAAGTTCGTAAAAAATTACAAATTATTGTTTCCGAGAATTTAAGTGAAAAATCAATGCAACGTTTACAAATTATTTTTGAATATATTGAAAAGGTTTGTATAATTTTTATTTTTGGCGTTTTGACGTTTCCTTTAAACCTCCAATTTCCACCTCTTTTTCAACAATTTCCTAGTGAAATTAGGAAAAAAATTTCAAAATTATTTCTGCCATATTCATTTATAAAGATTTCTCTTAAATTCACATTAACAAAATTATATCTTTTGAGACTATAGAAATTCCATAAAGAATAAAATCTTTTTGTAGAAATTTAAGAGAAAAAATTTCAGGGCGATTTCTTGGATGCTTTATTTAATAATAATGATACTGTATACAAAACTATTTTATTACAAATTATCGTTGATCTTGGAATTTTAATTGAAAATAATGATATTTGATATTTTATGCACTAACAGTTATTCTAATAGAAGTGGAATGAAGCTAGCCAAATCAGAAATGGTGAATCACAAAGATTTTTAGTAGAACAAAATAAAAACTAAAAAAAACTTTAAAAAACTTTATAATAAAGGTATCAAAATAATAAATATGTTACGATATGTTCTGTCAAATGATATGAACATTGAATATTATCATTAAACCATTTGTTATCGATAATTTCCAAATTGCTGATAATTTTTTACCATTCATTTTCATACATAACAAATAAATTATAAATTTTAAATAAATATTAGTAAATAATAACAAAGTGAAATATTTGAACGAAAGATCGAAGCTGTCTGGCTGCAATGTGCAATCCTAATATATGACTGCGATACACAGTGAAGGAGAGGAAGCCAAATAAGACAGCAAGCATAAAACCTATTATCCTTGTTCTGGATTTAAAAAAATAAATAAAACACGGCAATTATACAGACAACTATCCAGTTATAAATGAATTATTGGAAGTCAAACAGTAAAAAGAGAATAATAAGGAGTTCTGAATGCTTCAGCTAAGTAGACAACGATGAAAAACACCGAGGCACCATATACGAACACTGTTGTTGGTGTCGAGTGCTTCAGGAGGAAATAGAATTCATATCACCCTTTTACATTGAATGGGAGAATGGGAGAACCGGAAAATCTAAGGTATCACCAACTTTGCTAATCTTAAATTGGACTGTCCCGCATTGTTAATTCTAATTCCAATCTATCGCTTAGTATTCATAATGAAATTAATTGAAGTACCAACGATGCAATCTGAAATATATATATGTATGATTGTTTTTTATACATTTGCTATTCCTGGTTTGATTAACTATTAAAATGAAACCCTTACGGGTGGAAGTGGAAACGTATTGCAGTATTCATTCTTAATAACATGCGATACACCACTTTGCCAAACAGTCTTCAATAATATTAATAATAATTAATAATAATAAATAATAATAACAAGATAATAATAATAGTATAAATAGTACACAAATAGTAACAAATAATAATAAATGATAATAAATGATAATAATTAACAATAATGATAAAGGCTACAAAATGAATTTTAATAAAATAAATATAAAACGTAGAAACTCGTACCCAATGTGCGACTACACCAATGATCGCGGACCGAACGACCGACTCGACTTTTTCCATGTAACGTGTCCAGAAAATAGGTCGACTGCTAATGACATGACGAGCATCACCAGCAACCAATCAACCTCAAATTTTTCCGCTTCGTCCTTTTTTCCGAATTTTTCAAAATTTTTTGGCAGTTTCATCCTATTCCTTTGCAGAATTTATATATTTTCTGCTTGGAATTTTTAATCACAATTTATAAATCATTCTAAAGCAATTTGTATGGATACTTAAAATTCATCGCAAGCACAAAATGGCTCAGTGGGCTGTTGATGAATTAACAGCTTATCGACCACTGAGGTTCTACTCCCCACAGGAAGGGATCTGTCCAAAAATCCGGATGGTGCTGACGGCTCACCTGTACTTCTATCGCCAAGGGACTCCCTGGCATATTCTCTAGTGAGATAAGCTAGCGGAGCGAGTCCAACTAGCAACGGAGGCCTCTTAAAAAAAGTTATTAAAATTGTAATATGCATCGCTCGGTTTTGATTCGAAGATTCGTTTTTATTCAAATTTTATGCTGGAAATTCGATTCACATAAATAAACCTCTCATATCATAAATAAACTTTATTTTTTATTGATTTTATTATATCCCATAATTTTTGCAAACGATTATTTTTATTTAAAATAGATAAATTACTACTATAAAATTCATGTAATTAAATAGGCTTATCTAAATACATTAAAATTGTTAATGACAAACAAGAAACTCCACCACATTCAAAAAGTATTATAATGAAATGAATTTCTTTAAGTTTATACCACACAATTATATAAATTTGATAAACCCGGCAATATAGAGTGAAACACTTAATTTTCATAGCAAAACGGATATATCAGATCATCTCCACCAGAAATGAATGAAATGCGAAAATTCCTAACAATAAAAAACAAATGGCAGTACGGCGAAAATAAGGTCAAAAAACGGACAATAAAAAAATACGAAATTAACAAAATTATATTAAGGCTATAAGCATTCAAAAATTTTTTAAAAAATCTGTTGCACAACTAACTGACCAATGGAAAATTCTGAAAAACACCAAAACTTTTGTATTTATTTTATTTTTTCTAAATAATAAAATAATTTTCAACAAAACTCTAGAAAACTCTAATTAAAAACTAAGAATTTTTCACACTGTAAAATGAAGTAGTAGAATTGATTAAATTCAAAAATACTCAATAAACAGCATAAAGCAGACTGAGTATTGCATGATTTCATTTGAATTTTATAGTATGAAATTGCGCCATTCATTAAACTTTCAAAACTGAGATGTCCTGAGATATAATGGAACTAACTGCAGATTTCCGATTTTAAAAATATAACGTCCACCAAATTATTGAAAGTTAGCTTTTCCTTTCAATTTGATTTAAAGCCAACTGCACTAAATAGTCTCTGATACCATCATTGTTCGGGAATTCATTAATCTAAAAATTTGATTTATAAATATGCTTTAAAATTCTTCATTTCTTTCTTAATATAAAGAAAATTAATTTTAATTAATTTTAATTAAATTAATATAAATGCAAATTAATATAAAGATATTATAAAGATATAATATAATGATCAAATTATGAAAAGAGAAATAAATAATTCACAGCTTTAATGGCATCGTAAGCGTAATTTTGAGCCAATTTTCGAGTTTTCTGTAGACCATAGCTATTTCCAACAATTTCTCGTGCTTGATTGACATCATTTTGTTCACTGAACTGTCTCGATATAAACAGATTTAATTGAGGATATTCTTCAGCTGCAAACAGTATCGGAGCCGTAGCTATTCCTGAGAAAAAGTGATATGCAAATGAGGTGAAATTTCTAATCAAAATATTTCATTTAAAATATAGAACCAAACAATACCTACCTGATTTGAGATCGGCGGCAGTTTGTTTTCCGGCAGTATCTGGCGTTGATATGAAATCAAGAAGATCATCGACTAGTTGAAAAGCAAGACCCAGTGAACGACCATAATTAAAGGCAGCCAATGAAATCGACTCTTGAACATCTGAAAATTTCACAAAAGCGTTTTTCAAAAACATGAATGAATGAAAAATTCATAAAAGAATATAAAATGATAAGGACAGATTTCAAGAAAATAAGTTATAAAAACAAATTTTATTATAAATTTTTAATATGCATTTTTAGTAAAAAAATTAACCTGCTAAAATAGCTACAGACTTGCAACTATTTGCGAATAGCGAGGCAGTTTTCGAGTAATTCGCAGCCATGTATTTATCAAATCGCTTAGCTGCATCCAACTCATCATTTCCTATCATTTGCATGAATTCTCCTCTTACAAGATCTTCGATGATTGTTGACATCACAGAAATTACATTCGACCTGCCAATACTACATAAAACTTGTGTTGCGCGTGCCAGTATAAAATCACCAACCAGAACCGCCTACATCATGTAAATCATATTCATAAATTATATAAATTTTTTAAATATTTAGAATTGAATGGAGGAAGCGATGGCTAAGATGAATGCTGTTTCGGCAGAAGGCAAAATAGGTTCTTTTTTTACTTATTCCTTAATAAAAATCTGTCTCTAAAATAAAAAGTGAAATCCGAGTATCCACCTAAATATCTAGCAATAATTAATTCTTTAAAGACTATACTTTCATTCTAGCACCCCGTGGAACCAAACAAACTGGGGATTTTAAGCGATGATAAAAGAAATAGAATAATAAAGGCAGATATTCCAAGAGCTATCTAAACTTTTCTAATAACTAATTAAAATTCTATTGAAAATATAAAAATTTAACAATAAAATGCGACATTTTTATTCGTTATAAATTCAGTTATTTGTTAATTAGATTGAATTAAAAAAATTGAAAAATAAACCATTTTATTTCCCCACAATGCATTCACAGTAGGTTTACCCCGGCGCATATCAGCTTTATCAATAACATCGTCATGAACTAATGAAGCCGTATGAATCATTTCAGATATTAAAGCTATCCTGTATTGATTCAATGTTACTGTTTCACGACCTAACTCAACAGTAGGCCTGAAAATGAACGAAATCAGTTATATTGATATTAATATTAGTTAAATGTTAATCAGTTATATTAATATTATCAGTTATATTAATATTAATATTAGTTAAAGTGTAATGAAATCAATGAAAAGATTTAAAATGATAAAATTATGCAACAAATTTATTCTGAAAGGAAATATAGCAAAACTTCCATAATATATCGGGATACGGGATCGAGGTAAGAGAAATTTTAAAATATTGAAAACATAACATAGACTTGTTTGATTTTTTCTATTTCTCGTTATTTCTGATAAGTTCGTACGGCTAGCTTATTGGACCTAATAGATTTCATCAGGGAATGATTAGCTGATATAAAATAACGTCATCCACATTTTATAGACAAGGTACACTCTAGTGGAAGTGGAATTGCACCACCTCAGTTTAATGGATCTATCCATAACCTAAAGAAATAAAAGAAAATTTGGGAAATAAAAGAAGGTTTTATAAGAAGAGTGTTTTTATTAGTAAAAATCTGGATAGATAATATAATTAATTTTCTAAAGAAAGAAAGTTTTTAATTTTTTTTGTATCGTTTTCCCAGTCTTTTGCAAGGCAGTGGAACAAGTTTAAAACATGGGAATCAATGGATAACCTTAGTTATACCGCATATTTTGAAGAATTTTCAAAACTTTTCTTGAAATTGAGCAAAAAATAAAATAAAAAGCCCTCATTTTCTGATCATATAAAAATTAAATCTATTTAAAGAGAATGCAAATTGACGTCTTAGGCTTTAGCTGATTGCAAGCCCGGGCCATCAACAAGGAAACAGTTGGCCGAAACAATTTCCCACCAATATTAAAGTAATATTTTGCCATTTCTTCCATATTGCGAGAAAACGATGTGGATGATTCAGATGTTGGAATGACCAATGAAATCATCGCTGACTCGCCAATTAATGCCTCCATTATATCCAGCTGAAACTTTCGAAACTGATTTTGGATGAAGGTACCAATAAGTTGAAATGTGGTAAAAGAAATACCTCGCTGTAAGAAAATATTCAATTCTTAAAAATCTAATTAGCTGTCAGAATAAATCTGCACCTGTAAACAATCCAATTTTTGCTTAACGAAGTTAGGAAGATCCAATTTCACTTGGTGAAGTATTTGCTTATCGTTGCCCTCTTGTGGAAAAAGCAGGCAATAGCTACGACTCTTCATAAAAACTCGTCTTAAGTCAACATGTAAACTATTCCTAACAGTTTGCAAATGGCAGCCTGTAGCTGTTGATGATCGAAGAAATAATCGAGAAACCATTGAAATCTAAACTTTATTAAATAGAATTTATAAAAATTAATAGAATTGAACAGTGATTTTATATTATACCAGATAGGCTTTACTTATTGCTTTCTAATTTGATGAGCTGTTTATGAATCCAAAAATAAAAATGCCGAAAAGATTATATAGTTAAATAATACATATATGTGAGTAACAAAAAGTAATAAGATAGGTAATAACGGCGAGAGCGAGAAATGTACGCTTGAACGTCACTATATCTCTCGAAGTAGGAATTTTTAAGTCCCAAATAAAATAGCTTAATTGACGAAAATAACTGCTCGTCAAATATTGTATTCAAAGATATTTTTCCTCCACAAACGATAAAGAAAAATATGTTAAAACAATTGGTTCTATTCGTTTTCGAAGTTATTCAAGAGAAAATTAAAATATTTTATCAAAAACAAACCGACATCAACAAATAAAACCTGATGAATATCGTTGGACAATAGAATCGACTATAAACGAGAGATAAAGTGGTACAAAACTGCTTTATTATTTTGATATGGCCATCATCGATTACCCGCAAATTAAGAAAGTATTCATTAACGGAACAAATATTGGTCTAAAAAATGGTAAAGAACAGAAGGTATATAGGTATATTAAAGAGTAAAGTAATAGTCATTTATAATCGAATCAACTTTTACAATCTTCGCCAGCCTTTAAAGTTTCTTTAAAGCTAGTTATATCCCTTTGAATAAGTCCTTTACTGTTAGTAGGATGGCGGAGACAAATACAGAGAAATAGAAGACAAATATAATCACCTGGCGATATGATTATATCAACCCAGAATTTTACAAAAGCCTTGCCTCTGTATTTATTTAACCCCTGTCGTTTGAGACGAAAACTTTGGCAACAATCATATTGCCATGCTTACTTAGATCTCAAGATAAAGGTTGATCAGGCTAACTTCAGCTCCTTATTTTGTGCCCTTTTAAATATATTTGTGGTCAATTTTTCGAAACCGCCATGGTACAGCACCACCATCTCCTTATATTTAATTGCCACAACGCACTAAATCGCTTACTTGTACCAAATTCGATCATCAACTAATGAATTTCACCAATGAACTCAATAATTGGGACATTCCTTCACCATTAAGATAATGATATCTAAGAATCCCGATATTTTATTATTCAATTCTATAACTAATAGAAACAAACGAATAAATTAAAGATTCATAACCTTGCAAGGACAAATAGCAATAAAACAAAACAGAAATATGCTTAGGCTTCGTTAAATTAAAGAAATTTGCCGTTAATAACAAAAATTTTGTTCAATAAAACTCAGAAATAAAGATGCAATTACCATACCCAAATTCAAATAAAACTATAATATTTCGACAAAGTGAATTGAGAATTACCAGATATCTAAGATAATTGAAAAAATAAGAAAAATGAAAACTCGAGGATAAATCGAAACATATTCTCGACAAACTTTCAAAATTTAATATCAAAGCATCAGTCATAAACAAATAATCTGGGCAATCTTGAAATTTTAGAAAAAAATGGGCAAATACGATCGAACATTTTCCACTGTCACTACAGTTATAAATAATCAAACAAATAAAAATAAAACATTTTCTTATGGACAAAATCATTCTTCATGACCATATAAAATAATAAACAATATTAATACATTATGAATCTCGGGTTAAACAATCCCAATAAAAAAATAATTTATAATTCATCTTTATGTAAAAGCGAATATCGATTCTCTGAAGGCTTTAATTTATTAAAGACACTAGGAGGTGGTTGCGTATTATCAAATTTCTTAATTTGCACATGCTTCTGCTTATCAACCTGTTGAGCAGGATCAATCTAAAAGCAAAAAAATTATAGCAAAAAACCTTATTATTGCCAAATACCATATACTAATCGAATTAATGTAAATCGAAATTTGGCAGATCGAAATTTTTTTTTTGATATTTCATCAGCTTTTAGAGATAAAAGAACCTTTTCAGCAACAGACTGCTGAGTAGTATCAATATCAGGTCCATGATGAAATTCTCTATGCAATTTACCAGAATGAAGATCTAATACAAACTGACGAAGTGTCCCCGGGATGCTAAAATCAACTTCGTATGGAAAATATCAAAACCAATTGCATATTATATAATATATAATATATTAATATATAATAATTATTATTATATTAATATATAATATATTATAATATATTATTATAATATATTATAAAAATATAATATATTATAATATTTAATATATAATATAATATAATATATTATAATATTTTTTTCAAATTCCAGTTCAAAAGAATTGAAAAAAGAAAGGCATTAAACATAATAAAATTGCCATTTGTTCTTGTTGCTATTATGTCGATTTTAATCTATTTGTCGCTATTTTTCGCTATTTTGTCGTTACATTTGAGCGAATTAATTATTAAATATAAAATTTCTTTAATCTGACGAGTTCAGTGCTCCTTTATATCGCATATAAATTTTTTACACGCGGTGATCTTTAATTCATTTTAATTCATTTAGCATAATTATGATTTATATTTATATTTTTAATTTATTAAATTAATTATTAAATTAATTCAATTTCAAATTCAATTTTTAATTTTACCAACAGTAACTTTTTTAATAGATAGAAAATAAATGGCACTTCACCGCATCCGAATTTTTCTTAAAAAATCAAAAAACAGCTATATTTTTGATGAAAGAACATAACACTTACGAGACATCCTTATCGAATACATACATATGTCTAAAAGAATCAATGGCTATAACCGGTAAATCACTTTTCGACTTGCCCAAATGATGAAGCGGATGTGCGAATTTTTCCCCATCAGCCACAAGGCAATTGATAGAATCTGAAAATTGAAGGTAAACGTATATATTATATTATAAATAGATGTATTTTCTAAAATTTCATTCTACCATTTTCAATCTGATCAACTTCACTAGATCCCTTTTGTTAGATGAAAATACAGGAAAATCCCTTTACTCGAATGACCGTCAAGGGATAGTAATTGATAGAAACTATGGTGCTTAAATTCAATCGGAACTTGGCCATCCCCTGCATAATTTGATAAAATATCGGATTATTTAAAGAATTAAGAAATACATTATCAAAATTCACAACAATTTAGGTATAAAAAAGCTTTTCAGAAAAAGCTTTTTTTCTAAAATCTATAAGAAATAACACGTATAAAATTTCCAGAACAGAAAAATCACTTTTCTGGTCGTAAAGTTCACGAATTACAGCATCGTTGAAAATTTTTTCGTTATTCATGTCTCCAACAATACGAAAAAGAATTAAGAAGGGAAGTCCTTCTTCAGTTAATTCTTCAGCATTTTCAAAAGTTATTTCTCGAACAAGAGGTATACATTTATCACCCAACCAATCTCTGAAAATCTAACGCAAATCTGCCAAAAAATAATTTTTTATTTTTTTATGTAATATTAAATTTTTGTGCAACTAATTTTCAAAATTGTTTCAATCTATATATAATATTTCTCATGATACGGCAAACAAATAGGAAATTACGAAATAGGAAATTAAGAAATAAAAAAATAAACAAAAGAAAAAGAATCACTATAACAGCTTACTTAAGATATTGCAAATTTGTCAGTTTTTCCTTATATTCGACAATTTCGTCGATCTGCAAATTATTTGTAATGACCAATGATCAGTTGTTAATAAACAGCCAATAAAATTTCAATAAAAGTAAATGATACCTTAGGTGGATAAAAAAGAACTTTATTGCCATTGGCAAACTGATTCTCAAATCCTGTACCAGATCCAACCCAAAAAACACAGTCTTCTCTCAAAGCGGAAGAAACTTTTCTGAAATTATCGTACTCGGATCCAGTAAGCTGATTAAAATAAGCGACCACATTACGTTTAGATTTCTGAAATTTAAAAAAAAAATATCAGAGAACCAAATTAACACGAACAGAACTAGGACCAAAAGCCATCCTACATGCACTTCATTTAAGCTATTTCATGATATCGTTCTCCCGCTCAAATCCAGACGTTGAGAAGAACCTGTCTCTATCTCTCCCAAATAACTAACTGAAAGTTTGAAAAATGACTAAAGCCAGTGTTCATTAAATAAAATTGATGAATTTTTACGTCCATTTTCGCCTTTAAATCATCAGTAGAAGCGATTGTTATAATCGATTCATTGAGTTGTTTATAAATAAAATCAGACAGCGCTTCCACTGACCGCTGTGCTCTAAATAGGGGAAAAGATAAAAAAAAGAAAGTAAAAAATTTCAACTCGTTTTATGTGTGCTTTTTCAGTTGATTATGTGTGCTTAGTATTAAAAATGAAATTAAAAAATTTCAAAAAATAGATGTTTTTTATGCATAGGAACATAAAACGTGCTTAATTTTTTTAATCAACTGAATTTCGATTTTATCGATTTTTTCAGAAAATGGAAATGATCATGAAAATGGAAGATAAAAAAAATTAAATATTGACATAAAGACCAATTCAACTCAAAATAATATTTTCGAATCAGCACTTCATCAAAACAAAAAATAATATAAGAGAAAGGAATAAGGGCTATATGAATGAATGATCGTTAGAGTTCAAAATGCAAAATAAAAATACTTATACAAACATATATAAATATAAAAATTTCAGTACCTGTATTCTCGCTTTACAAGTTCACCATGCCTGAACAATTTCAACGTTGGATATTTATTTACGTTATACTTTTGTGCAATATCGACTGAAAATTAGTGAAATTGATATTGGCCAAATTATCGAATCTTTTATCAAATAAGATAAAATATCATTCAAAAAAATTTAAAAAAAAGAATGAAAATACCACACCTTCCCGGTCACTATCCACTGAAGCCCACAATACTTTGCCAGGAGGCATAGTCTAAAACAAATAGAATTAAAATAACGCAAAAAATCTATTTCAAAATAAAATCTATTTCAAACTTGCAAAATTCTTTTGAGCAATTAAGGGTTTAACCATATGAAATGAAATTAGAAAAAAATTCAATTTCCAGTTTCTTGCCTTTCGGACAAATGGACTAAAGAAATTTAAAATAATACCGTAAATTTTTCGCTGGCTTCCAAATAAATAGGTTTCAACTGTTGAGAAAATCTACACCAATCTGCATAAAAATTAACAAAGACTACTTCATTCGAAGCTGAAAATTTATATTGCATTAAATTCATATTTTCTAAATTTAAAAAATAAAATGCGAATTTTGTACAAAAAAACAACCAAAGAACTTTTAAGCCGGAAATGTTCAAATGATAGAAGCAACAATGGAAAGAAAAGAAATGCACTATCTTGAAAGCTCTATTTCACCAGAATTTTACAACGAAACATCGTAACAACCTAATATTGAATCGATATTCGAGCCAGTCAATGCGACCACTTCGGCCGAAGCCAAATCTATACGAATAACCTGCAAAGTTGCGATGAATATCAACGAAAATTAGGAAAATTCAAATAATTTATTTTCAAAAAATGGATAATAGAATTTAAAAAATTGCTAATATAAATGAATAAATTGTCAAAACAGAAAAACCAAAAAATGCAAACAATTTACCAAACTAAAAAAAGCGAAAAAATAATTAAGGCACATAATGAACGACGAAAAAGATTGCCATGAATACATTTCCATTAAAAATGTTTTTATACCTGCAAAATAATTTCCTTTTAAAAGCGAAAATGTTTCCTTAAACATTCAAAATTCCTCGATTTTAAAAGAAAATTACTTCTATGGTGGAAAACGACTGAAAAAGTTTCGAAAAAAGTTAAAATGGTAAAATTTTAGAAAAAAATGTGGTGTAAAAAAAAATATAATTTCGCTGAAAAAAATTTCAATTCCTTGCCGGAATTCTTCTCTCCTTATTCGGGGCGGAATTCGGCTGAAGCTGAGGATTGCTGCTTCCCACTTTCTACTCCTAAACAATTCCCCTGCGAAAGAGAGCGCTGAATGGATTCTGAATGGAATCAGAACGGGTGGAAATGCTTCCGCAGATATCGAAAGGAAGCAAGCGACTCGCAAAGGAGTTCTTTTGACATTTAAAAGTAAAACATACCTTTTAAATATTTAAACAATAATAAATAATAAAACTTTTTATATAAAAGAAAAAAAGGAATAAATACGCAAAGTGATCGAAAAAAACATAATTGAAACAATTATATAAATAAATACTTTTAAAATTTTTCCTAAATTTTAATTCAGAAAATGAAAATGAAAATTTTTATTGGACGCACGACAGTACGAAATTACAGAAACCACTTCTAGCCGGAATTCTGCCACTAATGAAGAATCGGTAAAGCAACAACTGAATAAACGATCGCATCTGCAGTACAGCCACAGGGTAAGTGGAAACGCAGCCGCGGCCAGCGATTTGTTTCAATTTGCTATGTTCCACTCAAGTTGGCGTGGTACTTTGTATTTGGTATTTGTACTTTATTCCAATCCGATGTACTGGAATTTCAATTGAGGTGGCGCTAGGAAAGGCGACGCCGCGCAACCAGGGAGACTCGAATTTCAAAGTCCCCTTCATTAAAAATCCCTGCAGTACTCAAACAGGTAAAGTGATAAAAATTGGTCAATAAAAACTATAAATTATAGAAATTAATAAAAATTGTGTTTTTTTTTAATATTCAGGTTCTATTTTCTCATAATAAATTTATATTATATTATCAAAATCTTTATTGTTATCATTATTATTAATATTATTATTGTTACCATTGTTAATAAAAGTACATAATTATATAAATTATATTTTAAAATATTGTGTTAAATACTTTGAAAAGCCTAGTTGCGGCTCAGAAATATTTCCGAATTCTGGCATGCCATTCCTACTGACAAGAAAGTTTAGCCATCACCGGCACAGTGGATTTCACGTTTAGCTTTCTCATTTTGTTGGAACATCGTATTAACTATGTGCGACTCTCCTATACACTTTAGTTTCAGATATCCTTTGATGTGATTTGGTGATTTCTTCACTAAACTCTATTTTACCAGTTCTATGGTACCAGCTGACCCTACAATTTATGAGTGCATTTTTTCTTCAACTCAGCAAATGAAGAATAAAATCGCAAAGTAAATCGAAGCAAAGCAATATTTCGATGCATTTATAAAGCAATGAAAATAAGATAATTTCATATTAAAAATGAATATTAATAAAGCACAAAAAAATTATTACGAGGCAATAAAGCGGCTGTCACACGATGTAAATAAATATTTTCACCGCAATATTCAGCGAAAAATTAATTTTTTCATGCATTTTTCGATTTCTTAGATTTCTTTTTCGAAAAATTAACGCTTAAAATGGAAATATTTAAATACAAACAGTATTAAAGCACCAATTCAATTTTCGTATAAAATTAAAATCCACAAAAAAAAAGCAAAATCTATTGACGAGGGAAAAATTTTTAAGGAAAGAAAGGTTTATAAAATTGCAAATTATTATAAAAATGATTAATAATGTTTAATAATACAATCTACAAAATACAAAATTAAAATATATTCCACATCATATTTTATTAATTTATATTATTTTTTGTCATATTAAATTATAAAACATACTATGTTATAAATTATATTTTATATATTGTAAAATATAACTATAAAATATAAAATTTTTTATAATGTAAAATATAATTATATATTTATATAATTATATATATTTATAATTATAAATATAAATATATAATTTTTTATACAATATATATAATGTTTCTATATATATAAAATATATATATATATATATATATATATATATTATTATAATATACCATAATATAATATAATGGCATCAAAACAAAATATATATATATACCCCACATCACATTCTTTAATTTATATTATATTATATTATGAAATACAACATTTTATATTATTTGTATTATACTATATTAGAATATAAAATAGAAATAGTAGGTTATAAAGAGATGAAAAATGAAAATGAAATGAAAAATTTTTATATTTCCATACTGTATTTCATATATTTTAGTCATGCAAAATAATAAAAAAATTCATCTTTTTCATCTTTTTCACAAGTTATTAAGCATTTAAAAGGTAGTAATCAATTAACCAATAAAAATTCATAAAATCAAGGGAACATTTGTATTTACAATAAAGGATTTATTCTTAAGAGATTTTGCAGGCCATTCATCAAACGCCCCATACATTACAATACATTTTTCATTATATAATAATACGTGAAGAGATCAACTATTTATGATAAAAATAACATGCAATGGAATCCTCTTAGTTGCCGGAAGTAACTCTATCATTAAAAATAACTTGCTACCTAGAGAACCATCCAACCGCAAATGATTTCCGCAACATATTAATTGGTGAAATCAGTGAAGTGGAAAATATTATGTACTAATACTAGAAATCAAATACTCAAATTATAAAACCCTTTAATTCTTTAGAATTTTTACCGAAATTTTTCCAAAAAAATTTACCGAAAGATTAAAAATCCGAAAAACCATCCTTTGCCAACTACAGAAAGCGAAAATCGAAAAGAAAATAAATAAATCCAAATTAATAAAAAAAAATTAAAGCGAAAATTTCTATATGAAATGAGATCAAAAAAATTTTTTTAAACAATTATAATTTTATAATTCATTCGATCAAATAATAAAGTTTATTTGGATTTTTTATGTGAAAATTTGAAAAAAATTCAAAACTTTGCGAAAAAAATTTCTGATTCAAAGGATGTGAAATGATGAAAAACAAAATTTATGTGAAAAGTACTACAATTTTTAGATGAAAAATTCAAAATCAATTCAATAAAACATAAAAGAGAAACCTTAACGAAAAAATTTCAACATTCACAGTTTAATAGAAAAAATGCTTCAAGGATAAAATTCATTTCTAAAGAAAATCATTTTAGACAAAACCATGCATTTCAAACGAAAAGAAAAAAATATGGAAAAAAATAGTACAAAAAAAAAGAAATTTCATGATAAAACACAAAATCGACAATAACCTTTACAATTTTCAATTAATTTATAATGATAATAATATAATGAAGAAAGAAATGGATGAAAATTAGTAAAGAACTGAGATAAAAATGAGAAATATGGCCCATTATGGGAAATACTTTAAGTTACCATGAAAGATTTTTCATAGCTTTTCATTCTCGAGAAGGATGTTCCTGTATGCTTTCAGGTCGAGCTTTTTTATTACCCAATATTTTAGGAGGACTTCCTGGACGCTTAAAACATCGCTGATTCTGACTAATTTGTTCAGCTGCATCGTAGTATTCTCCTTCATGTTGCACAGCTTTGTCTCTTTCTTCAACTGCAAACTTTTAATTTTAATATACCGCAAAACTGGATTGCCGTAATTAAAAATGTATAAACATTGATAAACTCGGATTAAACTGAGAAAGTTTTATTTGTCAAAATATACTTGGAAAACGCTGGTCTGGATCTGCGCTATCACGAATGATATCCTCAGCAGCGGCCATATCAATAGTATCGTCTTTGATTGCTAAAACCAAATAATATTGCATTTGTGGTATAACCGAAAATGAGTCAAAACTGAATTACTTGAAAAATAATAAATTTTCCGCAAAATCTAACGCTGCATTTGAACGCTTGGCACGTGAGGGATATTACGGAGATTTTCGAATATCACCATCCTAAAATCGAGATAAATTAGCTGAAAAATAATAAAATATTTAAAACAGAAAATAAATATTTAGAGCATATTTTACTTAAACTTATATATTCTCTTGAACTCACTGTATTTTTTCGATGTATTCAGCTGTATTTTGATTCATCATATTTGATGGTGTAATATGCAATTTGAAATCGGGTCCATAATATTCAAAATAATCATTATAAGGTAATTCTGCAAAGAAAAAACTCAGTAAAAATCCAATAGATATTTAATATTTACTAACCGAGAAACCATTTCTGTACTTGATTTTGCAACCTTTAATAAAACTTAATAAAGATAAAAAAAAATACCATTAGGAATTTCTGTATCAAGTGCGACCGATGTCTCAAATGCCCAACAACGTGCCACATTACGAATCGTATATCCGCCGCCACCAAGCATAAGCAGTGGCAAATTGAATTTTTTCAAATATTCCACACATTTTCCATGACCGAAAATAAATTAATAAATTATATTTCAAGCAATCGCATATTATATTTAAATAAAAAGTCGATGAAGGAATTAGTATTAAATCAAGAAAAATGCATAAAATTTAAAGACCTCGCAAGGTAAGATTGAAGCATCCAAGTCGATCACCAGTTAACGAGTCAGCACCACACTGCAATACAATAGCTGATGGTTGAAATGTATGCATAACCTGCAATACGACAATTCACTCTTTATTACAAAGTATATACAAATTTTATGGAAATTTCAACCAACTTTTTCCATGATTGGTTGAAATACTCTTTCATAAGTTTCGTCATCGATACCATCTCTCAGTGGACAATTCACAGCATAATACCTTCCACGTCCAGCACCTACATCCTTCAAAATAATAAATTTATTTAAATAAAATTTATTTAAAAAAGTCACACAAAGTCACACACAATAACAAAGTCACACACAAAAAAAAACGTGAAACAAAATAAGGTCATTGATAAAATCATATTATTTAACAAAATGATGTACATTTTCTTAAAAAAATTTTTAATATATTAATATTTTTAATATTAATATTGTTGAAATTATGGAATATATTACTCGCAAATCACCAGTTCCAGGAAAATATTCGCCATATTTATGAAAAGAACAAGTCATCACTCGATCAGTTGTGTAAAAAGCTTCTTCCACTCCATCACCATGATGTATATCAATGTCAACATAAAGAACACGCTGAAGTTATGGAAAAAAAAATAAAATTAAAATTAATTATGCAACAATGGTAATAAAACAAAAATTTTAAAAAAACCTGGTGATACTTCAAAAGTTCCAATATAGCAAGGACGATATCATTCGAATAGCAAAAGCCAGACGCCTCACTTTTTTTGGCATGATGGAGACCTCCCATCCAGTTGATTGCGATTTGGGCATCTTTTTTATTTAATTTATTTGCAGCAGCTAAAAATGAAAACATAGTATATAACGTAATATTTGGAAAAATATAGTAGAAAAAAACTAATTTGAAAGGTACCAATTGAACCGCCGCTTGAAATTTGACAAAATTCATAGAGACCATCAAATACTGGGCAATCTTCACCAACATTAACTGCAAGTTTTTTTGTTATTTTTATCATTGATTTTCAATTGATTTTTTATCATTTTATCATTTATCTTTTTATTAAGAGTTCTCATCACTGGTTAAACTCGCTCCGCCGGCTTGTCGCATTGGACAAATATGCCAGGGGGTCCCTTGGTGATAGAAGTAGAGGTAAGTCGCTAGCATCACCCGGATTTTTGGACATGTTTATTCCTGCGGGGAAAAGAACCTCAGCATCGGCGCTCCAAATTGAGCAGCAATCCACTGAGCCATTCTATCCCCCATATCTGTAAGTATTTGATATATGAAATAATTTAGAGACAGACTTTTTTTTCATTCTACATCTATTTATCATTTTATTCTAAATCCATACTATACCATACCATACGTTTCTTTATGCGACAGCTTTGTTAACTACTTTGAAAATGCTTCACCCAAACCAGAAATAATGCATTTTATCGACGAAATTGTCTTATAAATTGTCTTATATAAAATTTGAGCAAAAAAAATTTCCAAAAGGTCTAATTCAAATTAATTTATTGTGAAATAATTTCAACTTCTGCTTCAAAATACATTAAACGAACATCGTTGTAAATAGCGATTATTATCATTCATATTATCTGGACGAATATTTTTTAAAAATTTTATGTATTCATCATCGTGATATCTTGTCAATTCTTGAAATGTCGCACTTCTTGGCCGCTAAAACTTTAATTTTCATAGCCATTCACCAAATTTTCGATAATAAAAGTTTAAAATTGTAATCGGAAAACGTAAAACTAGAAAAATCTAACAAACAAAACTTACATAGACTTCAAGTTTTCTGTACAATCCATAATTGAGTAACAGATTATGAGTCATTCGAATTCTGTGCGGTTTCATCGGATGACCTTGGCCATAATAGTAATTACCAACATCACCTAACAAATTTATCATATTTGAATGACTCGAAGATAATAATTTAAAATAATTTATAAATATATAGTTTAAACACTTCAAATATAAATATAATAAAAACCAAAAAAAATTAATCAAATGACTTAAATAATTAAATAAATTAAATTAGACAATTTAAAGAAATTTAGAAATTTTAAAATAATTCCCATATTTTCTTTGATTTTTCGATAAATCTGAGATTCCAATTAAATTTAATAATTGAAAAAAATTAATTAAAATAATTAATTAATTTTAAGCAGAAAATGATTTGAATTTTAACAACAATTTTAAAGATATCAAATCGAACTAATTTTAATTTTTTTTTTGAAGAGTCCTCACCATTGCTGGTTAAACTCGCTCCACTGACTTGTGGCAATTAAGCAATATGCCAAGAAGTCTCTTGGCGATAGAAATATAGATGAGTCGCCAGCATCACCCGGATTTTTATACAGCTTTACTCCTGCGAGGAATCGAACCTCAGCATCGGCGCTCCCAACTGAGCAACAACCCACTGAGCAATTCTACCCCCTATTAAATTAAATATTTATTATTGTGAAATAATTTCAATCTCTGCTTAAATTTTAATCATTTCATCTTAAATTATTTCCATGCTATTTATTTATTAATAACAAATAAAATTATAATAATAAACACGAAATGACAGACCATCATAATAATAGGCAATTTTTGTTTTACTATGAGGCTGAACTGCCATTATTTATTAATGCTCCAATATAAAATCTGCAAGACAGAAATAGATTTTATAAATTCACCTTACAAAACCAAAGGAATATTTTAATTCACAAAAAAACATACCAGAATAAAATCAAATTACATAAAAATAGCGCTAAAATAACAATTTATCCGATTGAAATAATAAATTAATTAAGTGAGCGTCATAGTCAAAATAAATTAATAACTGCAATCAGTTAACATAATTTAAATGGTCAATTCATGGATTTTAGCTAAACAAGCTGAATAAGTTTTTCATTAATTGTTGCTAGTTCGATGAGAAGTTTTTCGCCAGAGCGACAAAAATGAAAGCAGATCGCCAGCATTATCAGGATGGCCACCCAACTTAGTACCAACCCACCTGGATCCCATTCTAAAAAATTGTACTCCAGATAAAGAAAAACATCCGGAAAATCCTGCAATTTTCAAATTTCTAAAGCTGAGAAATAAAAATTTGCAAACATTTTCATAAAAACGATGCCGCCCCAACATTTTTCACGGCCCGAAATGAGGTTCACCGTACAATTTCCCATTTTCCATTAAAGCTATATTTTCCCCGTTATTCATCTCGACTTTTGTTTCATAACTGGGACAAATAATATTTCTTGAAAGGCTTATCAAAATTTTGCTTTCTAAACCCAAAAAAAACAGTTTACTATAAAAATTAAAAAACCATTATTTTGTTTTCCAACTAAGAAAATTGAAATGATATAATAATGATATCATTTTTTCGATGGAACTCGCTATTTTTGTTGGCATCGATGCACTAGAAAGTCGCTTGGGAAGAAAGGTACAAACAGGTCATCAAAGAAATTTTTTATAAGCAATTTTACTCCAATTTTATTCCTGTTAAGAGAAGGCACAATGCTTACAATATTAACATAAACAAAATATTATTCGACTATAACGGCACATTGTCACTCTCTGCCACTGTAATAATTGGAGTACAAAATCGTTAAAAATAAAATAAATAAAATTTGCGTAAATTGTTAAAAATCACAAAAAATATGACTTTCATCACTGAGCAGAAAATAATTTTTTCAATAATTAACCCCGAAAAACATACCAAGAAATATACCTAAAAAGTGCAACACCTAAAATACTTGTCCAAATATTAGATAATAAATAATAAAATTATAATATTGGACACAAAGACGCCACAGTCTTTCCTATGACGTTTTTAAAAAGACCTCAAACCAAAAAATAATCATATAATGACCAAAGTGAAAAAATAAATGTGTATTTGACAAAATAGGCATAAATTTACAACGAAATGAAAATTATAAGGCATTAATTACATTAATGTACATGATTGGGCAGCTTCAGAAATATTTTCAACTTTCGGAAATCCTGTACTTGGATCCAAACTCCAACCAGCTGGAGCCTCTCCAATTAATTCATCCGGAGGATATCCATAAGTCATTAATTCCATTAAGGAAGTGCTAATATTATCAAAACGAGTCTGCATGATTTCTGCATCATTTGAATCTTCTTTCTCATATTCATTACAGATTTTCTTCAGAATTTCAATCTGTTTTTGATAACGCATAACAGTAGTATTATCAAGTTCTGTATGTTCTACCAGATAACTGAAAAAATTCTTATAAGATAAAGTTATTTTTTATTTTCAATTCACTTATTTTTTCCTATTTCTAATACTTCATTTCATTTTATTTATTTAATCGCTGCATTATAGGGGGACCAGCGATATATGGATTTAGACGATGGAAAAAGGAGTGGCTTCTATTACTACTAGCGATGGCGTCGGACCAGGCAGCTTGGAAACGTCTTACTCTTGTAACCAGCGGAACCACCTTAACCAACAATGGTGAAAGCTGTTAGAAGAAGAAGAATTTAATCGTTGATTAAAACAGTTATCCTACAAACAAATCACAGAATCACAGAAATTAATGCACATCTCACTAAATGCCAAGTCTTATGATATAATATTGTAATGGAATACCAAAAGCAAAACAATCTAATGGAAATCTGAACTGATACTAAAAGGAAAATTCGGAACGCACACATAGTTGCGAGATGTACAGACTTATAGTGAAAAGTCTTAATTATTCACTTAATCTAACTAACAGATTGCGAAGCCTCATAACAAGAACCGCCAGCCAAACTAGAGAATGCTATTGGAAGAAAAATTAATCAAATCCATTTTTTACAAGGTGCCTTAGTTTATATAATGGTGTGAAATTGCAGTTATGAAAGAAATTTTAAGATTTTTCACAACCATGGACAAAACAATTTACAACTACAAAACAATTTTCATCTACTTTGGCACAAAATAAAATGATAAAATGATACGTTTACAAAGCACGACGAAATTAGAAATAACTGCAATTAGAATTAATGTCTTACGAACATGCAGGAAATAATTCCATGTTATTTAATGATATTTCCAATAATTTTGTTGGTAATCTTTTATAAAGTTAAAATTTATTTATGTCTCCTTTGAATGCTAATTTATTGTGCTATATGCTGGAAACTTATTTAATATTAAACTTATTTAATATTAACTCAAATTTAACTTTATAAAAGCTAGGTCTTAATGCCATTACTCTGGCACTAATAACATTATTTTCAGTTTTACAATATATGCACTCAGTATTTACATAATTTCTGACATGCCATAGAAGAATTACAATTATTGCTAATAAAGATCTTTAGTTATATTTGCCCCCACTATGTTTTCCCACAATTTGCCATAGCTTTATTTCCTCGTATTATATAGTATATTAACGAATAAATTAAACATTTAAAGCTTCGAAATAAAGATCATCAGTAACATATTTTCTATCTTCATTAGTGTATAATGTATAAAAAACATTATTTATACAGAAACAAAGAAATAAAGAAGAAATAAAGAAAGGGATAGGATGGCTTAGTGGATTGTTACTCAATTCAGTAATTCAGTCGATACTAAAGTTCCCGCACAAGTAAACCTGTCCAAAAATCCGGGTGATGCTGGCGACTCACCCTTATTTCTATCGGTAAGGAATTCCCTGGCATATTTATCCAGTGCGACAAGCCAGATCGAGTTTAACCAGTAATAGTGAAAACTCTTAAAAAAAAAAAGATATAAGTAAGAATTGGAATTAATTAAATGAGATTATCAATAGAAAATATTTACTAATAAAATTTATTTTATTAAAGAAGTAAAAAGCGATAATACTAAAGTTATCTCAATGATACGCCCAAAGCACTTTGGTAAGAACTTCAATATGTCAATATATCAATACTGCACTAATTTTCGACTAAAATCTAAGCAGTTCAGCTATTTAAATAAACTAGGTGATAACAACTGGGTGATAATACACAATTTCTAGCTATTTATGAATTAGTTCAATTTACCAAACCAATATTAATTTATTTGAGATCTGAATTATATAAAATTTTTTTATAATTTATATTTTATGATGAATGATTCATATTAAATTCATTTTAAAAAAGTAAGAACTAACTGATGTCATCAAATTAGCTTCTACTTATCTGATCTATTTCCATCAACAATCTAAGTCAACCTAAATTATCAGTGATGAACAGGTATCTCTTTTAGATATTTCAGTATAAATAATTTATAAATAATTAAAAATTGTCAACGTCCAATTTTCTAAAGCACGTGTATATTTTCTTCACAATTCATTCTGTCGCACAAAACATCATTTAAGCCAAATTTCAAAAATAAAAAAATTGCCTTTCAAATTACAAAAGGTTTGATGACAGATTCTGATCATTTGATTGTCAATTTATAAACATCACAAAAACATATAAGTGCGCTGTTTCTAAAAGGGAAAAATTTATAATAAAGATAATTCTTGAGAATCTAACCTCGGGAATTTTTCGAGAAGTTCTTTGATAGGGTGGTACATTATATCTTTCGCAAAAAAGGATCGCATCAAATTGTTCAGCGTTTCAAATTGCGAATCTTGCAACAATTCAGAAGGATCTCCTTCGGCCAAATTCTACAAAATACTGTTGATGTTTTTTCCTTAACTCGCAATCTGCAAACAAATATTGCAAAATAAAACAGTACAAACGAAAAAAAGAAACTTTTAAACGATTTCGGAATTCCCGCATAGAGGCTACGTCGACATCACCAGTTCCATCTTCCATTTTTTCGGCACTTTCTTCAGCTTCTACGAGTACCTTTAGCATATTTTGGAAATTTTCAGCTGCTTTGCGTTCTTCTTCAGTCATGCGAATATTTCCTCTTGAATCACAAGTCTTCTTCTGAAAAAAAATAAATTGCAAATTAAGAAAATATAAAATAATATAGGGCTTATAAACATAAATTAACATAACATAAGTTAACATAAAATTTTTAAGTAAACATAAGTTAACTTAAAAATTTCAAAGATATTTCTATTGTTATCAATGCCTTTTTTAACAGTTACGACTTATATAAACTGCATAAATTTTTCACAAATTTACATACATTAATTACATATTAATTTTCAAATTTTCAAATAAATATCTAACGCTTATTAAAATGGATAAACCACAAGTATCAACAGCAAATACTTTTATTGTTCTCAGTCATATTATGCCATAAATGCCAAATTATATAATATCTCTGTAAAATAATAAATCGGAAAATATCTATTCGAAAAAAATTAAATGAAAAAACCACCGACACTAATCGATTTATGCCTATTATGGCTAAATTTGGCTGAGAAATAAAAGCAACCTGTTCATGTGTAATCCTTTCGTTAATGTCTTTTATAATGGAATCGAAATTTTTCGCAGCCTTTTCTGCAGCTGCTTCATCATATGACGCCATCATTAAGTCGATTTCGTCATCAGTATTACGAATACTTCCAAAATCGTCTAAAGCGCTATCTAATAACGCTGATAATTCGTTATCAGCTTCGTTACCAGCGGTTTGCTCGTTTTCTTTCGACATCGCTTATTCTTTAAAAAAGATAAATGCTTGATTTTATCAAACAGAAACGCAGTTTCGACACGTAAAACATTTCGACGCTAAATTCGTACTTGATCATCGGAAAAAACCTCCCAGCAAAAAAAACAAATTTTTGTACGATAAAAATTATTCATTCAATAACCCAAGAATTTAGAACATCGACAACATAGTTAATCTGATTCGCAGGGACTCAAGATTTTATCATCTGACGTAGAAATACAGAAAAAGTGATCGCCCCTTCATCCACTGCTCGCCTTTCAATGTTTATTATTAAATTAAGATCACTGTAACCAGAAAATATTAAAGTTTGAGGCGTAAATTGCTGATAGTACGAGCAATCTCAGATCGTTTCTTCCGAACTCGTTATCATTAGCCAGTGATAAGGAACATTACCATCAAGATGTGCAACTCACACAACTTGATACAATATAAACAACCAAATTACCCATGAACGAATAACCTATTATTCAATAAAAAAAATCCAGCTCTTCACCTATTATTTCATCATGCATTGCTATCATTCGGCCGATTTCACTATATGGTAGCCGCAGACACAACCTAATAATATTTTGCGCAGAGCATATATCTTATGTTTTTTTGACTGAATAGGTCCACTTATGGTATGTTTGTTATCGTTATTGTCGATATTCATTGCTAGCGCTCAACTTACAAATTATTTAACGTACTGACTAACGTAGGACGACGTCTTCGCTAGAAAGCTACGTAAGAATAAAAGCATTAATAACAAAATAAAAAAATGAAAACGAACGAAACTAAAAATAATTTCTCAGAAATTATAAAGCAACGTTTTAAATTATAAAGAACCTTAGATTTTTTTACTAAACAAAACTTTTATTTTTTAAAATTATTTAAATTAATTAAATTACAAAAATAATTAAAAATGGTCCAACAATCAGAGAACAAGAAAAAAGTTACACATGGTACATTATACAATTTTTTAAAAAATTATACAAATATTTTACACTATTGAATAAAATTCCACAATATTTAGATTTCAAACGATTTCACACTACCAAGATTCCCAGCCACAAATGTTTAAAACATTCGCATCGAAATACCAGTCATCTCTAAAGATTTCGGTATCTCCTCGACCCTTGCTGTTCAAATAGTATTTTTGGTACCGCAAAATTTTACTGATTTTTAATTTTTCCACTGCACAGTTTTGAATCTCATTAAGAAAGAGATCAATGAAAATAAAGAATTATTCAGTTTTCCTTTTCTTTGCTGCAGGCCTCTCAAAGTTATTTTTCATACCGCCAGCATGTTTCGTAAGAAATTTACTACTAAGAGCTGTGGTCGCTGCCCATGATCCTTGATGATCCGTGGTATCTTCTGCAGTTAAGTGCGTCCACTTCGAGCGACTCGCTTTTCCAAAATTTTTCACCTAAATTTTGTTATCAGAAAATGAACAAATGAATGATAATAAACAAATAATAAATAATTTTGTACCGACAAACCTGCATAACTTTCGGTAAAACTGATTTGTCAAATTGGTCGTCAAGAGTAGGTTCAGCGAAATCGCGTTTATAAACGTCCTCTTCGATATCCAAGAAAAAGGCACCGCGATGGAAATATTTTTGCAGGAATTTGTATTTTCCCTTTTTTTGCTGTAAAAATAAAAAAGAATAGAAGATTCAAATAGAAGAAAGAAAAAAAAAATCAAAAAAAAGAAATTGTTCGAATGAGAAATTCAACCATTTGGTAGAATTTCAAGTAATGAAAAACATCTTGTAGTATGAATTACCATATTGGTGATAAATTTAGGATTCGCTCTCAAGTACTGTTTACGTTCATCTTCAGTCATCGCGTGAATACGATCTAACTCTGATTTTTCGCGTGTTAATCTGAAAAAACAAATGTTAACGGAATATTGCAATGGCAGTCCAGAACAATATCATGTCATTCGGCAATAAAGAACTGGAATTTTACTATCACATTTTTGTCGTTTTTACTGTTGTTTCTTCACTTCTTATCTTTTTTATGATTAATGATTGTAATATTTCAATGATATTAGAAAAAACAAAAAAATTTAACAAATTTTTTTTGAAGAAACTAGTGGAAATAAGATATAACATACGCATCACGCTCATCTCTATTCCTTTTCAATCGTTTCATTTCACGTAATTTCCAACTTTCATATGCAATTTCTTCATTTTCATCGTCAGTAAGAACTGCAGATAAATCGATGTTATTATCCTTTTTACGTTTTTCCATTTCAATTTCATGTCGTAACACTTCTTCGACAAGCTAAAATGGAAAATTTCATATCTTATTTATTTGACAAAAATCATTAAATTAAAAAAAAAAAAACTAAATATGCAATAGTATGCACTTATATTGATAACAACAATATAAGATATTAATATAATATGATATCAATAAAAAGATAAAAATAAAAACAAAAAATTAAAACTAAAAGTAATGTAGACTAATATTTCTAATATATCATGGATAAACTTGTTTTATAATTGTGAAAAGTGAAATGTTTTAAATACTTAAGAAAATGTTCACGATAATTTGCAAGAGAATTTTTAAATTTGCATATGGGCAATCTTGTGTGGCTGCCATTAGTATTCTGATGAAAGAATACCAATTCCAGGAATAATCTGTTCTGCTAAGGAAGACACGAACGTTATAAATATGAATTAATGAATAGTAATTACCTTCAGAGTTTCCTTCTTTCTTCTCTCTTTTTTTTCGTTTTCTTCGGCCAATAGTTTTCGAGCTCTTTCTTTTTCCTTGTCCTCTTCAATTTTTGTCAAACGTTTAGTTCTTAAAATTAAAATTAAAAGAATGAATAGTTTCGAAGGAACTTGACGCTGGAAAAAAAAATGATTTCTTAGAGAGATTTAAATAACTTTAAAAAAACACTTTTCGATGAAAACAGGTTTCATTCTAGGCATTATGTCCTCCTCACTTTCATCGCTTTCTTCTTCGCTTGACTCTTCCTCACTTTCTTCTTCTTCTAAAATTTCTTCTTGCTTGATCGCTTCTTCTTGTTCTCGAATTAGAGCTTTCTCACGTAATAATGCTCTCCTCCGTTCATTTTCGCCCTGCAGCAGTATTTTTCCACAGAATAAAAGTAAAAATACCTCCTGTTCAATCTGATAAACGATAGTTTTGCACTTTGCACTTTTCGGCATTTATTCTAATTATTTATTCTAAGCCTAAAAATAATGAAAAGAAATTTATTCAACCTCGTCATCTTCATCGGGTTCATCGTCTTCAACTGGAGCTTCCTGCATTTCATGTTGCATCCTTCGCATGCGTGCGCGTATTTTCCTCATTTCTTGTTCTTCTTCATTTTCAGATTCAGCATCGTCAACAATCTCTCCCCGTCTTCGAACTACTTCTGGCTCTTCTGGAACTCGACTACTCCTAAAAATGTGTTGTAAATTATCACCCAAAATTAGACAAAGTAATGTAAGATTAGAATTTGATTATGAAGCCAATAAACCCACGTCAAACAATACATAAAGTAAATACAAGAAACGTGAATTCTTCATGCTTAATTTAAATTTCAGTGCCGAAAAATGACTGATGCATCATTCATCATAAATTTACTTTTCACGAGGAACATGTCGTTGTCGACCATCTTGCGACTGTGAAACAGGTTCATCTTCTTCTGATCCGCTTGAATGATATCCATCTTTCGCATAAGCTGGACTAAATAAAAAATTAAAACTTCCAGAAATAGTGAATTCTAAAAATATAGTTGAAAATTTTTTTATAAAAACTATTTTTATGAAAATAAAATAAATAAAAATAAAAATGAAACTTACATTTTGCCAGCAACATAACGAGAGACCTTTACTTTTTTCATCGTTAATTCACCTTTTTCATTGCGCACAGCAATCGCACCTGATGTTGGTAATGCTTTCGGACCGAGAACTCGATCATATAAATACCTTTCAAATTTCGGTATAAATTCTGACATTATGAAATATTTCTTTCTAATAGATCTGCAAACAATTTGTTAACAAAGTGCATAATAAATAAATAATAACTAACAATGACCTTAATAATAAAAGTAATAACAATAATAAAAAGTAAAAAAAATAAATAAAAGTAAAAGCAGGAAATAACAACAATGCAATGATTTAAACGGAAAATTAAAATTTTAGTGAAGAAGATTTATCACTGCTTGAACTGAATAATAACTGAATAATAAAGAAAATAATTCGACACTCAAATATTCATAAAGTCTCATTTAACTTCTTTAAAATTTATAAAAAAGGAATTGCATAGTACAATTAAAAAACAAAATAATAAAACGACTAGGAGAATATATATACATATATGAATTAATAAAACATAAAATAAACCATTAAAACCAGCTCTCATTCACCGAACAACATTGAATTTCAATTCTTCTTGCAACAGCACTCACCACTCCTGGTTGGGATAACTACGTTGACTATAGGAGAAAACTCCGGAGACGGAACCTCTTCGCCAGATGTCCATAAGCAGTGGCCTTATCTAATTTCGGCAATGGCATATAGGTGAAAGGTTGACAGCCTAAATGACTGACTATGCAAAGCAATGCATTCTTATAAGAAAAAACAATCACTTTTTTTATAAAATTCAAAATATAAGAAACTACCAATTATAAATACAGTAACCGAGACATCGCTTCGAGACTCATTACTAATTTGAATTTTATTTGGCTCTTAAGATTTATTATATGATACAAGTCGAAATTATTTTGTGATTTCATTTTTTTTCTGTTATAAATATTTGTATAAATGAAAAATTTAAATTTCTTCTACTTTATTTTTATTTTAATTATTACAATAAACAATAAAAATTTATCAAAATATTCAGACGATAAAACGATAATTAATAGAATAAATGAACAGTAGGAAATTAGTGATGAATTTCAAAAAAGTTCAGAAGCACTGAATTAGTTTGATGAATTTGACAAAAAAATTTCAAAAGTCAAGACGGAATATAAATTGTTTTTTAAAACGATAGATATCTATTAAATTTTTATTTTTTTTACACAAATGTCTTATTTAAATATAAAAATGTTTAATGAAATGATGAAAATATTTGTTGCCCATATGGCCTATCTCTAATTTAATTATTTTTATAATATTTCCTTACAAATTAATTATTTTAATTTATTTATCGTCTCGAATCTGCAATGATTAATGATTTAATAGAATGAATAGCTAATAGCTAAACGAATGATGTGCGAGTTCCGAAGAAAGAATTTAAATTGACGGGGTCAGAAATTCAGTGTTTAATACCAAACAAACGTTTTTCTATATTTATTATTTACCTAAAAATTTACTTTAGGATAGAATTTATAAATTTATAATTCATATGAATAAATTTGATCAATTAATTAGTTGAGAAAAAGTTAATTAATAAGTTGAGAAAGTTTTTTAAAAATATCTTAAATTTTTTAAGCAAAATAAAGAAAATTGTGCAGACTTACCTAATAATTATATCTAAAATATAATTTTTTACAAAAAAGGAATGTTTGCCTAAAGCAAAATTGATTGATTGATTGAAAGCTTATTTTAAGCAAAAGACATAAAAGATTAAATTGTTCTTCGAGTAAAGTATCATTTGTAATCGACATGCAAATATTCAGTCGAAATATTTGCTGAAATGTTTCTGCCAGCTCAGGTTTCGTGAATCCGGACAAGTGATCCTATTTTATAAAAGTAATTTTGCAAGAGATTTTGATCAAGTAGAGTTGATTACTATTTAAAAAACATAAAATGGATGATGAGGGTTTTTTTTTTTTTAAAATATTCGCAATACAGTAAATTCAAAAAATTCCAAATTTTCCTTACCCGCTAATATTCTCAAGTGTGTCGTTGAGAAATTTATTGAGAAACGTTTCCAGTAGATAATCGAAATTCAAGCTAATGAAAATGATTTAATTACATTAAAAGCTGCCAAGCTGCTTTGCAATATTTATTATTCATTAAAAATATTTAAATCTAAACATAGATTGGTAGAAAAATTATAACGATAAAATAAAACAAGATTTTAAAATTTAAATATTTTACATAATATGCATCTTGCAATAAATAATACAAACTAGAAATTTCGCATAATATTCGGAGAAAATAATCGGAATTCACCGTTTCCAACTAATTCCGCTGGCCAGTTAGAAGCCACATAGAAATCAGTAAGGTTTGCTCCTGCCATGGGTAGGAACCAAAGCCGTGCTTCTTGAAGTGGTGCCATGAAACACATCCAGGAAGAAATAATCTGGGGTAATTAACCAGTCATTTGGCGATTGGCAATTCAATAGAAATCAAAAATTCACAAAAAAAGAAATTAATTTGTGGATAACCAAAGAGAATAAATTAGGCGTGGTCGCTTTGAATTAAATGATTCAAATAGGATTTTGGCTAAATAACTGAATTATTTTTGGGATATTGGGATATGCATGATGTGGCCGCTATTGAACTCAGAAAGCTTAGTAAAGCTGAACGACGTAAAAGGCGACGAGCGACTCCCAAATATCGCAATCTACATGCCAGTCGAGAGCGGTGAACTATTTTTTCATTTCTTTTTCCTCCAATAATTAGGATTTTTCCGCTAGAAAATCAGTGTGGATAGAAATGGTGAGCAGTTGGAAACGAAGTACCAGTTTTAATAGCCGTCATTAGATAGAAATCGAACTGAAGAGGGAGAAGAATGTTCAGTGGTTAATTTCTAATTTTGGAGCGGTGGTATTCTACTCCCCGCAGGCGTAAACTTTCAAAAATTTTAGTGATACTGGCGGGTCGTCTATAGTCGTTTGCATCGCCAAGTAACTCCCTGGCAAAAATTTGCATAGTCCAACCAACCAGTGGGAGCGGGCTAAACCAGATATGGTGTCGAGAAATATTATTATATGGCAAACTTATCACTTAGAACTGATTAAAACTATTAAAAGAAAATTCTTTTAGAAATTAAGAGTTTTAAAGCTATTTCTTTTTAAACTAAATTTATTTAAATTAATAAAAAACGCATTTACAAAAAGAATAGATGCTCAGTGAGCGATTTAGTCGTTACAGTATTCGAGTGGAATCGTTCAATCACGCGTTTGCAAAACTGCGTGCATTATTACCGACACTACCGCTGAATAAAAAATTATCAAAAATCGAAATACTTCGGCTATCAATATTATATATCTCTTACTTGGATAATCTCTTGACCTTCTGAATTTTGCCAATTTAGCATTCAAATGAAGTTATCCTCGCAATTTATGTGATATTTCGTCGATGTTCCAGCTTCTAGACTAATAATTTTATGTTCAAATGTGGTCAGAGGATTATAAATTTATCAATCGATACCAAAAGATGATATGATAATTTCTGTGAAATTTATACTCAAAAAATGTTTGAATTTGTTAAAATGAATTAATTCCCGGAAGGCTTAAATTAACTGCATTTCTGGGCCGAAATGTCAGTAAGTCTTTTGGCAAAAATTGGATCGATTGATAATCTAACAAAGTTTTTTTCACTAAATGCGGTTTTTGAATTAATGCTTTGCCCTTTTTCGTGAATTGCTTCATCATTTCAACAATGGAATTAGCTATTAAATATTTCACAGATTTTTTATTCCAGTTTCTGAGTTTTCCAAAAACGATTGCATATATTTTATGACCAGAATGTAATTATTATATATTGATTAATTTCATATGATAAAAATTTTATATCAATTTATTTCTTATGGGTGCGCATTTGGGCAGCGAGGGTGGAATAAGGTCAAGCAGTATGCCTCTTAATGACCGTTGTAAGTCCGGAATCTCTATTCCTAAGCGACTCCATAATCTAAATTGGCTTATTTTATGAAGCCGGTGGAATTAATGAGATCAAAAATAATTTAGTTAAGAGAAGATAGGATTAAACCAAAATTTTATTTATTGAAAAATAATTTTTAAAAGAGTTAATAAATACCAAATCATCACCAAAAAAACACCGCAAATTACAGAAAAGGAAGAAAGTTAACTATGGAAAGATAATAAATTAATAAATAAATAATATTAAAGTATTAGTAATAATTAAGCCGAATTAAAGAGAGTGGAGTGACTCAGTGAAGTGTTGTTCATTTCTGAGCCACGGACGGAGGGTTTTATTCTTAGTAGGAGCAAATCTATTTTCCTAAAAGTCAGACTGAAGCTGGTAAAACTCACCTATACTTCTAATTTCCTGAAATTTTATGATGCAACAAGATAGTGGAACAAATCTAACCTCCTAGAAAAAAAATCTTATCATAATATTATTAATATTATTAAGTAATGAACATAATATTACGTTAGACATGCAAAAAAAAGGAGTGAAGTATGATACTTTCCTTGATAATTTTCACAAAACAGTTAGTCCATTGGATGATTTAAAACTATACTTTGAAGAGAATCATGAATTTCAGTACTTTGCGGTGATTGCGGCCGATTGCTGAAACACCTCGGAATTACCATCTTTTAACTTAAAAATTCTTTCTATTTTAAAAAATATAACAAGCAAACATTATTTTTTGTCTTTGGTGTGCGAAGCTCACTGCATCCTGAATTGTCGGGTAAAAATTTTCTTTCGGAACAAATTTATAAAAGCCGCTCGACTCAAAAAGTTCTCGAACTGATGCTAAAAATTAGAATAAAATCTAATAAAATATATTCAATAGAGTTATTTAAAAAATAACTGAATAATTTTCAATGGACATTTTTTCTAAAAATTCTCGAATTTCATCACTTTTCACCCTTTCACCCTTAAATCACTACCATTTTCATTTTAATTAATGCAATCTTAATTTTTTTTGAACAAATTTTTCTTTTGAATAATTTAAAATAGAGCAACTTAACTTAACCTTTGGCAGCGGCAAAGTATAATAAAACTTTTTTTGCTTGCATTTCCGAAAAAATCTAAATAAATGAATTAAAATAAATGAAAATATCTGTATTTATTATACAAAAATTTTATCATTTTCATTATTTAATATTTTTCACAAATTTAATTACTTTTACATTTTAATATTAAATAATGAAGAATTTGTATATAACAGACATAGAATAATGTTGCTAATTTGAAAAATTATATGAAAAAATGCCTTCAGTTATTGGAGAGTACAGCCATGCAGCGAATATTTACGGTATGAAATCCTTTTAGCTCAGCTTCTAATAAGAAAAGAAATTTATTGAAACAGGCCTAAGGGGCCTAATTTATTAAAGAAGTGTTTTAAGAAATATTTGAAAATTCCTTTCAATTTATTTAAAAATCACCTCTTTAAGTGCACTTACACCCATACAATCAACAAAAGCAATTCCTGAACAATCAATTATAAAATGGCGATTTAACTGGCAATCGGAATCTTTCGGCTGAAAATAAATTTTGCCTTATCACTCGTCTTCAGCTGTTTCCATGCATTTTCGCTCATTAAATTATCTTTAATGGTCCGTTAAGAATAATAATTTTAGGAATAAAAACTAACCAAAATTTTACTGGGACTTTTACGAACGTCTATATTAAGAACATGTGGCAGATCAGGTTTGTCTCGATATTCGTCAATATTGTCACAACATATACAATCTTTTAGCGCCTTTAAATAAAAGAACTATTCACGAGGTCAAAAGGGGGTCAATTGAAAATTAAAACTGACAATGATTTGTGTTTTTTTATTAGCCAAGCTTTTATTTTAGACTACATTTCGATACTTACCTTGTGAACGATTTTCTTAAATCTTTCGACATTTGTAAACAGAAGAGGCGATTCGAACCGAAGCACGTATAAACCCTGCGAAATTCGTTTGTATTTTGTATTTTAATTATCTCTTTTCTCTCAATAAACATTGTTTTAGCTCTTGTTAGATAGTCTCTGAGGAGACTTTAAAACATTCATTGCTTCTACAAAACCCCTCGCATTTCAGTAAAGCTTCAAACCCGTCAAGAATCAGTGCCAAACTATGCTTGAAATGCTAATCGGTAATCCTAAATTAATGATTTCAAGTAATAAAGCAATATTTAAATCTTGTGAAAGATTTTAAACTTGCATCGTAAATTTGAACATTTGTATACCGTTCTGCATCGCGATAATCATTAGTTCCTTTCAGATTTACTAGCCTATGACTATCGGGCCTAAATATTTATTATTTTGTTAAAAATTATTAATTAAAATAATCATTTTTTGATGGTCTTTTACTACTCAAAGCTTTTATAAACAGTTAGAAGTACCATTGTGTTCTGAAAACTGTAGTGAGTAGAGCGAAAAACAACGATATGATAAGTCCCGCTTTAATATCGAGGCAAATGGTTGCTGTGAAACTTACAATCCAAATACTCTGCAAAATTCGAAATATGTAAAAAAACCTGTAATGAATTTTTTAGTTGAATTTTAAATGCCTAAGCCTTTTGAAAACAATTGAAATTGACTTTTTTGCATTAAAAAAAGAATTCTTGAGTTTGAAATTTTGAAGCAGCAATCAACTAGCAAAACCAAAAAAAAAATTGGAAATTCTTAGACGAATATAATTTGATGGAAGAAATTACGAAATCTGTGTTGGATAGAGGCCATAAATGCTTTAATTCAATGAATTTTTTCAGCATTCCCTTGAGGGCAAGTATTACGATAACTGATAAAATACACTGAAAAAAATAAGATTCGAGCAGCATCTATATTTATTTAATCAATCCTTATTATCTAAGAAATATAGCAAATCTTCTGATTAGTGAGAGCTATGACACAGAAAGGCTTCTTGGAAGCAAATGGTATGCCAAATTCAAGAACTTGCCTATGAAAATTTCATGCTAGGAACTAGTTGTTTATCATATCTAGTAAGCTAGTTTCTAGTTTCTAGTTTTTAAATAATCTGGTTTCATACTTTGATAGATCAGTAAAACCATACCCGTGGCAACGCTTCCAGATACTGACCAAATTTAATGATTACTACAAATAAGAGAGCACTCGAAAACAATGCTGACATCTGCAGTAACATTCATATCAACTGATAAAAGTGATTTGATTAAGAGAAGACGGTTCATCGATTAATTTTTGTTATTCATTTAGGCATTTGCCTTTTCTCATCTTTTTTATTGAACCATATAACCTAACATAAAAAATAAACTACAAGTGCTAATAGTCACCTGTATAAATAGTGGCAAAGCTTATTAAAAGAATAAATGATATTGAATAAAAGAATTATCAAAAAAAAAGTTTCACCTGAGTCCTCGATCCAGCTTCAATGTTAACAAGCGTTCTACCAAGTGCACATGAAGGTGGAAAAACGGGAAAGAATCCAGAAAGAACAGAAGTGAACCCAATAGCATATAATTCCTGAAAGCTCTTTCAGCTCTTTAGAAACTGTGATTCTAAAGCATTATTTAAGAAGTATTAATAAGAAAAAAAAAGTTCAAAATTATTTTGAAGTATTAGCCTGTAAGGAATTTTTTATGGGCTAAAAAATAAAGAGTGGTGTTGCTTAAAATGAATTGGAGTTGGAAATATTTTCATGTAATCGTTTAAACCATAATATTGAAGATTCAGGCAAGGACACAATTTGAATCGAATTGACAGATGTGGTTTACATTCATCATTTAAAATTAAGCAATACCCAACGGCTTTTAAAATTAAAAGCACTGGAATATTTTTTCAGCTAGAAACTCAAAAAAAGTGAATTTTTTACCTGACCCGGATCAACCGTATAGTTATTCTTTTTAGCAAGCATTTTTGCCAATGAAATATGCACAGCAAATATGACAACGGCGATACCAAATGCATCAGGAATCGCAATATATACCAAAGAAAAATTCGGTAATTTCGGCATCGGCATCCGAAAAATTTTGCATTATTTAGCAAATAATATGAAAACGAATAAGTTTTTTTTCTTCTGAGAGCGCTCACCATTACTGTTAGTATTGGCTTGTCAAGGCAGACAAATTTTGAGAGAGAGTCATTCGACGACATAAATATAGGTGAATTGCCAGCATCACCCTGATTTATGAAGGATGGTTTTTTCCCATTGGACACAGAACGAATCGACGCTCCAAAAGAGCGAAAGTTGGCCTATTTTACCTCCTTTTGCTTTTGCAGTTTGGCTATATTATCGCCCGATAAACTCAGTTTGTTAATAGGATTCAAAACCCCGCAACTCTCAATTCTTGATGACAAATCTCCTTAGCCATCAAATAAAAAAGTTACCCGATTGGAATTTTGCCAACAACACCCAAGTTAAATCGATGTTTGAAATCGAAAAGTTCGGATAAGACCGTTGCAGTTATCACCTAAATGCATTTAGAACTGGTTTAAAAACAATTTATAAATAATAAATTGAATAACAAAAAAAAATAATAAATTGCTTACCAAAATAAGTTCGAAAGGGATAGGTATTAATAGCTTGGTCCACTTCTTCACCAAAGGTGTAATTATTTCTTTACCAGTGTAGAGGAAGACCATCGAGATTACTGTGATACCAACAACGTATAAATTTGTCTCTTGTATGTGTATAAAAATATCATATAATCTCTAAAATAAATTTTTCATAATTGATATAATTGATAATAATTAGCTCAAAAGGAGGCCCGTTGAACTGGATACGCACGATTTGGAGGAACCACATTTGAAGCGAGTAATTTATTCGAGAATTTGGGACTTTGAAATTATGATTTAGAGCTAACAAGAATGAGTTGCCCATAGCCTGATCGCCTTGGTAGTCCACTAATACCAATCGCACTATTCAACTGGGAAACAAGCACGTGAATAGATGCAGCAGTTGTGAAGCCACCAACCACTTGGTCTGAGAAATAAGTGGCTATAAACTGTAATCGTAAAACAGCCATTAGGACCTAAAAATCTAAATTTAATTATTAAATTTCAAAATTAAATCTAAAATTTCATTAAAAGATTAATAAGATGTATGATGTTCATTAATAAGATGTATGATGTTCATTTACACTCATTCTTCTTTTTCTAACAGCTTCCATCATTACTGGTTAGGCTGGCTCCAACGCCTACAAAGGTTAGACGCTTCCAAGCGGCACGGTATGATGCCATCGTCGACAGTAATGGAAGCCATTCCTTTTTCCATCGTCTAAGTCCATATAATGCTGGTCCACCGATACGTTTAAAATCCTTTCTCACCGTATCAGTTCAGGTCTTGATTGGCCCACCTCGCTTTTGACGCCATCCATCACATAGTTTAGCAAATAACGAAATATGCTTCAACTCCTTTGGTGGACGACGGTGAACGTGCCTTAACCAGCGAAAGTGACGATATTCACACTCATTATTTGTGAAGATTTCATATTTCCAATGAAATATGGTTTAGTTATAATGATTTAGCTGGATCCTACTAATTATCAGATCAAAGACATTTTGGTCTAATAGTGAAGTCCAATAGGATTCTAATAGGATTGGGTAAGGTCCATTCTAAATGGTGATATTTAAAAATGATGGATCTATTTGCATGAACCTTGAGTTTCTTCAGAATCTTATTATGAAGACAAAATATCCAGAAATCCAGAAATATCGCCCGACGGCCAATTCCAAGATAAAATTTGTCAAAAATAATTTGAAATATAGCACGAACAAATGCAAAACACCACGCTTACATGTATGAATCCAACGGTTATTGTTAGTACACATGCAATTTCCATATTCGTAACAGATGTTGTCGAAACATCATTATCGTCAATATTTTTTACATACGAACTTCTTCCGTTAATTGAGTTAGCAATATCTTCTACGGCGATTCCCGACATTAAACTAATTAAAGCGAATGTTCCTTAAAATTTTTTCAAATTTATGGCCATAAATAAATTCCCCAAAAGGGGTGAATGGCATAATGGACTATTCTCATTTTTAAGCACCGATGCCGGAGTTCTACTCTGGGCAGGAATAAACTTGCCTTAAAGTGATGCGATTAATTTTTATCACTAAATAACAAGTAAAATTTGCATGGTTCGGCAAAACGAGCACGAGCTTAACAAAAAATAATTATTGCTCTTTTTAGAGTTTTTTAATTTTTTAAATTTTAAATATAAATTTTCAATATTTCTAAAATTTTTAGGGTTCAAATTTTTAGATTTGATCAAATATCTGCTAGTTTTAGAATTTTCAAAAAAACGCGATAGAATATCCAAAATGGGCGATAAATATAGATAAGATTTATTTGGTGATGGAAACCTAAAATTTATTTAATTTGGCCAGAGCTGAATTTTATTACTAAATAATAGAATCTATAGAATAATTTAAATAAATTAAGCAAATCAAGTTCCCCAACCTAAGGAATTATGTCTAGAAGTACCAAATATTACATAAAAAATAGCTGGAAAAAAAGAAACGTATAGGCCAACAACTGGATGGAGTTGTGCTAATGCAGCGTATGCAATTCCTGAAAAACAATTATAGTTTTTTAGTTTTTAATTGTGAATAGTAGCAAAATTATTCAATTAAATTTTAGAGATCATCTAGTGGTGATCTAGTGATAAAAATGGTCAGAAAAATTTTTATGGAAATTTAAGACTTGAAAATTAAAAATTTTGCGATATTCACTTATTATCCTCTCTCCCTATCATATCGCTCCTGTAGGCCATTACTTATTTCGAAAATAAGAAGAAAATAGGGAGATGGAATTAAAGATTATAAAAGAGATGTGAAGTAAATGGAGTAAATTATTAAGTTAGCAAGTTAATAAGTTAAGAAAAAGTAGCGATAGGAGAATAGGGGAAATGTAAGAATGAAAGAATGGAATAAGAAAGAGAGAAAAATAAGAAATGAGTCCTTAGGCCATAACCCAAGTCCCAAACATCAGGCCAAATGTCGTGGACTGAATCAATCCTTTTTCATGATCTAATTTTCAGTATCAATCGCTTAATTCATAATTATTTTTAGCTTAACTAATTGATCGATGGCACTCCATTGCACTTAGCAGACGTCTATTCGCATCAATGTCCATGTGATACAAGGAAAGATGAAATAACCTTGTGGAATATGCATAACTCCAACTGTAAGTCCTCCAATCAAATCAAAAATGAGGTCTCTTTTAATTGTATAATTTGGAAGCCATTGAATGATCGGAAAGAAGCTGATAAGAGTATCTCGAAAATCTCGAAAAGAGAGACATGGATGATAATAATTGCGGAGAAATTTTTTGAGAATTCTTCGTTTTGAATGAATACCGATTGGAGGTTTATAACTGAATTTCGCATCGAATTCTTCCTTAAATTATTTATTAAATACATCGAAATTCTACTTCTGAAGATTGTTTTGTTGTAAGCAAAAAAGCAGAAAGTTATTTCCCCAATAATAAACAAACTTAGAAGAGAAAAGCATAAGCGAGTGGTGCCAAGCATAACTTTTTTCTTCATTGAACTTTATCTGTACTATTGGAAATGAAAGATGGCGCTGGAAAATTGTAATTGCCTGCATATTTGTATTCCAACACCCCTATAGCGAAAGAAAGTTTCTTTTTTTCTGTTTCGCTTTGCTATTGTCTTAAGCTATTTCTGCAACATTCCAACTAACATACATACTATTCATAAATTAAATTATATATGTATAATTTAATTTTTTAATATATATATATTTTTCTTTGATTTTTTTTGTTTAATTATATTTAAATTTCTCTTTTTTTTCAACTTAATTGTCTCCATTTTTTTTGTCTTTGACCGGAGTAGACTTGTCAAAAATGAGAGTGACTGCTGTGGACCCACCTGTATCACTATTCTCAAATGACTATGTGGTGAAAGGGTTAGGTCTCTTTGACGAGACGCCCGCATCTTCCGAGCGCATGATACTTCTGGCTCGGTGGTACATGTGATAAATATACGATCCGGGCGTAATAATAAAATAATTAAATTTAAAACAAAATAATAATAAAATAATCATAATAAAATAATTTTAAGGCACAAGCATAGAATCTGAAAAAAACCGAGATAATTTAGATGTTTCTGCTCAAAACCAGGCGAGAAATATCTGCTAACACATTGTAAGCGTGACGAGATGCTGGCTACAGTTGCTTGAAACATTAGAACGCTGATGGATGCAAGCCAAAATCACTGTCCACATCCTTTCTAAATATTGCATGGATGTAGGAGGACTGTCTTCCTCGGCTATTGAGTAATTTTCAAATCTGGTTCTGAGCAAAGATGTTGGCTATATCACTATGGTATCTCGGATAACTCGATGCAAAATGGCATAGCGATTGTCATGTCTGAAAAGGCTCGATCTACTCGATTTTGTGGAATCCAGTAAATGACCCTATGGCCTACGCGCATTTGAAAGGAAAATCCTGCAATATTTCGGTCATCAGCTTATATGTTCCAATTTATGCGCAGATGATCGCGATAAGGACAAGTTCTATAAGGACAAGTGGAGCTTTAACATCTTTACCGAGAGATTACATGGTCATAATCGGAGGAGACCAGAATGCGTGCGTAAGTTATGATGCCATTACGATGAATTCGGTAATTGACAAATATGGCATCGGAGTCCAGTGCGCCAATGACGACGCCTTCTTCCGTCGAAAAGCATGAATTTTTTGTTGCTAATACTTACTTCTGGCATCGTAGAAAACATCTAGCCACGTAGAACTCTGGATAACCAACACTTCAACCAGATTGATTATATCAATCTTAATCTTAATCAGTCGCCGTTGGAAGCTGAAACGAGTAATTGCCATGGATCAGACCATGTTATGGTTCGAGCCAAGATTCATAGAAAACTGAAAATTCTTAGAAAAAACTATCCCAAGATTTTTTAGCTATCTTAAATTACAAGATTTAGGAACAATAATCGTATTTCGAACCGTATTATTGAAATATCTTAGTGAAATGTCAATGATATCTCTGGAACGACGAATGAATACTGGTCCCAACTAAAGATATATATATAAAAGTCGGCTACTTCTATACTAGAGTATAAGTAGGGTATTCTAGTAGACTGTCGGAAGCAACTATTTAACTGTTTGAAAAAATTGCCAAAACTCAAATGTCAGGAAATCCTGATTATTTGATGTTTCGAAGAATTACAACGGTAGCAGCATAGTTGGATAGAAATCGCTATTGGAGTTTTGAGAATGGAGACGACGGCTCAGATAAGTGATAATAGGAAATTGTTTTGCCTTCTTCACATACAACTATAAGTCGAGAAGGGATCAGTGAAATGATACGGAACATTAATGGGGTACCTATTAAAGCTATTAAGGATCACCTCAGAAGATGGAAAGAATTTTTTAAGGCCAAACTTAACCACGATGTACCATTTATTGTCCCGAATACAATTGATTTGCCCATTGAACTTTAAGTTTGCAATTGTGAGCCGCTAACAGAAGAGGAAATATTCCCTGTAATCCATAAGCTTAAGGCTAATAAAATCTCCGGAAAAGATGATCTTCTCGCCGAATTCTTCAAATATTGTCCATCATCGTTCATAACTCACCTTCAAAAGATGTATTCTCTAGTATGACAAAAAGAAATAATGCCAGAAGACTAAAGAAAAGCAATTCTGCTTCCCATTTCTAAGAAAAGTAATTGGACATACTGCTACAATTACTGAGGCATCAGTCTATTAGACATCTTCCGAAAAATTTTCACCTCTCTTCTGCTAAATATTAATAGCAATATGAGATAGTAGAATGCGTTTTAATCAAGCTGGATTCAGGCCAGTTGTGCTGACCAGATATTTAGATATTTACGAAGGCTGGAACATCGCTTCAAATATTAGCAACCCACCGTCACTTCCTTTATCGATTTTGCACCTGTCTTTGATTCCATTGATAGAGAAGTGCTCTACAAAGCGATGGAATGTGACCGTGTCCCAGAGAAAATCATTCTGCCCATAAAAGCATTATATCAGCAAAGGTCTGGCACAGGGTCTATATATATGGGTCTGTATATAGATTCTTTCGAAATAAGAACTGGTGTCTTCAGGGCTGCTTCCTTTTCCTTTTTCCTGAAATATTCAACTATGCGATAGGTTGAATAATGGGTATCGCTTGTCAGCACTCAAGAGTTGTGCGAATCATTCCAGAGCATAACATTCACAGACCTTAAATACGAACTGCAACTATATGGAAGCGGATTTTCGTCTTTATGACGATGTAGTCCTTTTTGCTGACAGTTATGAAGAAATGTATAATGTTAAACAATATAGCAACTGCAACGAGAATTGGACTCATAATCAATGTAAATAAAATGAAAGTATTTTCGTCTTATATACAAGATGCTGGTAAAACACCTATTTTCATTAATGATTGAGGAAGAGTTGGACTTTAAACATCTTCCGTCCATTCTTATCCCAAATGACCATGGAAAGGATGAAATTGTAACTCGGATAATGATAGCTAGAAATATGTTTTTCTGATTGATAAGATCTTTATGGAACCGTCGCGAAATCACCATAAAGACGACAATATAGTTGATAGTTCCGCGTCCATATAGTTGCAGTTCGCTTGATCTTGCTATATGGCTAATGAGAGTGGAAGATGTTAAGAAGCTATTGGCCTTTGACCACTTATGACTAAGATACATTTTCGTCACATAAAATAAAATATAAAGATAAAATATAGAAGAGGGGATAAAATCGCACATGATTGTATCCATCTTCGCTCAAATACTACCTGTATTAATAATATTATCATAGATCGTCGCCTTCGCTGATTAAAACACGTTGTCCGTCTACCACAGGATTTGATGACTATTTCACTACTTGCCGAACCTTGTGATGGTTGGAGTCAAAAACGGGTGGGTAAATCAAGACCTGGACTGATATAGTCAGGAAAGATTTTGAACGTTTGGATGGACTAGCAATATATGGACGATGGAAAAAGGAATGGCTTCTATTACTACTAGCGATAGCGTGCAACTTGGAGGCATCTTAGCCTTGCAGCAAACGGAACCAGCAATGGTGAGAACTATAACAGCAGAAGATGAATAGAAAAGAACTTTATTTCAGCAGAAGCCAAATCAAAAATGCCGAGATTTTCTCCTAACTTTTTGTAAATATCTTTATGCAAATTTGGTTTAAAGATGAGAAAATTGCAGAAACGAACAAATTTTGGTGTGCAAAGTTTTACTGCCGGCTAGCGCTCAACACGTTTGGCCAAAATGCTTAACTCGTCAATAATTTTAGAATTAAAAGTTCTATTGCCTAGCGATTATATATCTACATGTTTCATTTTGATAAAGTTTCATTTAATATTATCTTATATTTGAGACAAAATATTTTAAAGTTAGCTTATTTTGTTTAACATAGTTGAGAGAGAATTTTTCGTCTCACTAATCCAAAATGAAAAAGATAAGTTGACAATTTCCGAAAAACAAGGACTCATAGAAAGAAACGAGAATTTCATGATGAGTGGAGATTGCCAGAAAAATTTGCCAACTACTTTAGAATTTTATCGCTGCATTATTTTACTAAGTCGTCTATCGCAAAATGCGATTCCCTTTCCAGTTCAAAATAAGACATTTCAACGCCTTCAAAAAATAAGAATCTCCGTATTAAAAGCGATTATTTTGGACAAATTCAGCCCAACTGATTGGTTTCCCACAAATCGAAATCGTTTTCACTTCCCAAATTTAGTAAGCATACTAAGTTTTAATCAGAAAATCTAGTTCAATAAGCTTAAATATTTATGAAAGTATCGCAAGTGGGATTCAAATCAAAATATTTGCAGTATAATTGCTTTTTATGAAAAAGTAAATAGATGATTAACCCGTCCAGCTGGCTTTTAGTACAATTTTTTGCTTGTGCGTTGTCCGATAATGGAAGCTCAGTGGGTTACCTGTATCGTCTTGATTTTTTATGTGTGAATTTACTGCAGTTCACTGCTGCGAAGGCAGAAACCCAACCCAATCCTTACTTCTCAATATAATGATCTAAGCCACTGCTCGTTGATTTTATGAAAAACTTTAGTGGAAATCTTAAAATAAACAAAAAATAAACTTTAAAATAAACTGAAAAAAAAATAAACTAAAAAAAACTTTAGTTAGAAAAGTTTTGTTATCAATTAATTTATAAGATTACTTTTAGATGAAAAAACATTATTTTAAAGAAATAAGAATGAATAAACTTGGTTCATTGCTGGCCGTGGTTCGTTGTGCATATTTAAATTCAAATAGTTTGAATCGCATTTTGTATTGTCCATTTGGATTTCATTAATTTCTCGCATTAAATAATTATTTAGAATAAAAATTATAATGAAGCGAAACCTTAATGAA